GATTGCATACAGGTGACGGTGTCGGCCCCGAGGTAACAGCAACCTTGACACCTTCTCTGCGCAACTACTCACGAACATGTCCAGGTTGTCGCGGAGGCGATGAAGGTCCTCAGAGTTGTCCAAAAACACACAGACAACACTTTCAACTTCAAAGAGCACCTGTTTGGAGGAGTAAGTTTTGAGGCATGACGTAGTTGATCCGCGGTAACAAGTTCTAGTGTTCGATAGACGCGCACAACAACCCCCTCACAGATGAAGCACTCGAAGCAGCGAAGTCGGCCGATGCCATCATCCTCGGTGCTGTCGGTGGACCGGTATGAGCCTACAATACCCAAACTACCCAAGGCCATCTGACAATTGGTATAGAAATGGGGAACCGGCAAGGTGCGCCCAGAACAGGGAATTTTGAAACTTCGCAAAGAACTCGGCACCTTCGGAAACCTGCGACCGTGCTTCTTCGCCTCCGACTCACTCGTCGACTCGTCGCCCCTCAAGGCTGACAACGTTCGCGGCGTAAACTTCAACATTATCCGTGAATTGACCGGTGGCATATACTTTGGCGAAAGGAAGGAAGACGAGGGCGATGGCAAGGCCATGGATACGGAGCCATACAGCGTCGAGGAGATTGAGCGCGTAGTACGGTTAGCAGGTAGTCTCGCATCTGCCGAGGACCCGCCCGTGCCAGTATGGAGTTTGGACAAGGCCAACGTTCTAGCGACCTCGAGGTTATGGCGAAAAACGTTCGAGCGCATCATGAAGGACGAGTACCCGCATCTCAAGTCGGGCACCCATCTCATCGACTCGGCGGCTATGCTTATGATCAAGAACCCAAGGGCGCTGAATGGCGTTGTGGTTACAAGCAACTTGTTTGGTGACATCATTAGCGACGAGGCTAGTGTCATCCCAGGAAGTTTGGGTCTGCTGCCGAGTGCCAGTTTAGGCGGTATTCCAGATGGCAAGACCAAACTCAACGGAATCTACGAGCCCATTCATGGTAAGTCATTTTTAACGAGTCACTGCATGCGCGTCCGCTTACAACTAATAGGCTCTGCGCCCGACATCGCCGGCAAAGGCATCGTCAACCCCATTGCAACTGTCCTTTCTATCAGCATGATGTTCAAGTACTCTTTGTGCCTACCAGACCTTGCACTGAAGATCGACGAGGCGACCAGGATCACCATCGACAACGGCATTCGAACAGCCGACATCGGCGGAAAGTCAAGTACGAGTGAAGTCGGTGATGCGATAGCCGCGGAGCTAGAGAAGCTTCTTCAGAAGTAGATTTGAATAGCGAAATCATATACTATCAAAAGCTAGCGGCCGTGACACTGTGCCGCAGATCGTGGATAACATCTCAATGTATACGCACTTGTGCCTAGGCTTGATCACTATTAGCGAGACACAGAAAGAACTCCTCCCGCTTCATTTAGGGGCATCCCTCAACTCTTTTGTGCTCTTTCTCATATGCTTAGCAGGCTGCATACCGTTAACAAAGACTTGATATGTACAGACCAGCGGATAATATGTGGACGTTCATTAGCTGGCAAAATGATCGTGTGAAGTTGCAATGCGTAGGAAAGGACATTGAACGGCGAGCAGAGGCGTTGGAGCGCTATTGTTGCCATCCTATCAAATTTCTCATCTTTTTATCGACTCGCCGAAACAGCCTTCTGTCCAAGCAACGAGGCCGAAGTGATACGCCCATGAGTGTAGTTTGTTCCCCCCTTCTAAACGCTCAAGATATCGTCCGATGACGAGCTGAAAATGTGAATGCGCGAAAGCAACAGAGAAATGTATCCAACACTCACGATGCAGGATTATGGCCCAGCTTGCAAACGAAAGTCCTACACATGGGAGCGTGGCTCGACAAAGCTCCTACCCATCCCAAGCTCTTACAGCGGGACTACAGCTCGGGGTCCGCAAGCGGAAACTAAGATCATCGCTGTGTACAACTGTCTCATCCGCGCAATGAACAGTATCTACAATCATACACTCCACAACTCAATCACGGAGTACCTCAAAATTCGTACGGTATAGGTATGACGACATATCAGTGTTGGACGGCGCAGCTGGGCACAACCTTCGCCGACAGAGAATTTACGGAATGGTGAAACTGGCTTCAGTCCCGTGCGGCCAAGCGCAACAACTTCAGCTCTAGATCATGGAGGGGGATGATGGATAGTTTCACGCCTGCTTTATACCAGCTACTAAATGCCCCCCCTCACCAGCATATGCGGGAAGGACTACAACAATCTAGATGAGACGATTCAGTTGCCAGTACTCTGGAAAAATCATGACACCACTTCGGAGACTGGGCTACAGGACTGAATTCATGGCTTAGGGCGGAGAGTAATGCCGTGAGGTGGATGGTGGAAGTTGAGTGCTTATGGATTTGACGGGCTACCAAGGGAGTTGAAGTATATTGCTCCGGCGGAGGATAAATGGAGGATATGGCTAGTCATGGTAGTCCTCCTCTTGAGTCTTTGTGATTTGTTGGTACGCTACATTGGCATCCCAATGCACTATATGTGTCGGAGAAGGTGTCGGGTATGCGGGTGTCTAGTGGGCTGGGTTAGCACACTCGAGCTAGGCCTTCAAGGCCTAGAACAAATTGTCAAGACCTGGATACAAGACATACGGCTAGCAGAAGCGCCAGGAACTAGATAAACTTGGCAGACGATGTTCTCCTGATGCATATGAACACTGTATGTTGGCAGAAGTGGCATGTTGCTGTGCATCAAGTGACACTGCCAAAGCATTGTTTTTTTGAGAAATCTACATATCGAAAACAGGGACGCTGGGTTGTTTTGAGACCGTGAAACCAGATACAGTCAGCCTTATACATGCTGTGCAATTTGCCCCTCGCATAGGGATATATCACGATTCTCAAGGCATTGCGGTAACTAGAACGCACCGTACTGGGCAAACGAGCGTCTCAGAGCCCGTTAGCTTCATCACAGTATCACAAACGTTCTGGGCGTGGATGCGGCGAGCGCATCGCAGTCCATCGTGAGATTTGCTTTTACCATTCAACGGCTTGACAACATCTCACTGGTCTATATCAAATTCCAGGGCATCACACAAACGCCTCCATACACAAGGTTGTTTGTTAAGCAACGGGTCCCAGATTAAAGGCAATCCCAGATGACCCCGGGACAAGACATGGAACATCTCGCTTGTCATTCCAACTGGCGGGCCGCGATAGGTATCCGTGCAGATATCGCTTCCCAATCGATAACGCAGGTGATGTTGAGGTGAAACAATCGGGCGGTTGGGATTAGCGGGATCTCATTAGTTGTCCCACCAGGCGCTTCATGGTCAGTCCGTGTTTGCTTGCCTGAGCCATCGAATGGCTGCCCGGAAATGGCACGGGAATCCCTAATGTCAAAACAAGCCACACTGAGATTTGACGGGTTAAGGCGACTTGGGAGCTGGGATGTTGTTAACGGTATTATCGGGTTCTAGGTATTTCCAGTGACATGGGACCAGGATGTTGTCGAAAATACAACAAGATGATATTTTTCAGGCTGCATACGTACTGTGCCTGATGGTGGCTCACTACGGCGTCTATTTCGAGGCATACCGAGGAGAGCCGACGTCACGACAGCGGCCAAGCAAGCGACGTCTTCAAAAATGTCGTCGTGTGACGAGGAATTGTCCTTGTTTAGAAGACCCCTCTCGTATTGCGCTGCATCCAAGAGAAGTGAATTTGGAACTCGCGCCTCGATGCCGCCTTCGATGCCCAATGCCGATATTCCCGAGTCCGTATAATATGGAGCTCTGATTTCAGACGGGTGTCTGGCAGCGCATCACCGAGCATCCCCTGCAGTCTGCAGCTGTGGACAAAGATGATGACACCCCTCTAGTGGAGATGGGGAGAAGCTAAACGCAGGTAGAACGTTTACGGAAGGTGGCATACGTCGCGTAACGGCATCCGCAGCCCGCTTCGAGTACATCTTGCAGTAAACAGTGTTACATGTCAACTTTTTCCAAAGCAACTTTGTAGATCTGAACGTCGAGGTACTATCTATATAGCAGTTGGAGACAGTAAAACGAAGGGACATGGGTGAAAACAAACGTCGGGAACGGATGATCACACGCACGTGGCGAGGTCAAGCAAGCGGTTTTATAGATAATAACTTTTTCTCGCACCAATGGACTCCCTGTACGTCAATCCGCACTGGAAAGCCAGCCGAAGAACCCTGAAGATCTCTGGTGGTGAAACAAGACGCTTCGAATCCTTGGCTAATCATCACAAGATGAGGTTTAGACGGCAGGCAAAATCTCGTGTGTGATTCCCCGCCTCGACACCCCTTGGCAGGAACAAGCGCCGCTTCTACGCTCAAAGGGGCAAGGCTTCAAACATAGTCCGAGGCTCGCCAGCCAGGAACAGTGAAAACACCTTTGCGGTCCTGAACGGGACTGCTCCGAGACCCCACAGGCTCTCGCGTCTCGCTGTTTCGAAACAGTAAGGCCAACTTCGTATCCGCACGTACGCGAGGTGACCTCGCTCACATTGGTCGCGCAGTAGTTAGGGGCTTCCAGTCAGCTCCACTGTTAGGCAGGTTCGACTAACATGCTGGTCGCACAACAGCCTCCAGCCGCTATAGACTGACCGTGCTGGACGGGAACACATACGAGCCAACCGGCAGTCTTGGTCCAGTCGTCGGTAGACGATATAAAGCCTGGAGGCCGCCCGATGTGGAAGAGGGCATCACTCCCAGTGACACACATTCCCTCCTGACAAGCAAGCCTTCGTCGACATTCTTTCTATATTCCCTCTTTTGTGTTCGAAAACGCTGGATCGTCTTCATCTTTGAGCTTCTTTGTTGCTACCTAGGAAGTTCCTCTCAGACATTTGCTATATTCACAGTGGGACATTGTCAATAGACTGTTCTTTTGGAATACCCAGCACTTAAGGCTCCAAATCCTTCATTTGATACCCTGAAAACTCACTCATTGCGAATACGTTGTTTACGAACCCATCTACCAAAATCACCATGTACACCAACATTGTTTCTGTGCTCGCCCTGGCTGGCGCTGCCCAGGCCCACATGTCGATGTACTACCCAGCTCCCCTGGGAGGAGCCCCTTCCATCAACAAGCAATCCACGGAGCTTGACCCCGAGTTCAATTTCCCACTCGGTTGCTGTGGCCCCGACGGTGGTGATAGCAGACCCTCTCCTGGTATTTGCCGTGGTCATCTTGACAAGTTCGACACGGAGGATGCTACTGTTACCTGGCAACCTGGACAAGACGCTTACTTCCAACTCACCAACTACGACTACGACCCAGAGGCGCCTGGCGGTACCCACTCTGGAGGATCCTGCCAGGTCGGCTTCTCGACCGACAAGGGCAAGACATGGAAGATGGCAGCCTCATACCACGGCGCTTGCCCGCATGCCACTGAGGACGGATCACCCGAGGCCCAGACCTTCGACTTCAAAGTACCTACTGGTATGCCCGAAGGCGATGCTATCTTCGGCTGGGTGTGGCTCAATCGCGAGCATGAGGTAAGTCACGAGTGAGACGAAATGCATGTGAGACATACACTAATTTCGTTACAGTCATTCATGAACTGTGCTAAAGTCCACATTGGTGCTGGCTCTGGTGCTGGCTCTGGTACTGGCTCTGGCGATAGCACTGAGCCCAGTGAGCCATCTCAGTCTGCCACGCAGCCCGAGCAACCCACATACTCCGAGACTGAGCCTGAGCAAACCCCTCAGCCAACCTATGCACAGCCCGAGGCTCCTCCCAAGGATGATGAGAGTTACGAGCAACCGCCAGCCGCTACGCCTGTTGAGGACAGCCCGGTTGTTGTCGTTACCACTGTCGTGGCTACTACCGTCTATCAGCAATACCAGCCCACACAGACAGCGACCAATGACTCCGAAGCTTCCGAGGAGACTGATAACTCAACTGATGGCCACTGGTGGAACCGCCCTCACCAGAAGGTCAAGGCAGGCACCCGCCGCTATGCAGTCGACGGCTCCCGTTGCGAGTGCCGCCGCGATGAGCTTACTCTCGCGGCCCGCTGCTTCTGCGATTCTACCAACAAGGCCGTCGAACGCAAGGCTCTTCGCATGCATCGCCGCACTCTCTACAAGCGCGTCGATGCTTGTGACTGGAACTCAGCCCCCAACATGGAGGTCTCATACTACACTCCCGATGCTAACTGCGCCCCCAATGCTAAGGCTAACATGCCTGAGAGCGACACTTTCGAGTTGGGCTGGGATGTCAACTGTGGTGTTGTTGAGGGCCTGAGTGAGTATGAGATCAAGACCATGAGCTGCGACATGTACGGTTAGATGGTGATGTTTTAGAGCGTTTTTTTTTTCTTCTTGATACACCCCCCTTACATTCTTCACATTCGTTCATCACGTTCCTGGACGCTGGATTTTTCCTCTTTTTCTTTCTTTTCTTGGTAGACTGGGGTGGGTGGGTGTTATACACCCTTGGGATTTTGCACTTTGACACTACATATGCAGGGCAAACTGGCTTGTTTGGTCGCATCTGGGAGGCTTCACGACATTCATGCATATACCTTATGACAGTTGGGCTGGGTTGGCAATGGAAAAACAGGTTGTACAACACTAGTCACGCTGCGAAACAATTGAACACGCTCGCTAGCAAAAGAGCTTCACATCATGTCCACGATTGTAGGAGATATGTCATATCGTTTCATTCGTTGACTACTCAAGATTTTGTAATCACCCTCTTGGGCGCAAACCAGGAGCAATATCAAGTCGCAACACCCAGGTGATATAGTGAGGTGGTTGAAGACTTAAGACGACTGTCCACCCTTCCTGCCAGCCTCCTTGGCCTTCTCGCTGCCGGGCTCGAAGCTACCGGATGAAGCCTTGCCGCCCTTGGAGGCGATGTCATGTCTGTGGTATACAAAGTCAACATATGTCACACAGGCAGTTCGTAAATTGAATTCCTTACTGCTTATCGGCGTCCATGGACGCGAAACCTCCGCTGTGAGAATGCTCTCCGCCCTTCTGCGCGGCAGCTTTGACCTCCTCCTTAGGGCGATTGGCAAAGTTTCCAGGGTTGTCGTTGCCAGACATGATGTTTGGTGCTTGTAGTATGATAGAGATAAGTGGTGAGGTACGAGAAGAAGGATTGATTATTTACTGTGAGTAGAGAGAAGATGTTTGTGCTAGTTGATGCACAACAGAAGCCGGCCAACAGAGTATCTTATATGCTAGTGCCTCCCAATCCAGAATCGTACATCTGTCGTCAGCGCTTCGTCAGACCTTTGTGCATGTTGCTATGATGAAATCGCATCTTTGTTTGACAGCTGGTCTCCAACGTAATCCCGGGCTGTGACTACATCACACTTAGCCAAGACCTCACCACATCCAGCCACACGCAGGTTACCCACATCCCCATGGTTACATAGAACGCGGCATATAGCTTTTCTAGACGCTGAAATATGTCATGGGAGAGCTTAATTACATAAACGAGCCCCTGGCGATGCTCAATGTCGCTGCTGAGAGGCCGACGACATGACGTTACCATTTCGTTAGTCGTCGCTAGCACGGACGCATCGCAGGTACGATCGTATCGATGATCGGTTATCACACCATGCTGTATGCCTCATATGGGATATAGACAAGCAAGTGAACACGGGGCGTTGCTGCAAGAGTGAGATGTGAGTGTTACGATTCTGGACGATGGCACTGGATGCATTCATGGGATAGGCGCGCTAAACATGTTCCTGCAGCATCACGTGATAGCGTGGAAACGTGTTCGCAGTTGCAGGAGCACCTTTGAACCAGCCTAAATCTGCTTACAACACTTTGCATCATATACCTGCTGCCTCTCTTCGTTATGCGTTTTGGCTGTATTTTCCCAATGGAGGTGCTGAGTCATAGGAGCATTAGACAGTGGACAAAATATGTTAGCACGGCTGGTGAAAGTATGAACCAGTAAGACTTGTGAGTGCACAGAACTGTATAAGTGGTCACGAATGCGTTCTTGTGTGCCCGACAGGCGCGTTAAAAAGACACCAACATAACCAGCAAATAACAATAAACGGAAAAGAGCTTGACTACCAAGGTAGCCACCCTTGATAACGCCAGCGTCCAAGTCATCATGCTCGTAATCAAATGAGCCCAATATGCACCTCCGTCACTGCGCCGCCCCAACTCCATCTTTTGGTGGGGAATTCCATATACCCGGGTATGATCCCAACGTTACAACCGGTACCTCGTATCCAAACCCCTTCATAGCACGTACAATAGGGGGCCAGGCATTCTACTCCTGTGTCTTTCCTCCGCCCATACGCTCAATGTTTGATAGTAGCCTGCTCTTGCCACCGCTTTGGCTCCTATTCAGACCGGGAGTACCTTGGAATTTCAGGCCACCTGGTGCACGAAGACCGGATGGTTTGGCTATGCCACTGCCTGGGCGCTCGTTCATGGCACCTAGACGATCACCCATAGCACTGCCGGGGCGGCCACCCCCAAGAGCGGATCCGGGACGGAGGGTACTAGAACCACCAGCAAGGAAGCCTGTGTTACGCATTGCTTGCTGGGGCGGTGCTTGTTGTGGAGGCGCAGCGGGTGGTGCAGAGCTCATTTGTGAACGGCGAAGGTCTTCTTGTTGCATCTCTTCCATCTTCTCACCGCACATAGACAGCATCTGTTCGGCAGCTGCTACCAGCTCGCCCTTCTCGATGCGCTCAGCCTCGAGATCTTCCACAAGGGTATCGTGGGATTTGCGAAGGGAGTGAAGTTCAGATTGCAGACCAGCGAGTCTAGCTTTGAGGTTCTCGATTTCGGCTCTCTGCGCTTCTAGCATCTGAGCGTCTTCGGCGTTTCTTATAGACTTTGAGGGAGTCGCTCCTTGGTTCTCGTCCTTGGAGTCATGCTCACCGGGACTAATCCTGCTGAATGTGTTGTCGCGCTTTTTCCCCGCCTCTTCCACTTGTCGTTCGAGACTAACGATCTGCGTTCGTAGCTCCTTGCACTTTTCGTCGGCCTTCTTCTGGTAGTTGTCCTTGAGGGCCTTGATCTTCTTCTCGTGCTTAGCTTTGTAGGCTGTATGTAAGTCGCGTGCAATCTCATTAACCTTCTCAGCAATGGCAGATTGGCACTCAAGCTCAGAGTAGACCTTTTTGTTCTCATCCCCCTCGTCACCGCTGATGAAAGTCGTCATGTCGACGTTCTTGCTTTCAGCATCGATGACTTTGGTTTCAAGCTCAGCCGAGCGGCTCTCAGCATCGTCGGCACGCTTTTCAGCATCAGCTAATCTCGCTAGAAGATCTTCACGCTCAGCATCGTTGCGCGCCATCTCGGCCTGAACATCCTGCAGTAGTTTCTGGACCTCTTCACCCTTCGATTTCCAGTCTACCATTTGGGTCTCTGCATATTCTCGAGCAGAACGTTCGTCGCGGACGGTCTCTTGGGCTTCGCCAACCCGGCGCTCGGCATCGGCAATGGCCTTCGAAAGAGCGTCGATCTCAGCCTCTTTCCCAGATAAGCTAGCGGTGAGAGACGAGACTTGAGACTGAAACTGAGACTTTACAGACTCCAGCTCGCGAATAGTGACAGTAGGTAACGATCGTGGTGTTGGTGCCGGAGGCAGCTCGAAATCTAACAGATTGAACATTTGGCTTCTCTGATTTGGGGTAGCAGGCAATTGCGATCCACCCTTGGCCGGTGATCGCTGGTTCTGGTAGTATGAGCGGAGATTTGGCTCAGCGGCAGACTTGCTAGGCGAATGGCGTCCGCGTCCTGCTGACTCGCGGCGAGACGACGAGAAGGATTCGATCTGAGCTGTGAAATCCAAGAGCAGGTTTGTAGTATCGTTATCGTTGTATGCGCGCCGTGGCGTAGGACTAGGTGTACGCTCTGATCGGCGGACCGTTGAAGGGGTCATCTGGGTGCGAGCGCGAGGCGTAGCCTTGTCACATTGTTAGCATCTTATATTTGACTAATGTCATACAGACTTACATCTGGCATCTCTCTCTTTGTAGGGCTCTGTTTTAGGCGGGCAAACTTTGTCATATCTATTCCGGGCATCTCTGAGAAGTTGCTGAAGCAGGTATCGTCAACATCCAAGGATGTTACCTCTGGGCCGTCTGGGTTGAAGTCTGTGTTGTCCATACTCAGATCAATCTCATATTCGCAATCTCGTGAAGTTTGTTTCCTTGGAGTCTCCCGGTTTCTCGAGTTGCTCTCCTCCATGAATTTCATTGCGGTAGTCAAGCCTTCATTATCACGAAGGGCTGGCTCTTGGTGAGAAGAGGCTGGTCGTTTCGATGGTGTAACAGATATTTGACGCTGGTGTGTATGCGTCGGTTTGCGCTGAGCGGTTTCGGGTGATGGAACGCGAGACGATTTCGAGGGTGATTGGCTTTTGCGGGAGTTGCTACTCATTGCGGATCCAGGTCGGTCGACGGAAGTCTCCTTGACTGGAGAGATGTTTTTCTTAGGAGTCTGTCGATCCTCGCTACTAATCTTGAGTGCTGCGTCGTCGAACTCGTCCATCAAATTCTTCGCCGGCAGCGTCTTCATTGGGCTTGTGCGCTCTTTCAACCCATACTTCTTCTCTGGCGACACTCTGAACGCAGATTGCGGTGCGCTGTCCTCCAGATCGACTAGTGGCTTTACGGGGGTGGCCGCTGCGTTGGGAGCGATATTCTCCTGGTCTTCGACATCGATATGGTCTACGAAAGGCGATGAGGGAGGGTCATTGTACGCCATATCGACGTCGTCGATGATGATGTCGTCAGAGTAGGTGTTGAGCTTCTCTGGCAAAAAGTCTGACATTGGTTCCGCCATATCTGCGATTCGGGAATTGCGGTGTCGAAAGTTGGCCGGAGTGTCGATGCGGAGCGCGTAACAGTGTGTTGTGGCTGCTTGTTTACAGTCCGTGCGCATTGGTTGCCCCTTCCCCATTCGGTAACCCCCGTTTTGGCCGAAGCCCTGAGCCAGCCGCTGTTCACCACGCACTGCGTTGCAAACGTTTTGTAATAAAGCAAATGTTACAACACACGCATAGAGTTGGTACAGGTAGCATGTATGATTGGAATTCTCGGTCTTGGTTGTCTGGGAACATTCCTCCTTCTAAGTATATGGTCCATTTCAGTAGTTGATTGCTCCTCTCAATGCGCCAGCCAGTCTTTGATACTCCTTCAATAACTCGTCTACCTCCTTGAGCTTCAAGTCCTGAGAATCCTTCGCCTCTAAGAAGCGCTTGGCAGGCGGTGTAGTCTTCTTCAGTTGCTCCAAAGCAGCGACTGCCCTCGCTCCCTTGTCATCTATTGGTGGTATTTCGTTCGTGGCTGTGCGACTTAGTGGCTCTGGAGAAGGCGAAGCCTTGACCTGCTCCTGGCTCGGTGAAGGGAGAACAGGTGTACTACTGCTGCTTACAGCGCGTGCAAAGCGAGGCAGTACATTCATACTGGACAACCGATTCAAGGGATTGAAGTTGTTGCCCATACTGCGCAGGGAGTCAACTGCCGAAGTGTTGCTCGGCGTTGGAGGATCCGTCTTGATAGGAGCTGGTGATGGTGTCTTCTCTTCTACATTCTGTGCTGAGGCAAATGCAACGCGCCGTCCACTATTGCTGCCCCCTGACTTTGTGGAATCGACGCTACGATCTCTGATTTGTCTTTTGCCAGCAAAAAGATCAGCCATCTTCGCATCCAGCCCTCTGCTGATAGGAGCCTCTGTTGGCTCGTCACCTTGCACTGAACTTGCTGCACTGACACTCAAGGCGTCCTCGTCTCGCTCTGCGCGGGTGGGAGAGCTCACAAGCTTCCTTGCATCTTCCAGTGTCTTGGGGAGTACTGGTTGCTCCTGCACGGGTCCGTTTGGATTCTTCTCTTTCAGACCACCAAAGAAGAACTTGAAGCTAGTGTCTAACGTGTTGTTAATTCTCCCGAGTGCCTGGTCGGCGGAATCAAGAATAGAATCCCGGACTGCATCAGAGGCAGCTTCAATTTTGTTGGTTTGTGTTTGAATGAGGTTGCTCAAGCGGCGCTGAGCTTTGGTGGTCGTTGGACTTGAGGGTTCTCTGGAATGTGTTTTGGAGATGGGAGTTGCTGGTGTTTGGATGAGATCCGGCGCGTCCGAAAGCCCTAGGGGCATGGGTGTGATTTCGGATTTGGGCGTCGAAGGCCTGGAGTCTGGCCTCGCAGGAGTGGCTTCTTCGGCGCGTAGTGAAGAAAGATCGACGGTCTCCAAAAATGAGATGGCTGCTTCCAAGTTGACCAGGCAATACGCAGTCTCGCCATCCATACGGCTGGACCCGCGGAAACGATGTATGAAGTTCAGATCGCTAATCACGTTCAAGTCGACAGGTGGCATGGTGATGAGTGCGTAGATGAGCGTCGGGAGAATTTCATCAGCAGACGAAGTGGAAGGAAATATCTTTGACAAGGCTTCGACAATGGACTTGTGTGCAGCAGTCAAATGCTGGACCTTTCCAAGCGGATACCGCTCTTCGTTCATCTTAAGAATGTCTTGACGTGCCGCAGATAGGTATTCCCGAATCTCGGGCTCCTTCTCTTTGGCTTTCTGGCGCTCTTCCTCAGTCAACTCCTCGCCTGTCATCAAGAGCTCTTTCAGACCAATGCCAACGAGCGAGAGCGCAGCTGTGCGCGATCTGAGCTTGTGATCCCTTTCCTCGTCATCAGTGCTCCTATGCCGCCATATCCGCTGGTAGACCTTCTCGCACACGGCGCGCTCCACAGCCTCTTCAAGTGCAAATCGCTTGAGCTCGAGTGATCTCCGCGCTTTCTTGCGGTCAGCCATTTCGGTCGCACTGAGCATCTGTTGTTGTTGTTGTTCCCCTGACGGGTCGCTTCCCTTCCGTATTGACGATGGTTTACTTGATGGGGCCGACCCTTTCTTCGCGTTTGCGACATAGTTGTCACTTGTCAACCGAGCAGAGAGGGTAGCTATGTGTGTGCTGATTTTTGCGGAGGCACGGCCGTAGAAGTCTTGGAAGAGATCGGCGAGGGCGTCGGCGGATAGGGGGGTGGGGTGTACTTTGGCTGTGAGGGATTCGAGGAACCTGCGGAGGCGTTAATGCGATGGCGTGTGACATGGGCGGCAGAAGATACCTCTCGGTCAAGCTACGGATCTCGATGGGCAGCTCCTCGAAAGTGTCGGGTACTTTGGACTCGTCGCTCTCTTCATCTTCATGTTCGTCTTCCTTTTTCGCGAACACGTCACCGTCAGTGTTCTCATCTTCCTCGGGTACCATGGCAGCCTTTAACGGATCGAGCATGTCTGATGCGTGTGGCCCTTGCAGTGTGTTGGCTCGACTTCGTGAGAGCGGACTCTTAGGCGCAGAGTCGAGCCGCGTAAAAGAGCGCGAAGGATGCAGGTTTCTGGGCCGCCCGGTCATGTTGTTATTGTTGCAGGACGTGGAATGGAAATCTAAAAGTGTCGTGTGCCTGCATCGGGAGAGTGATGCTGCTGGGAAACTGGGGGAACGAAGCTCATGCGTTCACGTCATGCGGCTGCGCACTGCACTTCCGCGTGTACCGGAAATCGTCTTGGTGCACTTGAGAGGAGGATATAACATGTGCAAGGTGTCGGGTGGACTGTCTGTCAATGGAAGACGGCAACGAGTGGCGTTTGGAGTCGACGTTGGTACTCGTGGTTGAGCTACCCAGAGCTCGCTATCCATAGCGATGGGAGCTCCCCGCACCGACCCGCACGTGAAAGGAGCGGCGCCACTGGGCGTCTGGGGTCAAGTGAAGCACCGATCGTCATCGATGTCCGATGGAGGCAGCCTTCACCCGCTGCTTGGACTTGCCATCGCGCGCTCTCACTCTTTCTCTCTGTGGTTCGTATCTCTTTTCCTTATCATAATCTCAAAAGATGGGCCGACAAACACCCTGTCCCTCTGCATCGCGGGTGGCTGCTTCCTTCCTGCTGTCGTTCCTGGCTGCAAGCGTTGCGAGCGCGGCCGACATGTCCGTCCTGCCGCCGCCGCCGCCGCCTCCTCTCCCGCATAGTGCTCACAACATCGACAAGGACTTTACGCTGCGACACATCTTCCACCATGGCGCCTACAAATACCCCGAGCTCCATAGGCGAATCGATGTTCCAGAACATGTCGCAGTATGGACAGCCCAAGACGAGCACTCGGTCAGTCGCGAGCCCGTGCCGCGGCTGCGCGTCAAATCCGAGGTCATGAACATCCAGAGACTGGCCGATAGGAGCAAGGAAACAATCGCCGGCATACTAGAGTGGGGAAGAAGAAGCGGAAGAGGCGTGCAGCTGCCTGAAGAGGACTGGACAATCGACGAGATAGCAGGACCCAACGTCACCGACCGAGAGACAGTCCTCAGCTTCGCACGCATGGCCTCAGACGCCTACATATTAGATCCCGGTACTGGCGAGTGGGAGGATGTCGGTGGCGGCTTCAACTACACGGAAGACTTCGGCTGGGAATCAGACGGTCTGCGAGGCCACATCTTCGCTGATACCGAGAACTCGACAGTCGTCATAGGCTTGAAGGGTACATCTCCCGCCATGTTCGATGGTTCCGAGACGACTACAAACGACAAGATCAACGACAATCTGTTTTTCAGCTGCTGCTGCGGCCAGGGTGGGCAGTACCTGTGGCGACAAGTCTGCGACTGTCAAACCTCGGCCTTCACCTGCAACTCCACCTGCCTCGTCACTGCCCTTCGCGAGAAGAACCGATACTATTACGCTGCTCAAGACCTGTACCACAATGTCACGGCATTGTATCCTGATGCCGAGATTTGGATGGCTGGTCATTCTCTCGGTGGTGCCGTATCGTCTTTCCTCTCCCTCACGTTTGGACATCCTGCAGTTACCTTCGAAGCTGTCCCAGAAGCCATGCCAGCGTCCCGTCTCGGTCTTCCTGTGCCACCCGGCCACCAGATCGGCTCACTGCAACAGCGCAAGTTCACCGGCGGTTTTCACTTTGGACATACTGCAGATCCCATATACATGGGCGCATGCAACCAAGCTACCAGTGCCTGTACTATTGGCGGATACGCTTTGCAGAGTGTCTGCCATACCGGGCAAAAGTGCGTATACGATACAGTAAAAGACTTTGGCTGGCGCATGGGTATTGGCACCCACAAGATTGTTGAAGTCATCCGAGACGTTATACTAAAGTACGATGCGCCTCCCAAATGCGAAGCCTACGTTGACTGCACCGACTGCTACACTTGGGAGTACTTTGAGAGCAACGGCACCGAGACGACCACTAGCAAGAGCTCGAAGCCCACAGCCACATCGACGTCAACCAGGTCTAGTCGCACGCGAACTGAAACATGCAAAACCCCAGGATGGTGGGGATGTCTCGACGAATCGACGACCAAGTCACACAGCAAGACGACGTTTACGACGACATCATCGACCTCGACGTGCAAGACGCCCGGTTGGTTTGGCTGCCTAGACGAGACGACTTCGTCTACGACCATGACAATCACTACTACACCTGCTCCGGCACCTACTGTGACAACCACGTCGTCGACACCTACGTCTACTTCATCATGCAAGTATCCAGGCTGGTTTGGCGGATGCTTCGACGGTGATGACCCGCCTGCGAAGACACACCATACGCCCAAGCCAACTCCGACGGCTACCTCTGCCAGCACGTCGTGCACATCCGAAGGCTTCTTTGGTCTTATATGTTACGACAAGTCAAAGAAGCACGGGAAGACGAGTTCCAACTCGCCAATGACTGAACGGATGGAGATGTAGAGGTAGATGGAAGTGAGAGAGGGCTAGTTATTTCAGCATCTTGAGTTCTTTGTTGGGTTAAGGCGCAATGGCAGGCATTATATCCAGGCGTACGGGTTTTTTCTGGCATATGGCATTATAAGCATCGCGATCGTTTTACAACAACATCACTAAATAAATAAACAGTGCATCATGCATGGTCTATTTTTGGTTGGGTTTATAATGGAGATGCGGAGATAGCGGGAATACATGTTCGTTACCGTTCCCTTCGGTATGACTGCGGACCACCTAGCCTTGAAGCCTGTGTACTTCATGTAAACAAGCTTTTGCTTGACACGTTGATCGAGGAATTCTTGTTGCGAGGCATTGGTGGGCTCTTTGTGCCGCATTTCAAATACCGCTCAAAGTCCTAGTCTATGGCCGGGCGGTGTTATTTCAAACAAGTTGAACATGTCACGAGGTTGCGCTCGGCATTTTATACCGAGCACTCGCGTCATAGAGAACCACGCCATCTTGTGCGCGGCATCCACACCGCTGCAGATGATGTGTTCCTTGATTCTGTCCGAGAGGGAGGTGTTTGTTAACAGTCAGACATCGTACCATATGAGTTGGGCAGTACTCGTAGCGTCTAAACCATGTGGCAGTACGAACTACGAGATCTGCAGCCCGAACAACATGCGTGACAGGGATAAGGCGAGAGGAAGATGCCTGCTATACCTGTGTTGGCGGCTGATGTCGTTGGCGTGACAAAGTGGCGGTCTGACTTTGTGGTAGAAGGTTGAGGATCAACAGCTCTAGAAGATGTGAAGCAGCCGAGTCGCGTCGGCCGTAGCATCCACCATCCCCACCTACCCTTTTGGCCAGAGAGCGACGGTGTGTCTTCTGGATGCAGCCCTCTGCTCTGCACAGTTCTCGGGTGCCGATCAATGTAAGGGTCCCCGAGCGTCTTGTGGTGGTGGGGCCTGTCGAGAGGTTTCAGGATTGCATGCTTACTGTCGGCGCGCGCGGATGCACGCAGCAGGTTTTTCTGCTGTCTCGAGGCAGTATCTCGGTGTCTTGATCTCGATCATGTGCAGTGCAGACATGAGTTTACAGACGTGATGGTGGATGTCAGACAGTACAGTCGTCGCGGCACCTCGCAGCCGTTGGCCTGGCCGGTAACGCTAAATAGCAAATGTCGCAATGGACAGGGGCGGGTCGACGATAGCCTATACAGCTGACAAGGCGGGTTTAGTATGCGATTGTCGGGCCCAGAGCCAGCCAGCTAGTCTTCGCAGCCGCGCCTTGGAAAATGGCTTTTTCATCGATTCCTCTTAAGTTGCTCGATCGCTGATAACAGCAGCTTCTGTCTACTCGATCTTTCCGCTCTCCGCCCCGTCCTGTTCGCCTCTCCGCTGGGCCTGTTTGCCGTTTCCGCTCACACTCTCAGCCCTACCGCCATCTAGTCACGGGACCATTTGTTTTCAGGCACCCCCCTTTGCTGGTTCTCAGAGACCCTGCAGCTGCGGCCTCTAGCCAGCTTTTCCTGCCCTGACGACATCACGCTTACGTGTTGGTCGCGCCGCCTCGCCCTAGATTCAACCCAACACAGCCGCAGTGTGTGGCATCGCATCTCGCTGCGAAGTAATTCGGCCTCTCTGAACAGCTTTCAGCGCGCATCGGCTGTACTCCGGGCTGTGCCTGCACATCATCGCTCGTGCGCCCGGTAACCCAGGAGATTGCCTCACAGCACCTACGTCATTGCTCAGCACAGCGGCAATCCCCACCAAACCAAGACCCTTCACACCGCACCAACCACTCCTGCATTACTTGCACACACCCTTTCCAAGCTATCAAGTCCCCCATATTCATGCACCTATCTCCTACGACAGCTTGATCTGCCCGCCCGCCCGCCACATCCACGCTTCACCCAGCTGACGCGTGTGAAGGCATTCACACCATGTCCACACCGGCCCTATCGCCTAGGCCTAGAGGCTCTTCTCACACATCTTCTCGCCCACGAGCTTCAGGATCGACGCCCATGACGAGGCCAAGTGCCTCACTACACCCGACGTCTGCGCTACCACCCCTCACGCCCCGCATGAATGGGGTAGCCAAAACACCGAGCCATGTAGCCTCACAGAAGACGAAGGAGCCCTCGACCTCCTCACCTAACTACTTTGGTCTTGCCGTCAACAGCAATGCCGACCACTTCTCTTCTAGTGCAGCCCAGCACATTCGCGGAAACTGGAGCCCGCCAACTTCGAATGTGCGCTCTACAGCCGCTGCCTCTCCGCGGATAATACCCGTCGAGCAGAATCCCGAGTTTGAGCAATTTAGGAAACAGTCGGAAAACAACAGAGCATTTGCCCTGGGCAGCTTCGACTTTGCCTCGCCCGGCCTAAAAGCACAATCCAAGAGCCCATTCTTCACCAACATCGACTCCGCACAGCCCTCATACTCACAGTCACAGTCACAGTCAATGCCACCGCCCGACCGACCAGGCGATAAGAGCGATACAAGCGACGAGCAAGAGTTCGCTCCCAAGCCCCGTTCCCCAAAGCGCATGTTGTCGACCGAATCCTCCATGTTCCCTGACCGGCCGCGACGAAACTCTCCAGCCAGTTTTGATGGGCCTGGCCGCTCAGATGCCGTTGCCCAGTTTGCCGAACCCGGTATCCCACGGCCGTCGTTACCTTCGAAAAAGACGCATCCTCAGCATATATCAATATCCACCCACCGGGCCGAAACACTTCCCGCACATTTCGAGGAAGAAGGCAGCAACACTACCGGTCCTACCATGGTCACTGCTCAACACATCATCAACATCCTACAATCTTCTACTGATGAGATCCTTCTGCTTGACCTCCGAGTGTCAACACAATATGCCAAGGCTCGCATAACGGGCGCCTTGAGTCTCTGCATTCCTACGACTCTTCTTAAGCGCGCTTCTTTCAATGTCCAGAAGCTAGCCGAGACCTTCAAAGACGACGAACAAAGGGACAAGTTTGAGCGATGGAGGAGCAGCAAACACATCATAGTATATGACGCCAACTCGTCGCAAATGAAGGATGCCACAACCTGCATCAACACTCTCAAGAAGTTTACCAACGAAGGTTGGACAGGTGGCACGTTTATCATCCGTGGTGGTTTCCAAGAATTTGCCGAAAAGTTCCCAGCTTGGATCACACACCAAAGCTCTGGAAGTCCGACCTCCGGCACCGCCGCTCTCAATCTCAACTCCGATCTTCCTGCTGTTGCACCCGTTATTGGTGGGTGCCCCATGCCCGCAACCCAGAACGCTGCGAACCCCTTCTTTGGCAACATCCGTCAAAACATGGATCTCATTGGTGGAGTTGGGCAGATGCCCGTCAAGCTGCCAGCCGGCATGACCCAGTCAGTAGAAGATGATCTTCCACAATGGCTCCAGAACGCATCTGAGGAGCAGGACAAGGGCAAGACAGTTGCGGAACGGTTCTTGCAAATCGAGCAGCGCGAACAGAAGCGCATGCAAAAGGCTTTGTCTGGTGAGGTCGTCTACAATGCTCCGTTATCATCAGAAGGTACTGGGCAACACATTCAGATTGCGGGTATCGAGAAGGGTTCGAAGAATCGCTACAACAACATCTGGCCATACGAACACACCCGTGTCAAGCTTGAAGGAGTTGATGAAGGGAGCTGCGATTATGTCAATGCCAACCACGTACAAGCCGCGTATTCCAATAAACGTTACATCGCAACGCAAGGACCCATCCCGGCTACCTTCAAAGTAGGTTGTTCCTATATGAATATCATGTCATGTACTAATTCTTTGTCAGGACTTTTGGAACGTTGTATGGCAGCAAGACGTCCGCGTTATTGTCATGTTGACTGCTGAGCAAGAAGGTGGACAAGTCAAGGCGCACAACTACTGGTCGGATAAACGATATGGCCATCTACACCTCAACCCACTCGGTGAACGTAGGGCATCTCTGGAGCCATCGAAGATCTACCGCCATAGGGAACAGTCAAGGCCGTCCATGGGCCAGCGCAGGTCAACAAACCCGCCGAAACTTGCCAACTTCACCAAGGAAGCTACCACCGGCTCTCCTAGCCAGGAGCAGCCCTATGTTATCGTACGCAAGTTCACTCTGTCGAACGATGATGAACCTTTCGCACGTATGCGCGAAATTACACAGTTACAGTACTCCCATTGGCCTGACTTCGGAGCGCCAGCCCATCCTACGCATCTGCTCGGCCTGATCGAGCAGACTGATGCTGTTGTCCGTTCGGTCAATGGTGGCTCACCTTCGCAGCCCGACCCGCCTAACAGCCGTCCGATCATAGTACACTGCTCGGCCGGATGTGGCCGTACCGGTACTTTCTGCACAGTCGACTCCGTTTTGGATATGCTCAAGCGGCAACGACAGGCTCGCAACGCCAGGCAAACCACACCAATGGACACCGACGACAAACTAGCCAAGAACGAGCGTGAAGAGGGCAGCTGGGTGAACAACGAAGAGATCGATCTCATTGCGAAGACGGTAGAAGACTTCAGACTGCAGCGTCTGAGTATGGTGCAAAGTCTGCGACAGTTCGTGCTATGCTACGAGAGTGTGATGGAATGGCTCGTGGAGCAGCACCCCAAGTCTGCGTAGAACGCGGCGACTCAATCGACGTTTTCCTTCGACGGAAACGTCTTTGTGCCCGCAATCATAATATGGAAATGAGAAACACGAATTTGTTAACGACCAAGGGACACTGGGCAAACGGCAGCGCATGCATCATCATCGGTGTAGGACTGGGACCCATTGGGAGGCGTTCTGCATGCATGGATGCATCATTGTTTGGCTTAGAGCATATACATACATGGGTATGCATTGGGATGGGTGTCATGGTGATTTCGGCGTTTTAACGGACTTTAGCATAGTGTCTTGTGGTTTAATTTAGATAATTTGAGAATTGCATCCTCCTGCATCTACTTCTACTCCAAGCTGTGATGTGTAATCGAAGTAGACAGAATTCGACACAATTTTATGCCGAGCGATGCAACTACCTAAAAGCAAGGTTTTCTTAATGGATATATTATCTAAACTCTTCAAAACAAAGAATCAACCCCATATATGCGTAATACTACAAGTCCCAATACCTAGACAAAAAAAAAGGTAGACTCGAACAAACTACTTCCCACTGCTATGGTTGCAAGCAGGACGAACAGCTGACAAGCTAATAAGCAGCATTCCCTTGATCATGCTCCTTGATATACTCGGCACCTTTTTCCAAAAACTCCTGGCGAGTAATAAAATGCTGCCTCGACTCCTTCTTACCCGCCCACTGCGCCGCCCCACGCCAAGCATCCAGTACACAGTCACCGGCTCTCCTCACATTGATAGTTTGTTCCGCAGGCAGCACGGCACGGAGTTCAGAGCGCAGACGTTCCTCGAAGCCCTGGAACATGGTGTTGCCGCCAGTGAGGAAGATGTCTTTTAGAACGTCGTCGCGGTGGGGTGAATCCGCTAGACGTTCTGTGAGAATGTTCGATGCGATTTCTACGATGCCGGCTTGGTCGAGACCAGCGATTGTGGGTTGGAAGACTACTTCGGGTACGCGGATGCGTTCCACGTTGAGGTGGATCTGATTTGTTTCCTTTTGGGATTCGGCGTCGTAAGGGTAAGGGCCGTGGAGGAAGGAGTGGAGAATGGATTTTGTCCAGTCTGTTTGTGCTTCGCGGGTTGATTCTTCGGTGAAGTTGGGGTCGTGTTGCAGGAGTTGGGACTCGATTTCCTTGAGGTTCTTGGAGAGATCTTCTTCTTCTTCGTCGTCGGAACCTTCGCCCGTGGCAATGGTGCGGTAAACGCCCCAGTCAGCGTCGTCAGCACCAAAGGTGTCATCGTCACCGCCACCTCGTCGTCGCTTCTTGGTGGGTGTGTCTGAGGCGAGGTTGGCGATGGACTTCATTCGCATTTGGTTGGCAAGCGACTTTCGGTTTCCAAGTTCAGCCTTGAGGCGCTCGCGGTCCTTCATCTTCTGGATGATGGCTTGGCGAGCTATTCGGCGCTCTTCTATCCAGCCTTGAGGATCTGTTTCTCGTCGTTGGTCGTCAAGTCGTTGCTCTTCTGCCTGCCGTGCCTTTTCCTTTTCCTTCTCTATCTTCGCACGTTGGCGTGCATCGTAGTTGGACTTCATCAACCGCTGCTGTCGCTTTTGCTTGATGCCCTCCTCATCAAGCTGATCGTCCGGAACCTCCAGAAGGGGGAATGTAGGTGCTTCAACCTGCTCTTCTTCTACATCGCCGAGGTCCTTGTTACGAGCCTTCTTGACGGCAGCTTCTAGTTCCTTGACTCGTTTGTTGAGCTGGTTCTCGTCGTCAAAGTCGTTTGACTCCAGTACACGGGCCTTCTCCTTCTTCGTCGTAATCTCTTCAAGTTGCGCCTGCAATTGTATGCACCACTCCAACTCTTCTTCCTTCTTCTTCAACTTTTCTAGACGCATCTTTGCAGCCTGGGCTTGTAGTCTTCGGCCGCTCTCCTTGCGCTTTTCTGCTGCTGCTGCCAGCTCTTCCTCGGTCTTTTGTACAACGATCTGCTCAGTATAGGGGAACTGAATCGTATGGTCTCTGTCTTCTAGGCCCGTCCAATCCAGGTAGCGGCTGAGGTCGTTCTCGTAGTCTTGCGAAACATAACAGTGCTCTCGGACAAGATCTTCAGCCTGGTTGTCGCTGATCTTTCCAGGAAATGTAGGGTACTTCAGCCTTAGTAGCTTCAACAGGTATTGGGCGGACTGGAAGCGACCCCAGTTCAGACGTGTGGTTTGTGACAACAACGGCTTGGAGTTTACCACGGGGATGACGTGCGTGGAGGTGTACGACGAGTCCATGACCAGGCCGTTGCGACCGCCGTTGTACGAGTAGGAGAAGAGCGAGTCGATACCGTATGCGACGGACGGTGCGCCATAGCACTCGAAGAGGATTTCGGACATGGCTGTAGAGTTGATGTTAGCCATATGCACAGTCTCATCTGCTACAGACTCACGTACTCTTTCGTGAATAGCCTAGGTTCGCAACAGGCTCCGTCATGACGATGGGCCTATCTATGCGCCCAGATCGTCCATCCACACCCATTTTGACGAAGCAATAGTCAAGCACGCCCTCCATGACGTCCCAGTTGTTCACAATGTTGCTGCCAGGCTCATAGACAGGCTTCGATTGTCCTCGCGCTGTACCGTCGGCATAGACGTCTGATCCAACAAAGGTGAAAGTTCGGTTGAGCTTGCGGTCGCGGTATCTCGCCATGTTGGGCAATACTGATAATCGGGGTTTGGAGTCGAAAGACCACCCGGCGCGAACTGCTGACGAGCCTACAGTACGTTAGTATGCGTAGAAACATGGGCGCATCTGCATTCTGAGTGTACCATTGTCGATGACTATTGCGGTTTCGCCGTTGCTACGCGACCAGCCTTCTTTGTCGACGGGCCTGAAGCCTTCGAAAGGCGGTTCCGACACGCTCCAGAGCTTGGGTGGAGGTTTAGGTGGATTGCGCCCTGCGAGTTGCGGCGCCTCGTCGATGGCTGAGGGAGCCATGGTGGTGAAGTTGGAGATGGAGTAGATGGAGGATCAGCTTGTTATTTCATGTCGCGGACACGAGATGTGGCGTGTGAGCTTGTTTGGCGCGATTGGTGCTGAGGATGCGCGGCATTGCGGTTGCCATATGGTGAGGCTCTTCCAATGCTCGGTGGTCCGAGCCCATCTCCGTCCACGGCTATGTTACGCTATTTCACATGACAACCATGCTCATTACTATCTTGCTGCACGAAATTCTGACATGATCATATCTCATTATTGGGTATCTATCCGCTCCATTCTTGTCATTGCTTCCAGAATTTGGACTTTATGCGAGCTTTGGCAGTGCCGTGGAAAATGCAACTTGCATACCGAGAATACTTCACGCTGTATGCTTAAGCAGGATCCTTCAGACCGTTTGTTGCTTTGGTCCGTTAGCAATGTCATACGGGATTCTCAGCACGACTGCATATACCTTCTAAATGGAAAAGAACATTGGACTGGTAGTTCTTGAACATCTGAGCTACGAGCTCTGTGTCCATGTTCTGGATGTTGATCTCTTGCAGATTCTTGTTTAGCATCATGATGGCCTCATTCAACTTCTCCTTTAGGGCAGTCAGCATCCTTGTCCTCGTTGTACCTGGAAACTTTGGGTTTGACTGACAACATTCACAATGATGCGAGAGAGCAGTTGGCTCTGCTGGTGCTCGTGTGGGCTTTCCTAGAAACACGGTCAGATATACGCGCTGCTCAGGATGGCCGTTTTATTGAATCCCACCATTATTGCAATCCTGTAGTGTTGCCGTTGGTGGTACGCGTTCAAGTTGTTTGGTGGGGAGGATGAAAGCAGTTAGTGTAGACGATGCAGTATGCAGGTCCAGAGGTCGGGCGGGAGAGCTCCACCTCCGCAAGCTCCATCGCGATACAAACACCAACACTCTGCCACGCTTACATTGATTCTTGCCACAACGCATACACCGCTATCGCGACTTTTCAACATATCTCATCGAAATCGGCCTCGCACGCGACCAAACTCGACAGCAACAACACCAGACGGACAACGCGACAAGAAAACAACGAACCGCGGTAAACACACCTAAGCCTATCGACTGCGATTTCTTGGGCTCTCGAGATCTCCAAACATGGCCCCATTGACAGCCGCCTCGGATGAGAAAACGCATCAGGCGCTTCTGGACAAGCTTGACATCTACGCAGTACCTAAGCCTTTCCGCAACCCAAACTGGAAGCCACCACAGCGACGCAACAAGAACCTCAAGCAGATCCTCGGTGAGGCGTCACGCAAAGAAGCCTCGGTCATGGCCACACAGAACAATAGCGGTAACTCGACACCCGCCGTAAATGCTGAAGGCAACACTCCTACTGGCCGCGCGCCGAATATCGCCCAAGCAGCCCAGAGTCTGAGCACACTGGTATTGGAGAAGAACGGCAGAGCTGCTGCTGGGCCAGCGCCTACATACACCAACATTGAGTCAGCTCCGAGCTTCCACCCGAGCAGTCAGAAGAAGTATTGCGACATCACCGGTCTCCCTGCGCCGTATACAGACCCCAAGACGCGTCTAAGGTACCATAACAAAGAGGTCTTTGGAGGTATCCGTACCATGCCACAGAATGTTTCAGAGGGCTATCTCGCTGCAAGAGGTGCACACACAATCTTGAAGTGAGCGTCACATCGGTGCTGAGGTGGCTACTGCTGCTTCAAGGTCAATAGCACATGCGCCGTTCACAGTCCCTAAGTCAAACGGGCTAATAACATGCGTCTGAGCCTGGTCAGATACTCAGATGCATTCAGGGTTTATGTATGATCATCAAAGTCAAACTACTCTCCACCCACCATATGCCTTTCGGCTCATGGCTCAAGGAGGTGTTCCGGCTTAACCGTGATCCAGTATTCTTCTGCGCCCATAAGACAGTATACCAGGGCCTCGAGGGAGGATTCCTAGTTACAGCAGCTTGAAGCACGCTGTTGTCAGGGCGGGATCTACGTTGTAATAGTAATTCAAGTATCTCGTAGCTAAAGAAGAACAATGCATGAATTGCTCTTTCCTGCCGAGTATTGGAAGATTCTTGTCTAGCTGTTCTCGCATTAGATGGACGAGGACGGTAGAGGTTGAGAAGCATGCCACCAGATTTTTATGCGATTACCCGCGGGAACTGCGGCGCTAGCAGGGGGTAAGCTTCGGGCCGATCATCGACTGAGCGCGCCGCGTCTCAACTCTCACCAAGGGGACACGAGACAAGAAAACGAAAGATACCAGCTTCATGCCAGATATACACCGAGACTAGGCACCAGTTTGCTACTTCTCTTTCTTTGTCGCATTCTCCATCTCTCCGTCTACATCGCATCGCACGCTGCGCACTACACAAATCCCAAACTTCCAAGATGCCGACCATGTGGCTTTCAGATACCCAAAGTATGTTGCGCAAGCATGCAGCTTCATGTTCACTGCATAGGACATGTGCTAACTGCACAAACAGAGATTGGGGTCGCCTTCTGCTCAGGGGGTAGGTACGCGCCCACTACCACGAATGTGTCCGCTATTCAGCAGACGATTGACAACATGAACAGGCGGACTCTTTCTGATGGGAGGTGTCATGATGTTTTTTGATCGTGCAATGTATGTTCTATACTTGCGTACATACATGCATGCATTGCTAACAATATGCATAGGCTAGCAATGGGAAACGTACGTCTATACCACTCCTCCAAACCTTGATCTCCACCATCGAACCTTCCCTAATACCCCCCTGACAGATACTATTCCTAATCGGCCTCACACTCATCATCGGAACAACCAAAACCGTCGCCTTCTTCGCCCGCAAGCAGAAATGGAAAGGCACAGTGGCTTTCGTCGCTGGTATATCACTTATCCTGATGCGATGGGCTTTCATCGGCTTCATAATTGAGTTGTACGGCATACTTGTTCTATTTGGAGATTTCCTCATGACAATTGCGGGCTTCATCAGTAATGTACCGGTGATTGGACCGTATATTGCTAGAGCACTAGAGGCGATAAGTGGTGCCAGACGGAACGCCGATCTGCCTGTTTGAGATGACAAGGATAGCATTGACGATACGACACTGATGAAGTATGGATGGAGACGTGGGGACTTTGTAAGATACATACGCGCAGGAATAGCGGCAAGGTGTTGCTTAACGCTGGCATGGCCATAGCTAGCAGGGTGGCAGACGATGACTGGGATTCGTGTCTACGGATAACAGGTGTTGCATGAAATGACTACCATTTTATTCAGTACGAAACATGAAAGTCTCGAGGTAAAATGCCAAAACATATCTCAACGTGAAAATTTAGCGGAGCTATTCGAACGCTCATCGTGGAATCACCTAGGTATAGAGGAGAAGTCACGGCTTATATCTCGCTCAATTGATGCAGCTGTTCGTCACACTGGTCTTTGAAGCTCTCCAGGTATACTCTGTCAGAACCACGGGTTGCCGAGCCAGGGATTGCGAGCGATATGGCCACCTGGATTCATCACGTCACTCGGAGGACTCGAATAATAGTTACGGGGGACAATTGCTTGATATAGTGAATCACTTTGCACACTCGGAAGGCGCACGACTGGCTGGCGCGCAGGTGCTTGCGGCCGGGGTGAGGAACACGTGCTTTCGCGTTGTCGTGTTTTCGGAATTTCCCCGCGATCGCGTAAGTGCACCGTCTTCACACTCCACCGTAACTCCTGTCACATTGTCAAAGTTCCTACTCTCTCAAGACACTCGAATCTATTCTCGCGCCAAAATGTCTCGCGAAGAATCGCCCTTCGTACGCGCTCCTGCCGAAGAAGAAGACTACAACTTGGTCCATCGCGCGTTCTTGCAAGCCTTCCATACGCACAGCGTCCTCACATTAGACGAGATGAAATCTATCCTAGCCTACGTGATGACTGCATACAGTCTGTTTCCAGACCTTTGATTAACTCCATAAGCTGACAGTCACGATAGATCCCGAGCGCCCATGGACAGAAGGCGATGTAACCCAACCCTACATCATCTCCACCATTCAGACCATAAATGCCAAAATCGAAGCCTTCGACTACGAAATCCGATCGACCCGCGACCAGCAAAGCAAAGAGAGCATCTACGCTCTCGTCAACAACGCTAGCGATGCCGTCACCCAACTCGCTACCACCTTCTCCGCGAACGAAATCGCCTACGTAAGACGCGTACTCGACCGAATGTTCGAAACAAACAACACAAACATCCGTGAAGTTATGGCTGTAAAACATACAGAAGCCTCGCAGCTCGCCCGCCCTTCACGCAGGAATAGGCAAAGTCAGGCGGCCAGCAGACAGAGCCAGATCAATGGCGATGCGGAAGACTCACAGGCCAGCGCTGATACAGGTATCTCGATTGCGGAAGCAGACCTCGTCCTGGAAACCCTTGTAAACCAAGCCTTCTTCCAAAAGTCGAAAGCAGGTTACTATTCTCTCGCTCCACGCGCACTGATGGAGTTGCGTGCTTACCTAAAGGAGACGTATAACGAACCTGCCGACGAAAATGAAGACGGTCGGGAAGTAATTAGAATCCGGGATTGTGAGGGATGCAGGGAGATTGTCACGTTTGGCATACGGTGTAACAATCGAGAGTGTGGGGTCAGATGGCACGATGCGTGTGCGAACAATTACTATAAGGGCAGACGAGGAAACAGGAAATGCCCTCGGTGTCAGACGGAGTGTTCGGGAGATGTATTCGTGGGAGAGCGAGCGGCTTGGACAGGCGGCAATCGGCGCAGCACGCAGAATAGGGAAGAAGACGACGAGGAAGAGGAATAAGGGCGTGGGTCGGAGGCCCATGACACTAAAAACAAGATACCCATAGTTTTGCAAGCATTGGACGTTGGTCAGAGGTTCATACGTGCGGAGAATCATGATTGGCTTTATCGTATATTTCGTAAATTGATCGTAAACCAGTCCCTATCGTCTCACTCATGTGCCTTTTTCTCTTTAAATTTTTTCCAACGCCAGACATCCCATATTATTTACATGGTCTTAATCAACACTCAACCCAACACGGGCGTTTAGTGTACACCGTTGGACTTGGTCTTGTTCGCCCGCCTCTCAGCGACGGCAGAGGCCAGGTTCTCGAGCGTGTCGACGGTGCTCTCCCAGTCGATGCAAGCATCGGTGATGGAGACACCCTTCTTCAGGCCGCTAGGGCCCTCAGGTGGGACCTTCTGGTTGCCCTCGTTGATGTTGGACTCAATCATGACACCGACGATGCCGGTCTCGCCGTTGCGAATCTGGTCGGCAATGTCCTTTGCTACGAGGGGCTGGTTGCGGTGGTTCTTGTTAGAGTTACCTATTGAAAGTTAGCATCTGTCACTTTACCATGGTTGGATTGTGGAACGTACCGTGTGAGCAGTCCACCATCATGACCTCAGCGAGGCCCTTCTTCTTCAAAGCCTCCCTGGCAGCCTTGATGCTGTCCTTGTCGAAGTTGGTACCCTTAGTTCCACCACGGAGAATGACGAAGCAGTGCTCATTGCCTGCCGTCCTGGTGATAGCAGCGAGACCCTGCTTCGTTACACCCATGAAGTGGTGCTTAGCAGCGGCAGCACCAATCGCGTCCACCGCGACTGTCAAACCTCCATCGGTACCGTTCTTGAAACCAATGGGGAAAGAGAGACCAGAGGCCAGCTCACGGTGCAATTGCGACTCAGTTGTTCGCGCACCGATAGCACCAAGAGAGATAAGGTCTGCGAGGAACTGTGGGGAGATGGTGTCGAGCATCTCAGAGGCAATGGGCATACCCGCGGATGTGAGGTCCACGAACAACTTGCGCGAAACCCTCAGACCTTTGTTGATCTTGTAGCTCTCATCAATGTCTGGGTCGTTGATCAATCCCTTCCAGCCGACGGTTGTTCGTGGTTTCTCAAGGTAGGCACGCATGATAATGCAGAGGTTGTCTTGAAGCTTGTCGGCAAGGGCCTTGAGGCGCTGGCAGTACTCGAGTGCTAGCTCTGGGTCGTGGAGCGAGCAAGGCCCGACCATGACGAGGAGACGGTCATCCTTTTGTGTAATGATGCTGGCGGCTTCCTTGCGACCTTGAATGACGGTCTTTTCGGCATGTGCTGGAATGGGGATCTCGGCTGCGAGAAGTTGGGGTGGGATCAGCGGGTCGTAACCAAGTACTACACAGTCATGTTAGCACTCGCATTGGGGAGTAGGAGTAGGGGACATGTACCGCGCACATCGTCGCTCGGATTGGTAGAGTCATTGAAGGAAGACATGTCGGGTGTCTCTGTTGTAGCAGGAGCCATAGTGAAAGTAATCTATCTTTATATATATTAGCATGTGCCCTCTGAGCTGAAATAGGAAGAGTCATGTTGCTTCGACGTACAGGATGCTTAAGCGACCGTCAATTTGCGGTCAGTCTTACTGCGACTGACTGTGGCACAGACGTGTGTGAATATACAGCTGCCAAGTGGTGCAGGGCGTGCAGTAGAGCGGGAGGGGCGTGTTGTGTCTTGAGTCAAGAAATCAGGCGAGCCAGCTGTTTGTCTCGGTGAGTGTGCAGACAATGTATGCAGGTGCAGGTCCGAGGTCGGCGAGGGTTATAGGTAAGAGATACAGTGAGCGCGTTGCAAATACAGTCATATGCCATCAAATTATTTGGGAGTGGCTGCGAAACTTTAAGGTAAGGTGGGGCTGATGGTTCGTTCTGGGTCCCGCAAGTTATCGATACACCGCAGCCGGAGCTTTGCACCTGCATGTGCGCCAAGCTTGTTACCGTGCTGGAATAGCCATCTCCCTGTTGGTCGATGCATGTTGCTGTTGCTGGAACCTGACGACGGCGTGAAGATGACCCTCTTGTGTTGGACGGCTGAAGGAATGCGTCGGCGGCGCTCCTTGACCCAAGCTGCAATGGCTCAAATCATCACTCTTCCCTCTTAGTGACCACCATCAGCATCCCTTCTCTGGTGGGGGGGCCTGTATTCAGCTTGCGGCATGACTACACGCAAACACGCCTCCTGCGACCGCCCGGCACCACACGTAGAAAGACACTTCACTTCTCCTTGAACATGCATATACACAGCCCACGTGATGCCACGCCTGGCTTCGGCGATTCCAAGGTTTGGCTTTCAGTTGCCAATTCACCACTCCGCCACGCTAAGCCACACCATCGTCGACATCATCGCTACTACCACCCGGAGGCTCCGCATTGCAAGCGACGGGCTACCAACTTCCGACAACCAAGTAAAAAGTTCCCCCCACACAATCGCTCAGCCATTACAGGCGCGCGACTCCACTACACAGGCCAGGGTTCTTTTAATGCGACCTGAAACGGCGCCCCTGATAGTCATATCGACCCCTCGCCCGCCTGCTTCAAAACATATCTACCAGGACTCTCGACCGCAGTCCCGGTTCTTCAGCTGCGCCCCTCTCGAGCGCTCCCTTCATTACAGGAACCATCTTGTCTCCAGTTCACCAACGCGTTGATCGCGTCGCGGCTACATAAGGACCACTCATTTCCTAAGATCAGCATGTCTACGTTTCAGATCATGGCCAGGAAGCGAGGTCGGGACGACGATTCAGACTCGGATTTGGATGAGGAGAGGTACCTCAAGGTACGTCAGCAATACCTTCTTCCCGGCTTTGGCTAATTGTAGTACGTACAGAAATGCCGACCAGGGAGCCACGAGCTGGCAAGCCATGGTCAATTCCAACCCCAACTACTGTCAAACCTACCCCACCGGGGCTCACATACGCCTTCTCCCCCAAGGCTGTTCACGGACATCCGGTCCATGACGCCAGCGCAATCAGAACACGGAGGAGCCTACTCCCCGGATTCGATATATGGTGGACCTGTTCGTATATCAAGAGAGTCAAGTGGGATGGATATGGATACGGATATGGACGACGATGAAATGGACGTTCGGAGCCAGCCGCCAGAGTCGCCTGCTTTCAACTCGTTTGGTAACAACTTTATGCGACCAGCCATGCTCCAACCGTCTTTATTTAATTCAGACGCTGTCAACAACAATAGCCGGATACCTACACCCATACACCCTACTTTTAAGAGAGGAGGAATGAACGGATTAGGATACCCCATGAGTGGCTCAGCAGGCTGCATGGCTATGAACAACCTGCATCTACCTTCTATGCAGGCATCTCCACCAGGCTGGAAGGGACTAGGGCAGGACACGGACGACGATCGGGGCAGACGTATGCCCTCGCCCATCTCAGAGGACGAGGACATTCCGGATACGCCGACTGCGCTTACCCAATCACAGCTATCGCGACTTAGTTTCTCGCACGCCAGTACGGCCGACCAGATGGATACCGAGTCTTCCTCAACGTTGGCCCCACCGCCAATATCTCGTGGAAGAAAACGAAGTGGTGCATTGACGGGTATGGGACGTTTCAGCATGGGTTATCGGGAGGACTGCGAGAAGTGCAGACAGAGGGTCCCAGGCCATTATTCGCATTTTCTGCCGTAAGGGAAATGAACAAATGAACCCGAGTTACGAAAGACGAGGAAGTAATGAGGGTATGACGGCATGGTGAACCATAGGGTTTGCCCATCACACTCACCTCATGACTTTCACTTGCACGAATTTTCTAATCATCTTGTCATCATCATTCGTATTAGCAGCGTTACGTGGTGGCGTTTTCATGCCTCAGAATAGGCGTTTCATTCAGCATGGCGTTCCGGGGATAGGATCCGAATAGGATCATGCGTTAATGATATCCATCCCAATGTACCAGTACTCTACTTTCAATAACAGCAACGTCATAACGCTCTGCACATCGCAGTATCACTCGACTAGCCTGAAAACTTTGCACAATTATATTTCTTGTATGAGCCCAACTGCAGGACTAAAGACACAATCGGACCGTCTCATATGACACAATGAGACAAGTACGATGGCTTGTATGATACTACGGCTAATCTCCCCGAATTGCAACTAGCATAGCGCGTAGGCCGATAGAGCCTGGTATGAAACATGTGGGCCCGGGGATCGTGAAACGAAACGAGACGGCATAGCATCTAGCATCTACTGTGGCGCAAAGCCGAGTTCTGTCATCTTGAAACGAACGATCTGAGGGTTCAGGGAGTTCTAGACCAGATTCGCGGGTGAGATATGCCGTGTTTTGGGGCTTTGCTTGTAAATTGGGGAGGTGGGAGGCAGAATGGAGTAAGTTTGCCTGGGGCAGGTGTAGTGATAGATGAGGAGCTGGTAATGGAGAAGAAACTTGTAATCAAAGAAGTGTTAGTGGTACTGACGCGGCTTTAATTCACTAAGCTGTTTACTCTCCAGGTCATCGATAGTAAGATATAGACCAAATGTGCTTCTTTGTATAGTAATAAAGTCGCCAGTTACAACAAAGACAACGACATATATAGGTGATGATCATGAGAAAAACAACAACAGAGTAACCGGTGTTCTTCTAAGTCAAAAAAACAAGACATGAGGGTAAAAAGTGCCAGTTTTTAGATATACATGTTAAACATGTAAACTCGAAAGTTCCTCGTCAGCTGGTGGTAGCCACTGCACGATTCGGCGAATGTCTCTGATCTCGTAGTAGCATTCATAGTATTTCTTCGCGTAGCGAATGGCGCGTGAGCGATTATCCGTGGCATCAGCGTCAGGATTAGGTAAATTTGCCAACAGTTTCTCGTAGTATGGATTGCACTTCTCTAAGAATCGTCGAGGATGTTCTACCATGTATTCCCGGTACCTATGAGCTAGGACATATGGATCTTGTCGCAAGGGGATATGTTCTGCCATGACGATAATGGGTGCAATATGCGAGGTGTAATTCTCAAAGCGAAAATCTTCTCGAAAAGTGTATTTTTATGAACACTAGAGAACAAAGGAATGAACAATGCCAGTATGTCTCAACAAACGTTTGCTAGTAGGACATTGTTGGGCTACACAGCAGTCTTTGAACTAGTGGTCTTGGGGTTTCCACCTAGGTGTGCTATGGAGGAAGAAATGGCGTACAAAGTGTTCCCCGTATGTCTAATCTGCTAGAATCGACTAACAGAGACAAGTATAATCTGGTGAGCAACCATTTTGGCAGTGAACGAGACAAAGCATGAAGCGCCTCTCTCAACATGCTCGATGGTTCGCTGCAATGTGACAGAAACATTCCATTATCTTTTCGAGTAGCGGGCAACTATTTGTAGGGCAGTGGTCTTCTTTCGAAGTCTAGATAGGCTGCCTATCGAGAGCTCGAGTAGAGACATGTCTTTTAGAGGATGCGGTTGTCCGAGCGGCAGCTACTCGCCGTTAATGAACTATGGGATAACAAAACATATGGCAACAAAGAACATAGCTGGTGCTAAGTCTGGTAACTTCGTCTGCTAACAGAGATCACCTGCGGCTTAAAGACACCTTGAGTCGTTTATTTGAATGCGACGGCTTGCCAGCTTCTGTATCTGAAAATAGGAGCGTAGTAGGAAATTCGAATAGCCCTTTGGTGTTGCTGTTTTTTGCACCATAATAATCTCACTGCACAAGTAGGGAAGCTGTGAAGCGCATGCTCGTTATGGGAACTAAGTCGTTGTTGCATTGTTAACGTTCATACGATTCTCTCGACCTCGGTCGCAGGTGGGCGCAATAGGTTATGTGGAACCCCGGCGTCTTGGCGTTTGGGCTAGGATAAGATAGGCTAGCGCATACGCTAAGGTTATGGCAAAAATTGAGCTTTCGACGAATTTCTCGAACACCACTTCAACATGTCGTCGAAGTCGTAAGTTGTCTCTACACTGCACGCACCTTTCAAAGCTAATTCGCGTCTCGCAGAACCGTTCCCACACAGAGTGAGGTCACTCTCGTGCCTGAGAACCTCCTCAAGAAGAGGAAGTCTCAAGAGAAGGCCCGCGAGGAGCGCGCGATCGCAACACGCGAAAAGCGAGGTACGGCCAACCCCCACATGCTATCGAAGACTTCGGGAGGGCGATTACGATGATTATAACAACCACACTATCGGCTAGACTACGGTCAATGTTGTCGAATTGTTAACCATCTTTCGGGAATGATGCAATCGCCCTTTTTGGAGTTCATGGCATGCGATACTGTTGTAAACAGCGCTGACATGAGACAGACAAGAACAAGAAGAAGCGCGAGGTCATCTTCACAAGGGCTGAGAAATATGTGAAGGAGTACCGCGATGCCGAACGTGAGCGTGTGCGCATGTCGCGCGAGGCCAAGAAGAGTGACAGCATCTACGTGCCCGCTGAACCAAAACTCGCCTTCGTCGTTCGGATAAAGGGTATCAACAAGATTGACCCGAAGAAGCGCAAGACACTGCAGCTTCTCCGACTCCTCCAGATCAACAACGGCGTATTCATCAAGCTTACCAAGGCGACGATGGAGATGCTGAAGATTGTTGAACCGTTTGTTGCCTATGGCTACCCGAACCAGAAGTCGGTTCGCGAGCTCATCTACAGTAAGTTCCGATGCATATTCAACGTCGCTATTAGACACTAACTCATGTACAGAGCGTGGCTATGGCAAGGTCGACAAGCAGCGACTCCCTCTGACCGACAACGAGATTATCGAAGAGAACCTTGGTAAATACGGTATGATCTGTATGGAAGATCTTATCCATGAGATCTGCACAGTTGGACCAAACTTTAAGGCGGCCTCGAACTTCCTCTGGCCGTTCAAGCTCAACAGTCCTACTGGCGGCTTCCGTAAGAGGAAGTTCAAGCACTTCATTGAAGGTGGTGACTTGGGCAACCGGGAAGACAAGATCAACGATTTGATCAGGCAGATGAACTAGATCACTCAAGGTCGAAGTTTTTGGTTTACATCTCTGGTTTGGCGCGTGAAAAGCTTTTGGGATATACCACGGAATCAGCATTTACATCGGCGTTTGGGATCCCGGACCTAAGTATTACGGTCGTTTTACGAGTCTACGTGCAAAATGCATGAAATCTGAATGAAGTACGCAGTCACTGCGCCATCCTCCATCTTATCCAAATTGACCATCTTGACTTGGTGCGCCCATAGCCAGGACATCGCGACTATCGTGTACCTGTAGTGTCATGCGATGTGGATTAGCTGCATTATGTGCCAGCGCATATCGAACGCGTTGGGCACCGGGTGAGCCGAAAACGCCTGTGCAACCAATGCATCGCGAAGAATCCCAAGTAAGTATTGCTATTGCTAATATTGACAGGAGTTGCGCAGTCATTACTTCTGACGTCCGGTCACGATGTTGCCGCAAGCTCAGTAGGCCGGACTGCTACTCCCAGCCTTGGAGTCTTGCTTTGAGCGTCCATGTGCAGGTCACGTGCTTTCTGATGCGCTAAGCTTCTTCGATCAAATCCCATGTCTGCAACATCACTCGCCAATCAGCTGCCGCTTGCATCTCCTTGCCGGCACATGTTTTTTTTTTCGTTCTTGATCCATACATGAGGTTCGCCCTCACCGCATCCCTTGACGTAAACTGCAATGTCGTCACCACAGCAAATTTTATTGTTGACAACATAGCATTTGACGCCACGGCAGGCAACGCCTTCGACGTGGGATAGTGAAGTCACATGTGTGACCGGCACGATGTTTCTGGTGCCTGATGGAAAATCAAGGTAAGGGCTGCAAGCGTCACTATGGGTATTGATGAGCTCCAGGGGCCAATCCACGGCAAAGGAACTGGTCAGCAAAGATGTTAGACTGTGTGAGTGGAGCAGGTGCTGGCCTCGAAGGCTCGAACTTCCTCACATGCATCCCAAGTGCATACGGTGGGCACCTGCTTACGATATTGCACCGAGCCCAGAGGGGGGCGCCGAGCGCTTGGGTTGCGAGTGACGATTGCACGAGCAGCAATTTGGCGATGCGGAGGTTGATGACGCCCGCGGACAGACGCAAGGCATTCCGGTTTGGCCGCCGACGTTGTCACTGCCACGCTACCATGGTGTTCAGATTTGGGATCGATTTGCATAAGTCATGCTGATCGCGATACACACCTCATCATCATGGTAGGACATGGCCCCGCCGTCGGATACAGTAGGCCTGACTCTTTGGGGCCAGACGTCGCAGGAGCATTCAACGGCCGCGGCACAATTTTCGCACTGCGAACGGGTCCGAGTCAATGGTAAAGTGCGCGAAGGCAATGCTATTCTTGGGTCCGGCGTATTGCCATGTCCACCACACGAGAAGTAGCACCGCTATGTAATGAAAACAAAACAAAACAAAACAGAGAGGTGCTATCTATGGGCGTTGAGCATGGGGCTGCCCGTCGTGCACTGCAAATTGTCTCCTGTCTACATAAATAAGGCACTGAAGCACTGTTCACAACCAAAGGAGCTCAGATGACAGCTGCCCATGAAGGCGCAGCGGACCAGTGACGCCGCTACTGCAGGCGCACCAAAAGAAGTCGGCAAGCCGGGTTGCAGGAGAGGCGACGCGCGATACGTGGCTCGCTCCCCTCGCGGGTGCAGAGGGTGGTCCCTGGGTGCGTTCATTGGCCTGGACATGCTGGGGACGCATGAAGGCGCTGGATTTGTGCACCAGCACTGCAGCGCTCTGGCGTCGAGAGTCATGAGTGGTAGTCACCGCAAAACGCGGGCTGGGAGTCGACCTTTATGACCCACTAACTGCAAGAGGCAGAGTTTTCATAGCACATGAGTGGATAGACGGACAAGTAATGAACCATTATTGCAGGTGCGGCCTTCGGATGGAGACGGTCTTGCTGGCTCGCCATTGCTCGAGAGCCCCTTCGCTGCTGCTAGGCCTCGCTAACGGTGTGTGTCGAATACACCCACATCACCGCCTTCTGCTCTCCCCATCCTCTCCCTCATCTCCTCCCCCGTCTCCCCCATCTCCCTCGTCCTGTCTCCGTCGCAGGCGTTGCTCGTTGCGACACAGTCCTCAAGCCCCAACGGACGTGCGCTTCCAATCTCGGCTGTCCGGCATCCCCAGCCCGCTCACCAGCATCACCCGACGCTTGCTCTGTCTCGCTGGCTTTGCAAACGAGCAGTGCTGCACTCACGGGTAGACTCGTCCGTCTGGCTCTGACACCCAACGCCTCGTCGCCTCCGCCACCTGAACACACGCTGCGTGTGCATTTTCCGGCTCTGGTTTTGGCTTGTACTGTGTATTTGGGCTCCGTTTCAACCTGCTTTTCTTTTCCCGCCCCGTCTCCAGGGACTTCGACTCTCCGCGACATCATCAATAACGTCCTCGCATCGCCGGATCTATTGACTTAGCCCCGGCCTGCCTGCGCTCCACCACCCTCGAGCTGCACTTTACCTGTCGACGCACACTTCGCATCCATTCCAGGCACTTCACCCGCCTACCACCGCCTCCGCGCAACCACCACCAGCGCGAGACACTGCTACCACTTGCCAAACACCTCCTGGCCGACGCATTACCTTGAATGAGCACATCGTTCTAGAGGGTCCGTAGGCTACTCTAGAGGCGGCGCGAACGAGAAGACTGTACGTCACCAACAACAAATCCGCTCGTGACACAGCTCACCACCGCACTCACTCAACCCTACAAGAGGTCATCGCTAACACAACACCAGGAGCCGTGCCAGTCTTCTCTCTGCGGCGGTCCGACACCATCATGCCCTCCTTCTACCCCCGGCATAACATGCCACGCCTATCTCCCCAGGAGTTCGTCCCCAGCTACCACTCTGCCTGTGGCGCATCATACCCACCGCAGCAGCCCGCGTACGCTGGCCCTACGATCCGGCAGCAAGATGATGGTTACGACTTCGCAGACCGCTACGGCCAGCTGGCCATCGCCATGCCACCCATGTATCCGCAGGCCGGCACCTACCTGAGCAGTGCGCCTCCCAGCCTTCCACCTGCGAGTACCTTCTACGACCCAATGGGCGCAACTACGCTCCCGCCGATGCGCGCGCAGTCCGGCCACTCTTTGGCAGAGGCGGCTATGCAGCAGCAGCGCGTGCACGAGTACAACCAGCGAATGAATCAGCCGGCAAAGGAAGAGAAGCCCGTTGGCGGTGTGTCGGCGAAACTGGATTATGACATGGATATCATGACCGACTTCGTCTGCGAGACAGCCCTTCGACTCATCACGCCCGGTCGCATGATGCCTTCGTCTTTCCGCAAGTGGGTACACCAGGTTCTCTGCGCCACGCGGCTGCCCTCAGCAACCATCTTGCTCAGCATGTATTATCTGTCCAGCAGGATGCCCATGCTAGCCCACGAGCCAAAGACCGACACCCACCTGTTCCGTCTCCTTACCATTGCGCTAGTGCTTGGCAGCAAGTTCCTAGATGACAACACCTTCATCAACCGTTCATGGTCTGAGGTCAGTGGTATCCAGGTACATGAGCTGAATGAGCTTGAGCTGGAGTGGCTTGTGGCCATCAAGTTCAAGCTTCACCGTGACCCCACGGAGCAACATGGCTGGACATCGTGGTCAGAGCATTGGAAGGATTACCAGAACACTGCTACAGCACGCTCTGGTCGCAGCAACAAGCTTAGCCCTATCGACACATCGGTACAGCGACGCTCGCTCAACCCCAACAAGCCACTCCCTCCTCTACCCATGCACCAGGCCTATACTCCACCGTACGACTACGTGCCCAAGTCGGCCCAGTCCGCGTACAACCCTCCGACTTATTCGCAGTACGATCCATGGCGGTCTGCTAGCGAACACTCTCCTGCGTCAGCACCCACCACGGGCCCGACTACCCCAGAGTATTATGGTACAACGGGTACTTGGGCTCCGGCTGAAGGTTACTCGCGTCGCACCATGTTCGGTTTCCCTCCCTTGTCTCAGCCCGCCTCTGCGCAAGCGCACCAGCAACCGTCCAATTACGGCCCACCCGCCTACTCCACTCAGTACACCCCGTCTGCTTGGAACCAGCATGGTCTCAGTTGCGGATGTGCTTACTGTGTGCAGAGGCACCCGCCCTACTACATGGCACCTGGTTACGGCCCCCAGGCTGTTGCCGTCTAATCATCTGCCCTCCATCGGCCGAGCATCGCAGCAGCATCGTCCTCCTGACCTTTCACGGATACATATTCGACATCCCATTTCAGCGCTTCATATGTTCAAAAGTTACTCTTCCGTTTCGCGAAGTACCATGGCCTACCTGAGCCCACTCAGTTCCGACCACTGGATACATTCGGCTACTTCGATTCCCTCAAGCCTAGACTACCGGACATTCTCAAGGCGCAACTGCCTCATTCCTTCCGCTATCTGCAAGCATATTGGTGCGCCTCCGGATCTCACGAAAACGCACTAGGCTTGCGATTGTCTTGCATGATAGATTTCACTGGTCTCCTTTCCTTCCCCTTCCTATCACTCTTTCCTAGTTATCACCGGTATTACGTTTTAGACTTTGGTTTGCCCATGGTCTAATAGGAGCATGTCAGCGAAATTGTGGGTTACGGCGTTCCTGCTTTTTTTTCCAGGTGTCATATCACACCTTTACGATTGTTCATTTCTCAAGCGCTGCCTCAAGAATGTTTACGGAGGTTGCCTATTTCGGTTTACGGATTTCACTTCTCCGGAGTCGGCTTTCGCTTTCAGCACGCGGAGTCACCCCTTGCGACTAATCCTTCGGCAGCGACCAAGGTCATGCCACCACTGGAGGGTCGCTTGTTATGTTCACGACTTCTTTCCTCGATCCTCGCCTTCCGCTGTAGTCGGGTTGTAATTAATGGCACAAGATCAGCGATGGGATTCGCTTTATTTCTTTTGGAGCGGCGGAAAAAATACCTTTTGCTTTATCTGGGTTCTGGACTGGCATTGTTTTGGGCAACGGGAGGGAAGATCTGTTTAGTGTATAACTGCGATACAACAAAATATCCTGATATTGGGGATACCATCAGAATGCGAAAAAAAAAACATCCTAGAAAAGCGACACAGGTCGCACAGGAAACGCCAAATCAAACTCCACTTCACCTGGTGATCGTAGTCCTTGTTCTGTGTTCAACTAAGTGATCCACCCTGCATGTGAGTCAATCCCATCCTATTCGTTTGAGCAAGCACTTCAGTAATGACCATTGCAGTTACACTGTTGTCGCAGAAGCGAGCCTGCTGGGTTTGTTCAAATATGAGATACTGTTTCGGCTACTTCAGCTCGTTTTAGAGATAATCTAGGTCGTTACCCTCGGTCTCAACGCCATCCGATCCCCGGATCCAAGTCCTCCGTCGCCCCGTAGATCCTGTCCCGATATCAGGCGTTAGACCACTCAATCTCGCAGTTTTCGGACTGGTGCATATTTTGCGCATGTCTTGGACATGCACCCTACATGTTACGTGCCAGCCTGTCAAATTAGGTGGAGAGGCACGGTTACGGTCGAGTTGACTATTTTGATTTAAAAGCACTTCGGATTTGTTCATATGTCCTACGGGAATGTGTTCTCTGTGGTCAAAATGAAGAGGAGATGCTCGGAGTGTTTAGTTTTGATCCAGGTGATGCTTGTCTCCGGTCAAGGTGTAGTCCCCGCACATTGTCGCCGAAAATGGCAATTCAACGAATATCATAGAGGGACGTACGTTAACAATATGCGAGAGGATCGGCATATCCCAGTTTTGGTTCCTATGGCCGTTCTTACAGGGTTGTTGGTCCACTCTTGGCTTGAGAAGGGCCATCTTTGATGCAAGCGGCTAGCCGGGATGGGGATTGGCTGAAGCCTGGGTGTGCGAGTGATAACAAGTACAAATCAGTGAGGGGTATCTTGGTGATTGTAGAGCCTAGAGGCTGGCGGATATATAAGAGTCTTCTAAATGTCTATGGGGTTAGCTGTGAAGGTAGCACAAGCTTCAATGGTTCTAGCTGCTGGGTTAATGGCGTAGCGTCTTCGAAGTGATAATACCGGTACTTCACAAGTAATATGTGTGGTCAGAAGCCTTGATGTTCACTATAGGATCTCATGTTGCTTTCCAGAGGAAGCTGTTAGGCTTTAGTAGTGCATACTGAACCAACCATACTATCATTCCTTAATTGAAAGTACGTATCGACGTATATATATTCTCCTCTGCATTAGTCCACTCGTACCTGATTCATGTTACCATTATGGGGGTAGCGCTGTGTACGTTGTGTCTTCGGGATTGCTATAATTGTATAACTGTTCTGTGCTCCTACGTTACGTACTTGCTCTCGCAAGTTCCATGCCGTCAGCAGGGCAATGGCCGATAATTTGTCCGTATAACATCTATCTATATATTTTCGCGCGCGCGGCGACATAACCATATGCAACTCGCACCTATTCCACATTCATCTCTCCTATCGCATGTTGCCGGACATATCACGCTCTGGTTCTGCGGACTTTAGCGGAAACCCCGCACAACACATGTACCAGTAAGACGAACGAGGCACCGCGCCACGTCGATTCGGCCGCGAAATAGTGCGTATTACGACCGCGCAAAGTGTACAAAAATTCTCGGAAGGGCTCGATTATGTTTAATTTGGATGCACCGCAAAAGAGTCGGACAAAGAGATAGGCCGCTCTTCCGGTCCCGATGTTGCTTTGTGGGTCGGCCAGTAGCGAGCATGCGGCATTACCAGAAGGATGCATCATGGCTTCTACGTGAACGGTGGTTATCTCCGTCTGGCGCAACTTTTTCCCGAAGTGCATTGTGGCTGTCGGAACTAGGGCGGACACGTGTGACAATACTCTCTCACTGCTTCGAGAGATCCTGCGTTTGGCCGTTTAAATTGAGTCAGGTGAACATACATATCTAATGTCGCGTCTGCCGCTCTCGTCTCGTGTCATACGCAGATTGTTCAGTGAATCGCGAAACTACCAGAAATTTGGGAAACATCAGAGTTCTTGGCAAACACCACACTTTAGTACGACTGTCAAGATGAGCTCAATAGGTGGTGCAAGTATTGGCGCAGGTCTTTACGCCGCGGTGAGCAATCCGGCACAGATTGCTGCTAAGCCTGAGGAAGCGGACGAAAAGAGACATCATTTGAAGGGTGGGAAGGGGTTTACGAACCCATGGGATAGCTATGTTGAATCGAGTGCTTGGGAGTTGCTGATCAAGGGCATGCTTTGGTAAGTCCAGTCTTTGAAATTCTCGCTGTAAATCTACAGACTGCAGGCTGACACTCCATCTTAGGCGCAAAATCACAGGTCAAGGTAAGTTGTGACTGTACGAAGTGTATATGAGACATACACTGACTTCGTATCTTCACCTCTGCAGCCAATAACCCAGACACAACGCCGCCCACGGTCCCAGTCCGCACACCAGAATTCCTTCCCTCACGAGAAACGCCAAAACTACGTGCAACATGGCTTGGTCATGCATGCTACTACATCGAATTTCCGAGCGGCTTCCGCGTCCTTTTTGATCCTGTCTTCGAAGACTGTTGCGCACCCTTCACCACGAAGAGCCTCAAACGCTACACACCTCCTCCCTGCGAAGTTGAAGACTTACCAATAGTCGATGCAGTAGTCATAAGCCACAACCACTATGATCACCTGAGCTACCCAACGATCCAGCGCCTGCAAAAGAAGTTCCCTGAGGCGCATTTCTTCGCCCCGTTGGGAAACAAGAAGTGGTTTGAGAAGAGCGGAGTTACACAAGTCACGGAGTTGGATTGGTGGGAGAGTAGGGATGTGAAATTGGAGGAGTTTTCACAAAAGGGTGAGAGGGCAGGTTCTGTTTCTGTGGGTCGGGCAGACGCGGGGAAGAATGGTGAAATAAAGGCGACGATTGGTGCGCTGCCTTGCCAGCATATCAGTGCGAGGACGCCATTTGACAAGGCCAAGACGCTTTGGGCGAGTTGGAGTGTGGAATCTGGGGGTGCAAAGGTGTACTTTGCTGGGTACGTCAGCTTCGTTTCTTGCATAGCTTGACTTCCCATGTTAACATTTCCACAGCGACACAGGCTACCGCACAGTTCCGTCTAGCATTCCCGCTACTGAAGACGACTACTCTGCTGCCTACTCTCACCTGCCCATATGCCCGGCGTTTTCTCAAATCGGTCAACATCGTGGCCCTTTCGACCTTGGTCTGATCCCCATTGGCGCCTATGAACCTCGCTGGATGTTCAGCAATGTACATGCTAGTCCCAAAGACGCGGTTAACATTTTCGCGGACACGAAATGTAAGAGAGCGCTGGGAATGCATTGGGGTACGTGGGTATTGACCGAGGAGGAGGTCATGGCACCACCGAAGGAATTGCAGGAGGCTTGTAAATGGAAGGGCATAAAAGGGGGCAAAGAAGGCTTCGGAGTTTGCGATATTGGAGAGAGCACTGAGTTTGAGTCTGGAGAGGAGGTGAGGAAGTAAAAGTGAAAGACCTTGACACTGTCGCACTGTATGATACCCACTGGCTAAGTTTGAGTGTAAAGGGTTAGGTTTAAGCAGGGGAGACAAAACTGTACAGTATACGCCTCGGAACTCTCACTCCATTATGATATTTCTGTAATTCATTGTCGTTATTCGCCAATCAGTGCGCATGAATATCGTAACGCTTGTCATTTATTCATCTTCCACGTCTTCAATACATGCCCTAGGCCTGTACCTAGAATCTTAAGTATCCTGAGTCTTCTGCAAGATGACCTTGATCATCTCATTCCCCAATTTGGTCGCCTCCGGGAACCTCGGCTCAAAGTATCTCTGGATCTCCTCAAACTTCTCCCGATAGCCATCGAAGTTACCCAGACTGACACGTGAGCTCCAGTCTCTGGCGGCAAAGGTGAACTCCAAGTCATCAGCGCGGAAAGTGTTGTCGTCGATAGCCGTGTCGATAGCTTCTTCGAGAAGCGTGGGATTGCAGAAGAGGTATTCTGTGATGCCGAGCCACATGCGCGATGGCTGGATATGTGTTAGTAATCGAGATCGTAGAACATGCAAAGTGAAGATGAACGAGAGTCATAAACTTACAGGCGTCGAGCAGATCATGTGATCGTAGGGTACTATACCTAGCTTCCACCAGCAGTCTACCATGGCGAGTAGACTAAGATGGTTGTTCTTGAGCTTCTTCTCCGGGATAGTGCCCAAGGCGAATCGGTCAAGCAGATCATCTCGCAGAAGTAGCTTCTTACCATCCTCGTTGTCGCCAAATACGGCCTTGCGTGCGGTATGAACACGTTCACGGAGTTCATCCCGCTGTCCAGCAAGCATAAGCTTGAACAGCTCAGTCACCGACTCAGCATACTGTTTAATCTGCTTCTTCGCATCTGGGTTGAGGATGGCAAGGCCTGCATAGACGTGCCACTTGTTGGAGTAAATGCGGAGGGTAATATTCATCTTGACGTTCTCAATACCGCCGACATAGCGCGAGCTGTCCCATGGGAACTGGTTGTTCGCAAACCATGCGCCACCCATACTGAGGAAGGCAGCATGGGTAACAGCTTGCGTGTCTGCTGTGATGCGATCATGCTGCTCAGCAGAGAGATATACGTGCTTCGACCCGAGGCAAGACATGACGTTCTCTACGAACGCGAAGTCGGCATCTGAAGCCCGGTATTTGATCAGGACCAACGGCTGCCCTTTGGGGTCTATGCCGGGTCCATGGAGAGAGTGCACCGACACGATGCTAACGTCCTTGGGAAGATGTTTGTCAAAAGCCTCCATTTCTGGGGCTTTGCATGAGGTCTGACCGCCGACTATGGCGCCAACCTTTGTAGCTGAACGCAGGAATGAGTTAGCGGCAACATGGATTAGTAGCAGGAGACGGCGTACAGGGGCCGAAAGTCTTTACGACGGCATCGATGTTCTTCGCCTCGACGCTGTAGATGATGAAGTCGCTGCAACGAGACACGAGATGACCACTTTGCATGATCTCAACGTTGGACTGGCGCAGTCTCAGCATGCGTTCATTCATTATGATATATAAAAGTGCTATCCTACAAAGTCCCGAAACTCTTCTACCAATGTATCGAACTTGTCCGGCAAATCGCAGGCGTGAACCCTTCAAAGACAGCATGTCAGCGTGTTCGATGGAGAGGAGTCGATCTGTGAGGCAACTGGTTAGCAAAGTTCGTGCCATAGTAATGAACAATGCGATATAGTTGGTTGTAGTTCAGAGGTGTATAAAATTAGGTAGCGAGAATTCACATCATGGACGGCAACATGCCCAATTACTGCAAACCAAGACGGCAACAGTGTGGACATGCGCCGTACTCGAGCCAAATGCACTCACGGTCATCATAACAGGGGAAGGGTATGTGAGAGGATGAAGGACTTACCATTTGTACAAGGCACTGGAGCTTGGAGCTATCACCAGTCGCGCGAATGCACTCACTTCCATCCGGCTGTGCTCAAGCGGCGGGCATACATCTTGCCCATGTCGCCCATGCCGATGATACCGACGCTCTTGCAGTCGTCCATGATTGTTGTTGTGTTGCACGCTCCTATGCGTGAGTGAGGTGGAGGAAGTCAGCCCATTGCAAAGCGATGGAGGATCTAGAGGTCGCTTGCGGCTGCCAAAGAAAAGTTAAGTAGTCGGGCTTGGCGCGCTAAGCACGGTGTTTAGTTCCTCCGACACAAGCGAAATTCATCGCCCACCAAAAGTTCGACCTCACGATCGCCGACAGCGTTACGAACCGCCAGTCACGTCAAGAATCCCTCAAAACCGCCAACATGCCTCCCAAGCAGAAGGTCGCCCGCGCTCCCCAGGAGAACATCCAACTCGGACCCCAGGTCCGCGAGGTTCGTGAACAACAGGCATTGGAAGACGAGACAAGATGAACTGACAGCCGCGCAGGGTGAGCTTGTCTTCGGTGTCGCCCGTATCTTCGCTTCCTTCAACGACACCTTCGTCCACATCACCGATCTTTCTGGCCGCGAAACCATCTCCCGTGTCACCGGTGTAAGTGCAGACGTACGAACTGCATGTGACACGCACTAACTAGTAGAAAAGGGCATGAAGGTCAAGGCCGATCGTGACGAGAGCTCTCCCTACGCCGCCATGTTGGCAGCCCAGGATGTTGCTGCCCGCTGCAAGGGTAAGACGGTCTGGAATTGACTGGTTGGAGCAAAAACTAACATGAGCAGAACTCGGTATCACCGCTCTCCACGTCAAGATCCGAGCCACCGGTGGTAACGGTACCAAGACCCCCGGCCCCGGTGCCCAGTCCGCTCTCCGCGCTCTTGCCCGTGCTGGCATGCGCATTGGACGTATCGAGGACGTTACCCCTACCCCGTCCGACTCCACCAGAAGGAAGGGTGGTCGCCGTGGTCGTCGTCTCTGAGCATGTGCGCAAGTCTTTTGCTCAGTGGTGGAATTTGGCATGGCATGGTATGCACGATTTATGGTTTAATGACCACAATCAAATAAAGTCGCGGGGAACGGCGAATCGCCTGGTCTCCTTGTTGAACTTGGCTTCTCCTGCGAGGTAGTCAAGCGGAATCAACAGAATCCTTTTTAGTTCGAAAAGGTTTCCCGACAATGAAGTGCTTACTGCTGTGTTGATCAAGAGGTTTATACATTACGATTACGACTGCTTTGGGTATATTGTGATGGGCCATGTTAAATGTCGACGACTTGGACGGGGTTGCCCAACTTCCCTGTGTTTCCAATTGTTTGGGCTGCATTGACCATGATTGTGTTTGGACTTTGTCCACCCCACACGCGATCCCACAGCAGCTCTCTCATCCCACGGTATGCGACCCTAACAATGTTCCACCACAGCTTTGGATTGAGTAGGCCTCTTGTCCACTTTGACTTTATGGAAAGTCCTCGCACATAGGCATCATGAGCTTTATCCCAATGAACTACAGTCTGCCCAGCTCCCAAATGGACATGACCGAAGACATGCAATGTAGGCTTTACCCGTTTGACCTCAGCAAAGAGATGCTCACAGCCAATTCCTGTGGGTAATGACAAATCCAGATGGTGTTTCGGCGGTGTATGTGTGATCAAGATGTCGATATCCTCAGGTACAGTTTCTGACCAGGCGTCTCGACCTCTTTCATACTGAAAAGCATGAACGTTCGTAGGTCCACATGCTGGAATTTGCGGCGCGCCGTAGATCCGTATCCTTCTCTGGTTTTGTTCCGCCGCAAGCAAGGGCGTCGTTGCATTTGTCTGATCACCGTCCCTAGGCTCGACCTTGATCGTAAGACTCAACCGCCGATGCTGCAAGTAGTGCACTCTCTTCCAGTCCAGCTTCCCAGCTCTCTGCTCCTCCGACAGCGAAGGCCGCGTCCTTGGGTCCAGAAAGGTATCATGGTTTCCACTAATGACGACAATCTCCTTATGCGGCAGCGAATTCAGCCAGTCGATTTGTTTCTGTATCTCCGCCACGCTTCCATCATTTGTCATATCCCCGGCATGGATGAGTAGATCGCCTTCCGGTACATCCTCTGGTATGTGATTGTGCGTGTCCGAGATACAGACGACTCGAACGGGTGGTTGCTGTGAGGGTTTCGGGGTTGAGCGCAGGTACGTGAGAAGGTGGTACGAATGGTAGAGGAGCAGCTTTACGGGGGCTCGGAGGAATAGAGCGAGGAAGGGCGTTGGTTCGAATTCCGATTCGGGACTATACCAAGGATTGATATGCGTGAGAAGCATTGCCGGAGGGCGAGAGGCCCGTTGTCTGTCACACAATTTAGTAGTGAGCAGATGGATGACAACATGCGACGCGCTCAGCGACCAGGGTCCATGTTCGCGTGGCTTCCTAGTGTGGCTGTGCGGACCGCGGCTTCCTTTAAGGCATACTCCCGACTCCCCTCCACCACAATTAGGCTTGTCTCTCGTGGCACCAGACGAGCTCGACCCCTCAGCCACCATTGCAGCCTCCATCATGTATTGCAAAACGCCATCGTGTTATCATTTTGACCGGATTCCACTGCCCTAGCCTGTTCGATTGGCCCTATGATGTGCAGACGGCCTTCAGCTCGAGACCATGGGGGCAGTGTTCATTACAGATCAGGCTGCGCGCGCCTGCATGGCAACGCACTAGATATTCATGCAGCTTTAAGAATATTGTTCAAGTATCAGCCTTCTTCCTGCCCACTCTTGAATTGTTTCGCACATTCTGCATTCATCTTGTTGCTTTCTACTACTACCTGGTGAGATCGTCCAGGTATCACATTTAAAGACCCTCTCGCACAGCAGTCACATATCTACCAGTAAGAAAAATGGCCGAGTTAGCGATTGGAGGTGTATCCTTCTTCTTCCAAGTGTTCGCAGGATGTATCCAAGGTTAGTATAATCTATTGAACTACATTCAGACGAAGTCTTACAAGTTTTACTAGGTTACGAACTGATCGCTGATGCTTGTCATTTCCGCAAGGACTGTCAGGCTCTTCTGGTTAATTTCAAGATCGAAGAACATAGACTACTCAACTGGGCAAAGCTTGTACAGCTCGATTATCGAGATGACAAGCTGGTTCTGAACCACATGTCGAAAGGCCTGATCATCAATATCATGGAACAGCAGCAAAAACTTCTTTTCTCATTCGGTCGACTAGACAAGAAGTATGATAGGCTCACAGATCCTCTACTGGAGGAAGCAGCTGAAGAGTTTGTCCTACAAAATTCGGATCAGCTGATCGAGAATGGTACCAACGGCTCTGGCGAAGGGAACGCAAAGTCTGTCCGGTTCCCGCCTACCGAAGAGTTGGTGAAGATGTCTCTCAAGTTCGTGCAACAATTCAAGGATGTGCCCAAGAGGCTCAAATGGGCTACATTCGACCACCAGAAGATGGAAAGGCTAATTGCAAAACTGGCCGATTTTAACGATAAAATGCACGAAGCACTCGATAAGGCTCAAGTGGACCTCCTCATCGATATGCAGACACGCACCAATGACCAAATAGTCCTGCTGAACAGAACTATGTCGCATATGGTTCAAATCTACCAGTCACAGCAATCAGAACAGATCGGCTTCCGAAGATCTTACTCACTGCTAGATATGGGAGACTCTGAGTACGACGGACTCATGGGTAGTGGCGCTATTACGGCTCGCGGTGCTGCACACCAGCCGCTGGCCGCTCTAGCCCAACAAAACTTCATTCACCTTGCTATCGAAGACTCTCACGAAGACCTTACATCAAACTATGCACGAGAGATCAACATGCCAGATCTGCCGGATGATATCCGCCATACTAAGCTTCAGTACAAAGACGTACGACCTAGGCAAGGCGACCATTTCCCCCAAGAAATCGACGAGGGTGTACGTACGGAGGCATACTACAAGAATATGCCTGTATGGATTGAGTGGAAAACTCCCGACACCTCCAGTCCCATGCAGCAAGATGGTGCAGTTGATTCCAAAATCCATGCTCGTGTCAAGAAACTAGCTGCCTTGCTCAGTAAGCACAACAGGACAGTTCGATTCAGAGCACCTTTCTGCCGCGGCTATTTTATCGATGAGGACGAAGGACGTTTTGGTCTGGTTTTTGAAAAACCTGCGTCTGTCTCGCCGGATACTGAGCCCACATCTCTGCATGCGCTCATCACAAACACAGAAAACGACATACCTTCGCTCACTGACCGTATCACACTTATGCGCCTGCTCGCCGAGACAGTCGAACGTCTGCATGCAGTCGATTGGCTGCACAAGGGCCTGCGCTCTGCCAACGTACTCCTCTTTCCCAAGAAGGGGAGTAAAGTCGAAAATGGCCAGGTCAAGGAAGGTGAAATCAACTACGCGGATCCTTTCGTCAGTGGTTTCGACTATTCTCGCCCAGCTACGAGTGACGATATGACTGAACGCCCTCTTGACAACCCCGCCGCAGATATCTATCGTCATCCCTCCATACAGCACAAAGGGAACCGTGAAGACGCCGGCGGTCGTGAGTCTTACAAGAAATCTTTTGATCTCTACTCGCTCGGCATCGTCCTGTTGGAGATTGCGTATTGGAAAACCATCGACCAGATTCTCCATATCGACCTCGAAACTGCCCGGCCTAAACATACGTGGGGTGTAGAGAAGATGTTGTTAGAGAATGAACCACAACATCTTCGCGGTGTGAGAAGTTATCTAGGTAATACAGTAGAAGGTGTGATCAGGGCTTGTCTCCAGGGACCCACAGCGTTTGATCTCGATGCAGATGCGGATGAAAAGAGAGAGGTTGTTGCTGCGCAGTTACAGAGGGCATTTGGCGAGAAAGTTGTCAAGAAGCTGGCATGTATGAAGGGATTATAGATATTTTCTCTTAGTCGTTTGATATCTCTTTCATATTTCGTTGAAGACCTCTGTACCGGCCGCTGCAGTCAGCAGAGTCATAAGTGTCAGTACTGCAGTGATTCTGTACTGGATGAATTCCGTAAAACTTCGATTTGGAGACGCACTGCAGTTGTAAGACTAAGAGTGTGAACATGGACGAAAACGATGAAGAGTTCGAGTAGGATCATCAGGAAGCACGTAGTACCAATTACAATATTGTCTGAGCATGTGACGAACCAATTTCATCTTTCATATTACAATAAGAGTCGATCATAGTTTAATCAGTCGTGAATTGTCCCGCCTCCATCTGTTTTGCAATAGTCTCTGCCTGCGTACATACCAGTAAAAAAATTTGCTTCCTAGGTAGCAGAAAAAATTAACACAGTCACCGTACGATTGTCCACGTCAAGTACTACTGACTTGCAACGGTGTTAACACTAGATTAACGTGATTAGCGGTGGGAGGCACAATAATCTTTTGGGACTGCAACGAAGTACAACATGGCCTTTTGGGTTCAGGGTTGTCATTGTATCGAAGAAAATCCTCCAATGTCGCTATTTCGTCCATCATCAATCATATCTATATCCATGAGCAGTTACCCATGATGCCATCCATCGCTCCTCAACTACTCGGTTATGCAAATATCCCTAAAGTACAAATAATCTCGAATCGAAGGCGCTTTACATTCCGTGCTTCTTCAGGTACTCGCCGAGCTCAACTACGGAGTTGAAGGCGTTGGGAGTCTGGATGGTGTCGGGGTGGTGGGCGATGATGACGGCTTGGGTGGTCTTGAAGGCGACGATGCCCTCTTTGCCCTGGACTTGTTGTTAGTACTTGTATACTATGTGGTGATAAACGGCCTCTAGTCTGGTACCTTCTTCGCCTTGAGCGAGTCGTCGCTTGCCTCGATGGTCATGTACTTTACGCCATTGACCTTGACACCTTCCGAGATGACCTTTTTGGGCTCTGATTTGTCGTTGAAGGACCTGGCGATGGCAGCCCTCTCCTCGGCGGACAGCTATAGTCTGTCAGCATCAACCCATCGTATATACGCGGCCGGAGCCTCGCATCTGAGATGCTCGCAGCGTCCGGCGCGTAATCGTCGGACGACGTACCGAGAAGTCAGCGGATGCGGCCCAGGCAGTGGCGCCTTCGACGTCGCAGATGAGGGCCTTGTCGATGTTGCCGGTGCCGACGAGGCTAGATGAGAGCGTTAGATGTAGGCGTTTACTACTTGTGAGGTATAGTGTACCTGGTGTCAACGTATTCTATGTCTAATGTTAGCCACCACCTTCCTAAGTTGGCGTCTTGAGCTGCTCACCTTGCCAGGACATGTTTACGAGGGGTTGATGTGCGTGCTGTGGAAGCTTGTAGTGGTGAGAAAATGAAGAGGGATGCGGCGAAGTAGATGCAGGTACTTTTGACTAAGCAGAGCAAGAGAGTAAATGCGGTGAGAGTGTTCAAGGCTGCGTTGTTGGGCTAAAGTTGCGATTTGATAGTGGGGCTGTTTTGACCCCGCCTCTCGCAATGAAATCTCACGGACGCAATACACTCCTCCAATTTCAACATGCAAACCTCTGGGCTTCCAACCTGACGACTCAGCACGCGTTCTGTTTGCGCCATCATGCAGCTATTTACCGTGTGGGGGTCGATACTGCACTCGATGCCTAACACAAGGGCAGTGAGCGCGCCGCATTTAGCTATGTCCACCGCGATACCCGCCTGGTATCCGCCGCGCTCTGGGGTTGACAACGGATAGCGGGTCAAAGTGCTGGCAATCTAGCAGTCGATCCAGCATCCAAACAACACCAGACTTCAGAATAGACAAAATTCAAGGCGTTCACACGTCTACTACGTAGGCTGCATTTGACCTGTGTGCCGGCAATCGTTACCTGAGATTGTGGACATCACGTAACATCGGGCTCCGCAGGGGAGTTGAAACGATATTAGCTGAGGTTCACGTAACTCCCGGATATTCACTCTGCGTTTTAGTTCAGTCTCCAAGTTCAGCCCTCTTCTTTTGTAAAATCTCATCCCCTGTCCATTGTGGTGGCCCTCTCCGTTTGCGGACTTCTTCCGCTGGTCACGTGCCAACGCCAAGACGAGCTTCCAGAAGCTTAGAGCTCACTACCCAAAAGTTACGTCGCGTTTGACGTCCTCGAGAGGACAACACCAAATCCAACTGATTAGTGCACATTGACAAACATAGAACGAGCCTTAACCACAACTATAATTGCGCGACAATCAAAAGCATGCCGTCTCGTTCTCCGTCTCCCGCACGCTCGCGCACGCGCAGCCCTTCCCGCGACAGGTCGCATACAAGATCACCCAGTCGCCCTCGTTCGACGCATTCAGGTTCACCGCGGCGCTCAGTAACCCCGCGATCGCTTACACGTTCCCGTTCAGTCAGTCGATCGCGCTCACCCTCACCAAGGCGCAATGGACGAAGAAGCTACACACCGGACAGCAGGCCGCGTTCAAGAGGAAGGAGCTATACCCGTAGTCCGACACCGAGAGATGGGTCGCCAGCACCTCGAGGCGCAAAGGTAAGCAATTTCGAGTTACTAGACGCAACTTTCGGAACTTGCTTCTAGTTCAGCCTTCCTACACCAGCACCCTGCTAATCGTCCAGCAGATCGTAGTGGAAGCCTTGACCAGGAATGTCAAAGAGGATCATGTGCGCGAGATATTTGGCAAATACGGTGTCATCAAGGATCTCAGGATGCCTATGAATCCGACCTGTATGTTTCATCCAATCTTCTCACAAACGCAGGACTGACTATTGGTCAGTCAACATCAACCGCGGCATAGCCTACATCCTGTACGAAGAGATCGACGATGCTGAACGTGCGATCGCGAAAATGCACGAAGCACAGCTAGACGGCGCAAAGATTCAAGTCTCGATTGTACTTCCCCGACGTCGTTTCTCACAGACACCTCCGCCAGCGCGTAGAGGTCCACCACCGCGCGACGACTATGACGGTGGCTACGGACGCGGGGGACGGGGACCGAGAGGCGGAGGCCCATCTGGCGCATACAGACCACCACCTATGGACGGACCATCGCGCTATCGCTCTCCACCACGCCGAATGTCACCTGATCGAGCACACTGGAGTCGGGGCAGAGGCGGCCGTGGTGGACGAGGGGGATATGGAGGACGACCGCGGTCATACACACGATCTCGCAGCCGGTCACCACGGCGAAGCGTGTCGCGTTCCTCCTACAGTCGGTCGCCATCCAGAACACCACCGAGACGAAGCGGGGGAGGAGGTTACGGCAGGCGGGATAGTCCGCCAAGGAGAGGAGGCCGCAGCGGTGGAGGCGGAGGACGGAGAAGTCCCAGTTATAGCTCCTATGGCAGCGACCGCAGTCGGAGTAGAGATCGCAGATAAGAGATGTGGACTTTTCGCTACTGTGTTTTGTAAAGGCCTGATGACATCTGCATGGTCATGTAGGAGCGCAATTAGAATATTCGTTTGGCCAGGGCAACGGCAACCAGTAATCGAATCCGTATCTCGAGTCCCAATTAGGCCGAGTTCATATTCCCCGTCTTAAGAACGTCCCCTACATGCACAAGTTTTCCCCCTGGTCCATCAAGTCATCTTCAACTGAAAACCTGCTCCCTTCTCTTCCTCCTCTCGCCCTTTGAAGATGCTACTAAAGTCCAAAATTCCCTGCCCTGGCGCTTCTCCCCTCTTCGGCGCATTCGGACTTTTCTTTCTCCTCCTCTCCTGTCCTGCCTTACTCGGAAACGTGGGAAACATCTCGGTCGGTTTCGGTTTGGGCTGCTCCTTGAAGTAGGGATGTTCTAGTACTTCTTTTGCTGTAGGCCTATGGTCGGGGTTCAGCGATAATAGGGAAGACAGGAGCTCGATTCCGGATGCCGTTAGAAAGGGAAATTTCGCACGGTTGAAGCCTGAGATATTACGGTGGTCGCGCGGTAATTTCAATGATTTGGAGTTGGGCAGGCGGTAGAATTGTGGCCACGTCTTCTCGGAGGGGAGGCCACAGAGAGAGAAGATGAGCGAGAGCTCATCGACCTCGTTCTTACCTTGCAGTAACGGCTCTTTTGCAAGTAGTTCACCGAATATACAGCCTACGCTCCACATATCGACCTCCGTTCCATAATCTCTTGTGCCTAGCAAGAGTTCGGGTGCGCGGTACCATAGCGTGACGACCAGCTGTGTAAGAGGTGCATTCGCAGGCGGGATATATCGCGCCATACCAAAGTCAGCGAGCTTCAGCTGGCCACGGTTGTTGAGTAGGATATTCGATGTTTTGAGATCGCGATGCATGATGAAGTTCTCGTGCAGAAATCCAACCCCAGAAACCAGTTGCCGCAGTAGCGTCTTGACTTCACTCGCCATAAAGGGCTCACTCATATCTTCCTGTAGCGTCTTGAGGTCATGTTCGAAGAATTCCATAACCAGAACACATTCTTGGGGGTCGTCCCCGGACAAAACTTCCAGGAGGTCGACGATATTGGTATGTTTACAGCGTTGCAGGATGGAGATTTCTCGTAGTGCGGTGATGGGAAAGCCGTCTTGGTTGTAGTCCATTTTAACTTTCTTATGGGCGACTACAGAGCCAGTGGTAATGTCGCGCGCTCTTGATACCCAGCCGTATGAGCCTTCTTCGATCTGGTTGAGGGTCTCGAAATTAGAAATGTGCCGGCATGGGTTCCAACTTCCGCCTTCAAATCGTAAGAGCTTTCTCTCAACTTGTTCCTCTTTTGGCTTCGCGGTTTGCTCGTCATCATCATCATCACCAGTTGATAATCTTCGTCGCTTTGCGGGCCTCGATTCTGCCTCTTGCGCTGCTCGTAATGCTGCTTCCGCCTCTTGCTGTTTCTGAAGTTTCAAGCGTTTCTTTTCTTCTTCTCCTTCTTGCGGCGCGCCTCTTCGGCCTTGTCTGCTTCATCATTCGCCCACCGTGATGCCATAGCTCTTTCTCTTTCCTTAGTCCTCGATATGTCTCTCGTTCTTTGAGCTTTTGGATATTTGCTGATGCCTGAAGGCGCTTATGTATTTCAAATTTTTCCGTTCGATCTATACGGTAAGTTGCTTCGTGTGCTCGAATGCAGATGGCGGTGGATCGACGAGTAGCACGTGGGAGCCTTTAGGCGGTGGTCATAGCTTCGTTCACGTTGGCGTTCCGATCTAAACTTTTTGTAGTTCCGAACGCGCCGACGTCATGGAACTTCGATAATGCATGCCGACATGAGGACCAAATCTCTGAATCTATTACGGACGGCGACAAAGTGTAGCGGGTCGGGGCCACGAGCAGTCTCGACTCGGCCAACTAAGTGTACTTCCCGATGGTCTTCGACTTCTGCATCTACCGGTTCGGAACGGCAATGGTCGACGCCGCTTGCGAAGACGCTGGCTGAAGCTATCACGGTACGAGACCTCGATCCATTACAAAGGCAGTTCTAACATTGGGTTCAGACGACAGGCCCAATTTCTGTAGCGGCATATATGCGACAATGCCTCACTCACCCCGAAGGCGGTTACTACACGAGACAGACGTCGAGCGGACAGGATCAATTTGGTAAAAAGGGTGATTTTGTGACATCGCCAGAGATCAGTCAAGTGTTTGGCGAGCTCATTGGTATATGGCTGTATGCGGAATGGCTAGCGCAAGGAAAGAAAGAAAAGGTGCAGATTATTGAGGTTGGTCCAGGACGAGGAACGTTGATGGACGATGTTTTAAGGGTACGTGCATTCGCAAGAGAGGAGAATACGGAGGATACTTACAGGATGACAGACTATATCGAGCTTTAAGGCTTTCACTAGGAGCATTGAAGCCATTTATCTCATCGAAGCGTCACCCTATCTACAGAAACAGCAAGCAAGGTTGCTTTCTGGCACCGAGGATCTGAAGAAGAGCGACATTGGACTGACTGCACAATGCAAGTACATGCCAACTTGCAGGATTGAATGGTGTGAAGACATACGGCTCGTACCAAAAGGTGCGTACCGAGCTTGATTCGCTTTGTTAACACGGCATTGACAACATTCATAGAGCACACGACAGCCCCTTTCATACTCGCTCACGAGTTCTTCGACGCACTCCCGATCCACGTCTTCCAAAACGTCGCGCAATCTTCAGTGCCTGCCTCATCAACCATCATTACACCGACCGGCCCTATAAAACCCAAGCACGGCGTAACAACACCCAAGAACACCTGGCATGAGCTAGTTGTATCACCAACCTCGCCGTATTCTAATGCGGGCGCAACCAGCTCTTCGTTGTCAAAGACAGAGGACGAGAAACTGGACTTCGAATTGACCGTTTCAAAGACACCAACACCGCACTCTCTGTACTTGCCAAAATTGTCTGATCGTTACAAGAAGCTAGAGAACACACCGGATGCGATCATCGAGATCTCGCCTGAATCTTTTGCTTACGTATCTGACTTTGCTGTACGGATAGGTGGTAGCAATGCAAAATCTCGCAACGTTTCAGCAACTCAAACTCCTTCGAGTAGAAACGCTACCGAGGAGGAGAGCTTTGTGAAAACGCAGCCGTCTGGCGCAGCCTTGATCTTGGATTACGGCCCCTTGGATACTATCCCAGCGAACACCCTCCGGGGTATTCGCTCACATACCACTGTCTCGCCTTTTGCGTCACCAGGTCTGGTGGATCTTTCAGCTGATGTGGACTTTCTCGCTCTTGCAGATGCAGCTTTGGATGCCTCCCCTGGAGTTGAAGTTCATGGACCCGTTGAACAGTCTTTCTTCTTGTCGACGATGGGCATCAAAGAGCGCGCCGATCGCTTACTCAAGGCGGCAAAGGACGAAGACACGCGGAAGCGCCTCGAAATAGGCTGGAGGCGACTGGTCGACAGAGGACCGAATGGCATGGGCAAAACCTACAAAGCCATGGCTATCGTTCCTTACAAGGAACGAGGTCCAGTTCGACGGCCGATCGGGTTTGGTGGAGACATCGCTGCCTGAATAACACGATAGAGACCGAAAAGGCTAACTGTGTTAATATTCCAACACAGCTGTGATTGGCACCAAAGATCACGTGTGATATGAGTTCCACGCCACCCTGCATGTCAAGTCTTGTAAACCTGGTCAAATCTCCTTGAGTAGACTTTCAGTTGACTAGCCTCGCACTTCATTCCGCGCAGTGTCTAATCACCATAAATGCTGCCCGACAATTCCACTGCGCGCCCCGCTTGGGCTTCCGAAAACTGACAATGACGAGATTCAAGATGGTCGGATCAGAAGTGTACACACATAGGGCAAGTGCATGAAGATAGTCTTATTTAATGCTCAGTACGTATTATCAGAACGAACACTTGCGTCGCTATTCCTCCGATACTTTCTCTTATCTAGCCTTACGTCTCCATCCACTTCAACTTCGTGGACTGTCTCATCATCTTCATCAGGCTCGTCTTTCTCCCAATCTTCAATCTCATCCTCCGTAACCTGCTCGTCAATGCTATCCCATCGCGCAACGTCAAAAGCCGCGTCTCCAAAAGCAGAGTACATAGACTGTCGCTGCGGTTTTGGCAGCGCCATAGCGTTGTACTCGTACTCGGAGAAGGGGTCAGAATCGGGGCGAGTAGCCAGGAGCCTGCGATACTTTTCAATGCGCTCTTCTTGCGTCTCAATGTAGTTATAGATTGGATTGTCAAGGGGATCAACATAGTTGGCACGAGAGGATGGGCCACCGTTGCAGGAGGCGATTGTGCGGGTTGTTGCGATAGAAGGGGCGTATAGCTTGGTCGAGGCCTGAGACATCATCGAAGGGGCAGTGTCGAGGACAGAATCCGCACGATGATGAGTATTTACGGATCTTGGTATCAGCAAAGGTCGCCGAGAGATTTGAGCGGGTGCCGGGTGAAGCAGGTCTGGGCAAGGGGCAATGACGCTCATGCTATCATCGGGATTGATGGTGTCATCTGAAGCATCTGAACCTCTTGATTCGTTAGAACGCTTCGAAGCATTTGTTGGTGAACGAACAAGTACGGACACAGGGCGTTCTCTCAGAGCTGGGTGAATATCTTGCTGGTCGTCAGGTATTGTATACGTTCGCTCACGCATACTAGGTAGTTCAAACCCCAGATTTTCCGCCGGCGATAGACGCTTTATATCCGGGGGTCGAGGATTGGGCCCAAGTTTAGGATTGAACAGTTTCGGAACGGCCAGTTCGTGAGATCGCTGTGAATCTGCAGTGCTAATCATAGCTGTACGACCAAGAGGGCGTCTGTGAATAGGCCCAGTCGCCTTCGACGGCCTTTGTTCCAACGTCGGATGATTAGAAATTCTCTGCGACTTTACATGAGAAAGCGAGCGAAGTTGGCGGCGTTGCTCACGCTTCCACTGTACGCGAAGGCGTTTAAGCTCCAAGCCCAGATCACCCGCTCTAAGCAATGTAGCATCTCCACCTGTTTTCCGGACCCAATAACGCACGAATCTAAGACGCTTGCTCTTCATGCTATCCCAACCAGCGACGCTACAAAGGGCGTCCAGCGTGGTGAACGTCTTGGTGTTGAAGCGCCCAATCATACCCACAAACAACGCAAAGAGAACATCTTCGTCGGAGCCTATTCGTGCCATCATGCATGCTGGGCATTGATTTTGTTGGTAATGCCATTTTGATCCACACTGAATTGGCTCATGACCCGGCGGAGCGGATGCTTCGACGTTGAAACTGGTTTGCCACATTTGTAACACTGGTTCTAGTTTGCGGACTTGGGACTTCTGGTCGGCTGTTAGAAGGCCATGAGACATGACAAGTGGATAAAGGAACTTGCCAATGGCACCGTCGAGTTCGTGGCGTATCCATCCCCATATGTCGTTGAGCAGGTTTTGGTTTAGACATTTGTGTATCGAGCACAGGTTTGTGGGACCAAAAGAGAGCCGCGAGGAGTGTAGACGACTGGGAAGACGTTGGATGGCCGCCTTGGTATGTTCACGGTACAGCGTCTCCTTGTGCTCGTAATGCTCTTCTTTGGAAGCGGGCACATTTCGGAGGATGCGGACAAGCCTTTTCATGTCGCTGTTGTGGAGACGGCGAGTTTCCATCTTGTGCAGGAATGAACGCATCGTAAAGTGCTGCGACCTATCTTTGTAGTTGCGATGCATTGTGGGTATGTTGTAGTAAAGGATATTGTGATTGACCTGTTGCGAATACGGAATAATATAGAGGAGATCAAGAATACCCAGGAGGCTGTTGCAATGAGACATGGTGAATTCACGATGTATCAAGGATATGAGTATATTGCGGAAGGGTAGGACGCGAGTGAGTATTGTATGTGAAAGATATCAATGTATATATCATAGGACAGATAGAGGAATAAAGACTCGTACTAAACCGAGGATCAATAGAAACTATACGCATCATGAGCCTGAGATGGCATTTGAGTGGTGCTGGGATAGAAGACAGTCTCGGTGAGTCAGGGGCTGGTGTGGCAGTTAAGGTTGACGGAGTGAAACGTTGTGTTATGAGACACTCACGTATTCAAAACGCGCATAGGACTAAGTTGTAGGCAATAAGCAATCTAGTATTGTGGCTGGCCAACTCAAATTCAATGTGGTCCAAACCGCCCAGGAAACGCCGTCCCAAAATCGTACAGTCCATAAGCGAATGATGACCGAAAACAGGCCGCATCTCAAGAGTAACTGGGGGAAACGTGAAGTTACCAAAAGATGCAAGAAAGTAACACAATGCAGCGGACGCATGATAGCTATCCAGAAGTTATACACGAGAGAACTATACATTACTGTAACCTTGTGATGTTTGTTTACACAGAAAAGAAAAAAGCAGTACAATCAATGCGAGCTCTCCAACCCTAGGACGTTGGCTCTTCTGCCGTGCAAGTTTTGATTGACCTTGTTCGTTAGGTCTTTGAAGTTGGTGCCAGCCGTGGATGAGATGCTGCTGGCCTTCTTTCGTGAGATGCGAGGCGTGGATGCGCCTTGTGGTACCGCGCCCTCACCTTGTGATAGGGTAGAGGCTGTAGCAGTTGGCATGGGCACTGCGGTAGCTTTGTTCTCTTTTTCTTGGTCAACCTTTTGCTGTGCCGTAAGACGAGCACGCTCGTACTTGGCAGCCACATCGCCTTTGTACATTGTTCCACCAAGTCGGTCAAGGTAGATGAAAAAGGGTTGCGAGAAGTTGGTCTTAATACCCCAGCTTTGGTGGTGAACATCGTGGTAAGCGGCATTGTTGGGGAAGATCCAGTGGATAGGGTCGTAGGGGAAAGCGTAACCACCGTGGTCGAGGACCGTCTTGATGGTAGAGCCGGTGAAGAACCACATGGATTGGCGCATCGTTAAGCCAGTAAGCAAGTAGCTCAAACCAGCGCCCAGAGTATCGAGCGCGAATCCTTCGATCGGGTGGTTGTACAGAGCTCCGTAGGCATATGGCACGTAAAGACGGTGGTGACGCGAGTGAAAAGTTACTGTTTTTATGTCAACAAAAAATCGAGGAGCATTAGATCGGTCGAGTCTTACCATAGAGCCACTTGTTCAGGTGCATCGCGCGGTGCAGCATGTACTCCCACGCGTCCATGATAACGATAGCAGCACTGAACTGGAAGGCGGGTATGGCATACCAATACGCAAAGCTGGCAACAGCCATCTCCCATGAAGCAAAAGCGGGGACCAGAGTCTGCTGTCCCGCAATCGTCGCTGTCTGCAGCAGCGCGGGGTATTTGCCTCCGATAAGAACAGAAGAGAGCATCGGTTGCGAAGCAGCGATCTTGGAAGCCAGCGCAGTTGGGTTGACGCCTACTGCAGATAAGACGTATGGAACTGCGTGTTGTGCTAGCCTGATCTTTTGCGCGTACCAAGCCACATCGTAGTCGGCTTTGCCGGTTGTAGGTGCCTCATCGAATAACGACAGGCTGAAGGATGCGATTATCTGGATAATCTGTTGGAGTATGACGTCGCGTAGTACTTCATATCGTGAAACATGGTTGCGCTTCAGGACCTCAGCTGGCGTGTGTAGCCGGTATTGCGGGAATAGGTCGTATACATCAATGGCGTGGAAGATCAAAGAGACGACCCAGTAGCCAACAACAGGCAACGCCGCTTGTATGAAGGCATCGGATGCCCACGATGTGAGCGGTTGAAGAGGCTCGAGGGTGTATTCGGGGAGCGGCGGGAGGTCGTATGATGTTGTGTTTGCGCTCGCCATGGTGTGGCAGAGGTGCCCTAGGAGAGCCGATTATCGATTACAGACGTAGATATGTGAAGTGGAGAAGTTGCGCAGAGTAGTCGGTGACGATGCTGAAGGAGTAGCTTGTTCGTGGCGGGACCGCAGGGTCAGCTACGGGGTGACGAAGATGGAACAAGGCCGGAAGCCGCGGACCAGGGAAATTAGGGAGAAGGAGCAATGCAGCGGACGAGGGATGGACGTATTGGTGTTTATGGGGAATTGGCGCGTAATTGACCGGTCGGGCTCAGAAAGGAGAGGCTGAGGTGAGCGGAGCGATGTTGAGGTGAAAGTCGTGTGAGAGTGGTGCTGCGTGCCGGTGACAGGAGCAAGGCATGCCGGGGTTTACGATATACGCGCGCATCATGACATTTCGCCGCCGAGCACCCGGGCCGGCCTAGTCGCTAAGCCACTTGCTTGCATTTCTCGCCACCCGCCCTGTGCGCACGGCCAGCCCATGGCTTCTACTGTTTGCGGTTAGCCCGCTTTCACACCCAATTTTCGACCCCACCAAATTCTCTCTTTCACGCCCTTATAGTCCAGCGCTTCCTTTCCGCTCCAGTCTACAACCCTCGACTGCCAGCTCCGACCAACCTACACTCTTTCCACATACATCCCAAACTCTACATCCACCGCCAAAATGATCATTTTCAAGGTACGTTCTGTCTGCACTGGGTCGCTCTTACCTGCGCTACTACCCCGCCTTCCCTGTTAGGCCTCACGGTGCTTTGCGCGTACAAAGAAGAACACATTTCCCACACCAGACGCATGGTGCTGACTTTTTTCTAGGACATTATCACCGGTGACGAGATCATCTCCGACTCGTACAACCTCAAGGAGATTGACGGCGTCGTCTACGAGGCCGACTGCACCAAGATCACTGTCGGAGGAGAATCATTCGGTGGGTACTGGCAACGCAGATGGACCATGCATAAGACTGACACCACACAGACACTGGTGCCAATGCTTCCGCCGAGGAGCAAGAGGAGGGTGCCGAGGACGCGGCCGAGACCAAGATCGACGTTGTCTACTCTTTCCGCCTGAACGAGACCGGCTTCGACAAGAAGGGCTACCTCACCTACCTTAAGGGTAAACAGCCTAGCACAAATCCCAAGAAGCGCAGGACTAACAAGAGACAGGCTACATGAAGGCTGTCAAGGAGGCCCTTAAGACTAAGGGCGCTGATGAGGCCACCATCAAGGAGTTCGAGACCAAGGCCTCTGCCTACGCCAAGAAGATCATCGCCAACTTCAAGGACTACGAGTTCTTCACCGGCGAGTCCATGAACCCCGATGGTATGATCGTCCTCCTCAACTACCGCGAGGATGGTGTCACACCCTATGTTACCGTCTGGAAGCACGGTCTTCAGGAGATGAAGGTTTAAGCTCAAATGAGCTTGGATATGGGAAGGATGGGGCTTGGTTCACGGTTCATTGAATTTCACGAATACCTATTGCATGTTTGGGAAAATATCCGCCACAGTGCGAAAAGCGGAATGGCACAAATCTAGACGACCTTATGGAGCCGTATGTGATCATGGTGTTCTTCTTCTATCCATGCTACAATTTACCATTATCCGTGGTGATAAGCTTTGATCGGCTTCGGTAAGGAAACCATGAATTTTTGGAGATATTCTCGAACTATTTCCTGGATATTGAGTAAGCTCTTGGAGGGCACTGTGAGATATCTTTAGGACTTAATATACCGCCTGACTCGCCTTGGTGAATGGTATTCTCGCGTGATTGCGCGATAACGCGTCGTGTGCACAGACCATCTGTTCCATCACCTAGCAACAGTTGTCTCAGGCACACTTTGAGCATCCTCAGCCTTCCGCAACTTACCCCACTCATATTATATCTCTTCCAACTTATATCCTTCCCGTTTACTCGCGAGCACCCCTATTGTTTGTTCTATCGCATGAAGCACGAGGCACACTGGAACGTTGTTGCCCCGCGTCATGACGGGTAACGGTGGTCCTGCCGCTGCGCTACCGGGAACTCCGCACCACCTCCGCCCTGGAGCAGCCATTGACGATCTGATTTGCTCGCTGGAAGAAGAATGGAAAGTCGGCCTAAAGATTCGTGGCGCTGGATGGTCGCCAAAAGCATGGAATGCGGATGACACCCCCGATAGAATCTATGCGCTTGTACAGTTCCTCTTTTACAGAGCACGACCAGCCCTCTATCATGCGATTGACAAATTCAAGAGTCTTGCTCCCAGTCGAACATCCGAAGAGCGCCTGGCGTTGCTTCGTAAGATTCTATCCAGTACAAAAGAGAGTCAACTGGTTCCGAGGGGTAGGACACCAAAAAATGAACCGCCTAAGAGTCTGGAGGCATCCTCTAGTGGTAAGTACGCACTTGCCATTTACATGCTACAGAAATTACACAAACACTTTTACTACTTCGGTATCCACATCTAACAGAATTGCCTTACCACTTGCACATCATATAAAGGATACGATTCACTCGCTACTCTGCTTGAACTGTTACTTCTTCTTTGGGGTGCGCTATCGGTCTGGGCGTTCTGCCATCAGACCCATTGCCAAGTGGTGTTATGTATCAACGAATGTGCGTTGGCTGCATAGCTAGTGCTTCATCGAGATTGGTATAGGAACACATTATGCCAGGGCTAACACGAAGACAGGAGTAAAGTCTGTTCCACAGGCAGCAAATCATTCGTTCGAAATTCAGAAAGATGAGCGTGAGTCGTATGCGACTGCGGTTGATCCAGGATCACCTACAGACGTTGACACAGATGATGAGGCGGATCAAGAGTTCGAGACACCACGATCGCCATCACTGTCGCCATCGCCATCACCATCGCCATCCACCAGACCGGCACAGACGCTCTACAAGGCAAGTAACCATGTCTCTTTACACATTACTAGGAAGAGGCCTTCCGAAAGCTCCGGTCATTCTGAAAACTCGCCGAAGTTGACCAAAACCTCCAAAGGGAAGCAGGCTGTAAAGTCTTTTATGTCTTCGCCTATCGCACAGCCACAATTTAAGAGGCCCACGCTCGATATGGCTCGATCTATCCAGGCTGCATCTTCAGTCAACACGTCTTTCAACAACACTGCCTTTCCTTCTCAGGAGACAGCAGCTACCACAAACACTTCGTTTACGTCGAACGATAGTGTCAGCGATTTCCAGGGGACGAGCTTTCCCAAACCTAGATTGACACGAACAAGTCCAACTACAATGAGTTCACTGGATATTCGTGATCTCTACGAAGCTATGTCGCGTTCAGGAAGTGAACTGCTCGAACGAGACATTCAACGAGATCTTAATGAAATCTTTTCTCAAGGGAGCAGCGGCCAAAGCAGGTCAACTTTTGGCTCTGTCGATGAGGATGGTCTTCTTGAGACCTCTTTCGAGCTTGAAGACCAGCAGAATAAGTCGGAGGTAATTCCAGGTGGCAAGCAAGGAAAGTTGAAAGCGCCTTCCGTCGCCAATGATTGCGATCAGCAAACTCGCGCATCGGCGCTGCCACTGTCTCTATTTAACGGGGTGTCAAACAATCAAGGGCAGACGCCTCCCAGCATGCAGTCTCCCTCGAAAATGCCATACGAGGTACGCAATCTACCCGACCAGAATCTCTTCGTCGATAAGCTTCCCAGGATGCTAGAACATATTCCCTACCATATCCTGTTCATCTGTCAACGTGTAGCAATAGAAAACTCCGTTTCACTTCCGGACTTGGTACGTGGTATGGATGTGTCTACCGTAGCTTCCGACCCAGAAGCCTTGTGGTCTTTCATTGAGAAACATGATAATATTCAACATGTGCGACTACGCGAGTCAAGCCGTCTCTGGCAAGCTGCAAAACGCAATTCTGAAGGTTACACGTTCAAGGGACATATTAATCCCAACCTCAAGCGTACTGGCCCAATTATGAACCTTGCATTGTTGCCAATACAAGCAGACAAATCGTGCCGGCTTGAGCGAATGTTCGGCTCAGACCGCTTTCTTTATTTAGACACGTCAGACTTCTCCAAGACGGGGCGTTTCAAATCCAGTCAGGCGCAGCAAGTTCGCAGTCAATCCCAAGCATGGCTACTGGCCGAACACTCGTTTCTAGGCCGTAAATGGAGAGCCTTCCATATTGAAGACCTGAAGAGGAACAAGACCGCTCGACCCAAGGATGTGATTCACGACAAAAGAATTGTGCTTTTCGCGACCGAAGGTTGCGGCATTAAGCAGTCCTACTCAGTAGGTCAAATGCTACATCGATTCTTACCCTTCGATACCAACAAAGATCAAGGTTTTTGCAAAGCCTTTGCTCGCATCGAACTTGGACTTTCCCGTACTGTACCCACGTTGTGCTTTGGGGCATCGCAAATCATCCACGTGGATGATGACTTGGCTACGAACGATCCGGAAGATACTCGGTTTAATGACCCCAAAATACAATGGCAGGCAGTTCCCGATAACGAGATCATGAATGATGGATGCTCAATCATTTCCGTGGGTGCTGCGTTAGTCATATGGCAGCTATACAAGAGATCTACTGGGGTTACCGGCCCCTTGCCGAGTGCATTTCAGGGACGTATTGGTGGGGCCAAAGGACTATGGATGATCAGTGCAGAGTCTTTCACTAAAGATCCTGAGCACCTTGAGCATTGGATTAAGATCAACAGGAGTCAATGGAAATTCCATCCTCCTACCGATGATCATCACCGCACCTTCGAGGTGTCCAACTACAGTTCCGCGCCGTCGCCGTCGGAGTTGCACATAGCGTATATCCCTATCATGGTCGATCGAGGTGTACAGAGATCAGTGATTGCTGGTCTCATGAAGGAGTGTCTTGAAATGGAACGCAACAAGCTGTTAGAGTTACTCCCAGATCCTGTCAAGATACACGATTGGGTTCACCGAAACGGCGCGAAAACACAAGCTGAATCTGCCTGGCAAGCAGCACTACCAGTCTCACTAGAGGAAAAGCTGAAAATTTTGCTCGAGTCGGGATTCATTCCTACCAAGTTTCCATATCTTGCCAGGAGTCTTGAGCGCTTTATCCAAGCAAAACATATACTACAGGAATCGAAGCTACGTGTACCCCTTCCGAAGTCGGCGTATTTCTTCGGGATAGCAGACCCTTTTGGAGTGTTGGAACCGGGAGAGATCCAGGTGCAGTTCTCATCCTCTTTTGCCGACGAGAAGACAGATGAGAAGTATCTCTGCCTTAGGAATATGGATGCTCTAGTTACTCGCCAGCCTGCTTGTCGCCGCTCGGATATCCAGAAAGTGCGCACAGTCATACGCCCGGAGCTGTCGCATTTGGTAGATGTAGTAATTTTTCCATGCAAAGGGCGGTACCCATTAGCTGGAAAACTTCAGGGAGGCGACTACGACGGTGATATGTTCTGGATCTGCTGGGAACCCTTACTTGTGCAGCCGTTCTTGAACGCCCCAGCGCCGCAGGCCCCTAATCCGACCCAATATGGTATAAAGATAAGAACCGAAAAGCTCAAAGATATCATGGACACCAGCAACCCCGAAGAAGTCGACAAATTTCTACGTAAAGCATTCGAGTTCCGCAACAATGATTCGTTTCTTGGTCGCGTTACCACCTTAGCGGTGAATCAGGCCTATACCGAGAATTGTATATATTCACCGACGCTCGAGGAGCTGTATGATATGCATGACTTGTTAGTGGATGCATCGAAACAGGGGTATGTTTTTACACAGGCGGACTTTGACCGGTACGTACGCCAATTACCGAAACGACCAAAACAGCCACTTTACAAGACCGCGATGAAGGAATGCGCCAGTATAAAGAGCTCCACAAGTGTTGAGAAGTTTCGGGAGAAAGACGACCGATACAAGTCCAAGCATATCCTTGACTACCTTTATTTTGACATTGTGAGAGCGCACAATATTGAGACGATGGCGCAAGTCAAAACCGTTCTCTCGCAAGCAACTCAACCGGACGAAGCGCTACTGTACCCAAGTAAGCATTTCATCGGAAAGGGTTCTGAGGCGATCAAAAAGGAACTTCTTTCCCTAGCTGGGAAACTGGACGACGTCTATCGTGTGTGGAATACTGGGTGGCATGGTGATATGAGCACGACAGCGCGCTTTAACAGTCTTGTGAACAACTGCTACCAGAAGTACCATGCTATACAGCCTGACAACCCAGGCCATTCCGACATCCAGCCTCTAGTGGGAGAGTACCTCACACCTGGTTCATGTCTTTGGGATACAATCAAAGCTTCAGCATTGTATGCAAAGTTTCACCGGCCGGAGAAATCCAGCTTCGTTCTAACAATGGCAGGGCGGGAGCTCGCGAGTCTGAAGGCCAACAGCTTCGAACATTCTAGGGTCATTATTGCTTCTATCCGTGCGAACATGAAGCCGAAACCAATCAAGGCGCCGATTCAATACGATGAGGAAGAAGATGACGACTTTGGGACCACGCTTGAAGAGCCTATCTTGTAGCGATCTCTAAACCATGCAGTAACTGGGTACACCTGACTCACTGGTACTAGTCGCCTCGGGCGCCTTGTTTTCATACGTCGACTGCCCACCACTTTGGCATCATCAACGCATGATCACCGCACTGTTAGCACAGGGGTTTGAGCACTTACAAGAGTCTTGGCCTAGAGGTCGTCCTGGATCGCCATCTGTCGGTTAGTCGATTTGGACTCTCGTCTTTGCACCATCTTTGTATACCACCGTTACTGCTTCCCATTCTACGCCATACGTATATAGCATCTGTACGTCAGTACCGATTTTCCGTATGTGGGTACGATGTGTTGAAGACCTCACCACGCCATCTTTCATTACACTCTGCAACGTCATACTTGATCTACTGTCTCTGGAGTAAGTCCGGAAGCCTCACCAAGGCCATTCATCACCGCATCGTTCTAGACAGTGGCACAAACGTACGACGAAGAGGAAAGGGAAGGGGAGGTTTGGATACACACCGTTGAAGAGAAACTACGTATGGAACAATTGGACAGGATAGATGGTTGAGAAGAGAATATAGCGGGATCTACTACATTTCGCCGTCTGAATTCATCTTCCTTAATCACAACTATGCATCATGACATTGTGCATTCCCCTCTTGCTATTGAATCAGCATGGCCATCACTTCGCTCCAGCGAAGACATCAGTGGTCCCAGAGCTAACGAAGTCAGTGTTGCGACTAGGGAGTTACACATCGGTGAAGCAATAAGTGGGTATCATTGAAAACATCTACATCCCTTTAGTACATTATCAGCCCTACCACTCATCCCGCCGTAGGCGCAGCCGCCGCAGCCTTGATCTTCAGATTCCTCCTTTCCTCTTCTCTTCGGGCCTCCACACCAGCCAAGAACTCCATACGACCCAGATAGGCTTCTTTAGTCTTTCCATGTGTATCCAATTCCTCTGCGATGCCCTCCTTGTCCACGAAACCTGTCCAGTCCATGCGCGATTTGTCCACGACATTGAGCTTCTGCGCCTTCTCCGCTTTCTTCGTGGTTGAAGCGTCGGCTTCAGGAGCGAGTTCTTGATCGGGGTGTAGGGTGGTAGCGGAGCTACGGGGCCAGGAAAGCTGGTGTTCGGGCGCGAGGGCGCGGACATAGCCTGTAGGGTTGGGGTCGAATCGTGATGGGCGGCGGATGGGACGACGGATCTTGGGTCCGGTAGACTCGGAGGAATCTTTGGGGGACTCTGCCGCAGGTGTGGTTGCAGCGGGCGTCTCGAATGTCTTCCAACCATCTTTAAGGTATTTGTCGAGTTGGGAGCGTGGTATCTGCTTTTCCTCGGTCGTGTCCTGCCCAGCGAATGTAAAGATTTTCTTGATCGTGAGCTGTTCTTCCTCCGCCAATACTGGGATGTTGACTACGGGTGCATGATCCTGTGGCGCGGCCGCTTCCTGTGGTTTAGTGGATTCCAGAGGCTTCAAAGGCGCTGCTGTCATCTGAGCCCATAACGCATCAACGTCCACTGTTGCGCCCTCAGTTCTTGCAAGTGGCCGCCTTTCCTTCCTCTCAACTCTCCTTTGAGCTCGCGTTTTGACAAGACCACCCTCCCCGCCTTCATCATCCGATATGATCAGCTCATCGTCGTCCTCTTTACTGCCCTTCTTGCCCTTCTTCTTGGCTCGCTTCTTCCGCGCAGCTTGTATCGTCACTTCATCTCCGGAGTCGAGGTCTTCATCGGCCGGTGCTTTCCGCTTGCCCTTGCGCTGTGCGGGTTCTATCGTGACATGGTCTTCGTCCTCGGAGCTAGATGCCTCTTCGGCTGGGGCGGTTTCGGGATTGAAGTCTTCATCGGACGACTCGTGGTACTTCTCGTCGGCATTTTCAAGGTCTTCATCTCCATAAGTGTGTGGCATGGTTAAGCGGGTATCGTGTTGGAGGCTTGAGTTGGCGTCGCGCAGGCCAAAACGAAGACGCGCCAGATCGACGGCCAACGCCGGATGAGCCTAGCGTGGAACAAGGGTAAGCTCCAGATTTACGTCAGTGACGTCCATGGGTGGGCGGGGAGGCAGGCGCGTTCCAGATCAAAACAAGCCAGACATGCTTCAAGCTGGGCTGACTTGCTTCTGTCTTCTACCAAATCTCTTCGTTGCTGTCGCCTAATGCGCATCTATTCCTATTCTTGATCGCACCACCCAGTCAACATCATGGCGCCAGTCGACACTGTCGCATCTACGCGCAGCAACTCGCTACCCATCGCCCTCTTCGGCGGGCAGGTACTCCTCGTTACAGTGCTCACAGCTCGTGTACTTCTCACTACTCGACGTGCCGCCAAATCTCAGCCGCCGTCAACACGCACTCGATCGCAAGACTCGGCTCGCCGTCGTCATGCCATTACCTTCTCCATCATCGCGCTCCTTTCACTACTCTCGGTAGGAAGCTTCGCCTTCCTCTGGCGCGCTATCTCATACGTTCGTTGGGCCGGAGAGAACAAACATGACGTTCCAGGCAGTCTATGGAGCGGCTGGTACGGCACTGGAGAGGAAGGACGCTGGTATCTGGCCGACTGGATCGCCGATATAGATCTTGTTCGCGAGTTCGACAAGGTTGGAATTATGAAGCCTGAAGGGTTCCTTTATACCAGCCAGTACTTTGTCGGACTGATTGCAAGCTCCATCTTCATGGGCGCCGAAGGTACGTCAATGCGATCAACGCAGGTTGTAGTATTCCCGCTGACTTGTCTTCTATAGGTCGCAGGCGCAATCTCTCAAACACAACAATCGCGTCATTTGTACTGCTGAGTTCAATCGGGAGCTTGGGATATGCCTTGAGCTTGTTTTTCATCACCATCTTGTATACGCCTTTAACCATACACCGCAATGACACCCCACTACACGATGCGCTGTTCACCCCATATGCCTTCGTATACGACACGGGCATCGTTGCGTCGCTCATCACGCTCAATCTCTTCCCTCAATTAGTCTCCGAGTTCGGCGACAAGAGCATGATGCGACTGGGATATCTGACCATGCCTCTCGCCTTTGCTTTTGCGCCACAACTGGTCCCTTACGCTCTCGGCCACCAGCATACGTCCAAGGCGGCGGCTCATCGATCATACGCCAAAGTCTTCCACGCCCTGTCAATCGCCTCTATTCTCGTATACTGGCGTGTGTGGACCACTCTGGTCTATGTGAACAGACCCACCCAGCGCTCTCACGTCTGGGATCTCTTCTCAAACTCGATCGGCAAGAGCGACTTGGCAAGTACAAATAGGCTTCTCACTAGCATCAGCAACGCGGGTCAGGCTCTAAAGCATATCAGCGTGCACCCGGCTATCAGTGTCACAAGCCTTGATGTTCTTTTCGCAGCCATCAGTTTGTTGACGTGGTCCTTCACGCGCGATCTAGACGTGCATGCTATCCTGGAAAGCAGCATATTATCCTTCCTTGTTCCGACTCACGAGAAGCACGTTAGCTTCAAGCAAGACCTGGCTAGGGTTATGGAACACGCAAGCGAACCCTCCTCGCCGGTAGGACTCGCAACATCGGGGAAGCCCGGACGTCCCGCTAAGAGCTCTGCCGTCAATGGTACATCCAGCGCAGCGCATTCAGGACCCACAGGTGCGTCTCTGCGGCGCAGCACAAGGGGGAAAGCGCGTATCTCGGACGTAGATTCGGACGCGGACTCGTTTGCGGGTGATCCTGATGCTACCTACCAGCCATCCGAGAAGACCAAGCGAGCTGTGCAGGGAATGGAATCTGACGGCTCTGCGCCTGAGGGTGATCTAGTTCACGCTGGAGAGTCGACTGCGCTAGCCCTATTCCTCGCCTTCTTCGGTGGACTGGGGCAGTTGGCTGCAGGTACTCTAGGTGCCGAGGTGACGGGCCCGCGAGACTGAAATGATCGAGGTACTTGGTGACATGAATATCATGATCGAGGTAGGCATACGGGCTTCTGGCGTACGGAGATATGGAGAATGGAAATAACAGCGTTGGATTTTTGCGTTGATATACCCCGGGCTGAGCCGGAGTGTCGGGACATTTTTGATATTGCTTTTGGGAGTATAGTGATGTACAAATACGGTGAGAAGCGTTGCGCGCAGCTCATAAGTTGAGGAGCAAGTTCAGCTTAACGCGCATAATGACATGTCTCGTCGAGATTACTCACATATACCTGTCTGTTTCTTCCGATGATAAAAGGGGGGATGCGACGCTGATATTAATGACGTTGGGAAGCGCTCCTGGAACGCCGTGTAACCTTGCTGGCGCGGATAGCTATCCGCGAAAACGCATCCTTGCTTGCCATGCGGTAATATCGTTAGCCTTGACTCAAGTAAGGTTGGGCTGCCGGAGGTTGACTTCGGCACAACACGAATGGGGCAACTGTCCCAAGCTACGGAGTATGAGGGCGTTGACTCTACATCGAATTTGGGCTGATGTTGGAAAGCTGAGAACGAGGATGTGATGGTGCCTGAAGATCTTCCTGTGTTAAGCGAACGTGGACTGCACGCGACCAACCGTCTCGCCGCGATGACACTAACCATCTTCTACGACGTTTCCAGATGCTTCAGCATTGTACCACTACGGCTATCTATCAGCAGCACTGACTTGTCTCCGACCCGGCCTCGATTCGTCGTGTTGCAGTGACGCTCTGGTGCCCGACGACTGGGCGCCCGCGGATTGTCATCCTTGCCGACCCGGCTTCTTCGGCTTCTGGCTACCATCAGAGAACGTTTGCGAAAAGTGAATCTGCAGGACGGGGATCCTGTCAGAAGGCCATCCAAGTATTCTTGGAAGAGATATAGTAATCCCGGGTGTCTGGCTGAAGGGGTAGGTTGAGTTGGGCGTCGGCTCATCAGCAAGGACAGCGGTTCTGGGGCAGTGGCAGGCTCGGGCCTAAAGACCATCACCACCGTGCGCAACGCAAAGACGCTACACTACCACTGAACAACCATGGAGGTAAGCCCAGGTTTCTTCTTTTACTCCTTTGCTTTCCCCACGTGTATCGTCGTCTTCCAATTCCAGTTAGGTGTTTGGCAAAGCCCCGGGTTGCGTCGCGACTTCCTCAGCCCTATGTACATCTGCACTATCGCGTGAGCTCCCCTTGGTGCCTTCCGCTCGGTGTCGACTGCCTTGCGCGTATCACCGTCTGCTCTTGTAGGACACCACGGGGGCTCCTGATTGACTCGTCGCTTCCTTGCCAGCTCCCCTTCTCATGTACCGCCCGTCCTCGTGGCCCCTCTCCGCTGGTGTTGTACCACACGTCGTCGCAGCGTGCCTGTCACTTCCAAACGAGAGTAACACGCTTCACTGCGCAAATGCCGGTCAGGTGAAGTGAGATAGGAAGGGCCGGCTTTCTGTTTTCTGTCTTCTCTCGGCGCGGCGCTTTCTGCAACCCACGATACCCAGTTTTCTCTTAGTTTTGCGACTTCTGCTCTTAGCGATATACCCTGTACCACTACCCTTCACCATGGAGAGCCGTTTCCTTTCACAGCGGCATTTAGCAACCGTTGAGGCTGCTCGCAATTTTGTTCGAGATGACGGCGCAGAGGAGCGGCGTCCATCCGCCAGCTCATCCTTACTCAAACCAAGTGCTCAATTGACCATGGATCGTTTTCTGCAGGACTTACCAAACGCCGAGGAACCGCCTGTTGACTTTACGCCGCAGTACCACACGGGTCGTGTCCCGAATAGCAAGGCGGGAGATGGCAAGCCACGACTGCTGCTCATGGGACAGAGAAGGTAACATCAGACGTGATCAGTGTTTGTGCTTCGCTAACCATATGGTCGCAGGAGTGGCAAGTCTTCCATATCAAGTGTTGTCTTCCACAAGCTACCGCCAAGCGAGACGCTGTACCTCGAGACGACGTACAGGATAAAGAAAGAGTCAATGCAGTACGTCATCTATACAGCATGCACATTTATCCGCTGATCAATTACACCAGCTCGTTCATGGACTTTCAAGTATGGGATCTGCCAGGTCATCTAGACTATTTCGACCCAGCTTTCGATACAGACAACATCTTCGAGGAAATCGGTGCTTTGATATGGGTCATCGACGCCCAAGATGAATACCTTGATGCAATCGCGCGTCTGAACATGACGATCCTTAACCTACAGCAATCGTACCCCAACATCAACGTTGAAGTCTTTGTGCACAAGGTCGACGGCTTGTCAGACGACTTTCGTGGCGACACTTTCCGGGATATTATCCAACGGGTACAAGATGAACTTTCCGACCACGGCTACGAGCAGGCCCCCATATCCTTTTACCAAACATCCATCTACGACCATTCCATCTTCGAAGCTTTCAGCAAGGTAATCCAAAAGCTCATCCCGCAGCTTCCCACTCTCGAAGCACTCCTCAACAATCTGTGTGGTGCCTGTAATATCGAAAAAGCTTACCTCTTCGACATCATGAGCAAGATCTACATCGCAACAGATACTAGTCCTACCGACATTGGCAGCTATGAGATATGTTCTGACTACATCGATGTGGTCATCGATGTTAGTGAGATCTATGGCTGGGATCGACCTGATGAGGGTGAGGATGAAAGCGAGACAGGGAACAACGATGCTGAGAGCCTGATTACGATGGAGAAAAAGAACAGCAGGTACCTCTACTTGCGGGAGATTAACAAGTAAGTTTAACCGCCTCTATGTTAAGAAAACGTAGTTGTGTTGACAATGAACACAGGTATCTCGCTCTAGTGTGCATCATGGGCCAGGACAACCCAGCAGAGAAGAAAGCTATCATCGACTACAACGTTGGTGTCTTCCAAGCAGGTCTTAAACAGGTCTTTCCCAAGAGTGACAGAGAGGCGCAGGTCGAGATACGCGATATCCACGACGGCGCAGAGTGAGCCGTTTGGATTATTCTTGTTGATCAGATGGAAATCACTGAACAAACCTTTCACTCTTACTATCGAACCTGCAATGAACGATCTCGCAGTATTTATGTTATGCGAACCGCACACCTGAATAAGGGAGGGGATAAGCGGGAGGATGAACTGTATACGAATATGGAAGGAATGGCTTGTATTGATACATAAGCGATGTATTCGCCTAAAAGATATGATATACGGTAGTTATAGAAATACGCGTATCGATTCCACAAGTCATGCGACTCAGAGTCTACGCATGTCGACCTCATCCAATAGTGAAAGTCCAGTCCAGTAGCGCGTTGGCACGCGAACGCCAATGACATCAATCGGAAAGCGGCCAATCATCGGAATCGAAATCCATGGTACTTCCCGAGAGTAACGCCTCGGAACGCGAAAGCAATCTATTCTCCGCATCGCGCATCCGACGGTACCTGGCTTACGGACACGTCTCCGAATACTTTATCGTATAGCGAATTACCTTTGAAGGAGGTATCTTGCCTCGGCATCCGAGTGTCTTTGACTCACGAGTACCATAGTTTGAGCTACATGGGTGCTGGATGAACAGGTAGGGATGCCTCGATGTAATGCGATTGACACATGTACATGTATGTAGAGACTGACGACGCAATTTAGGAAGTAAGTTCGAACATACTACCACCACCACCACCACCACCACGACGATGTCCTCATCCCAGCGATACCGTCGTCCTGCGAAAGACGAGCCTACAGACACGACTACATCTTCTATTCCACCAACTGCCACAGGCGCGAAAGAGAAAGCGGAGCTCAAGCAAGCCGTCAAGGAACAAGCAGTTGCAACATCAAATGGCGTATCAGTACTCGACATACTGCGTATACTGGGCGGCATGCTCCTACTGAGCTGTGGACTGAGCTATCTGAGTACAAGTGGAGAGAGCATGACGTGGGGATATAACGCATGGTGGACTAGAGCTCGAGAGTGGAAAAGCCTCATGGTACGTCTCTACCATCATTCTCCAAATACAGGTCTCTCGCGACTAACATGTCTACTTTGAAGCAAGGAGAAGTCACCCTAACCGACTCCGAACTCGCCCTATACAATGGCGCTGATCCCTCGAAACCAATCTACCTCGCGCTAAACGGCACAATCTACGACGTGTCCATCTCGCCAACTACCTATGGTCCAGGCGGCTCCTACCACTTCTTCGCAGGCAAAGACGCCGCGCGCGCCTTCCTAACGGGTTGTTTTGCGGAAGACAGCGTCCCGGATCTACGCGGCGTAGAGCAAATGTTCATACCAGTTGACCCCGAGGAGAAAGCCGGTCTAACACCACAAGAACGAGAGATGGAGATGGAAAAAGCGAGGAAGAGAAAGCCATTGACCAAGGGTGAGCTGAAGAACAGACATGCGCAGGAGCTCAAGAGTGCGAGGAAACAGATGGTCGCTGGCTTGGAGGGCTGGCACATGTTGTTCCGTGGCGACAAGGGGAAACCGTATAGGCGTGTGGGCTATGTGAAGAGGGAACCGGGTTGGGTGGATAAGATGCCCAAGAGGGGATTGTGTGAGCAGGCAGAGAAGGGCAGGCCTGTCAGGAAGTATGATTAAGTGGTTGTTATCGGTTGATTGGAATCCGTCTAGATCCTGGGGTAGGCATTCTCTGTATATAGGTGTACAGCTACGGCCTGCTGGCACCTGTTTCAATACGATACTCAAACGTAAGCAATAATTACTGTTACACTTGTTGTTTCCACTTCTGCTTGCAAAGCAGCATAACTTTGGCCATACTATAAAGAAGCCCTTTGGCTCTAGATTTTACTTGGGTAAAATGTGCTCTAGAGGTATTCGCTGTGTTGACATTGAACATGTATTGAGTCAGAGATAACGTATACCTTCAAGGCATGTTGTAGTACGTAGCATAACCTAGAAAAACGGGCTCTTCGTACGAGATACTAGATAACAATGTTCTTAACTTGAAACAAGAAAGGGAAAGACAAGGCCATGACAAACAATCCCTAGATATATAACTATGCTATATTAAGCCCAGTTGACCAAGAAACGTCGACAAGCTACTGTCCTACACATGGTGCCCGGCATGACCGTAGAAGTAGGTCGAAGGAGAAAGTGCAATAATCCCCACAAGTGTTGATGCAATATACATTGGGATCTTAAGACATAGTGGGCATTAGGCACAGAACGTCGGTCCAACGATATCAGTGACGCATATTTTCAATCATAACATCGAGGTCAACTGCAGTGGTGGTGTTTCGGAAGTCTTTTCATTCAGTACATAACCGACACCTCCAATGGACTCTAGGTGCTGTACCCGAGCCCGTTCCTCTCATTTCATATCCGCTATGAAGCATACATCCCAATATAGTATGACTCGTTCATTTCATGAAGACGCCGATTGGTATGGAAAGAGGAATGCCGTAGAGAAACTGAAAGAAGTGTCCGAGATTCGCATTTACGTTCGTTTAATTGTCGGCTACGTAAAGCTTACTCCTCGGCGCCGATAGCTCGTGCTGCAATATGTTAGTAAAGGCCCGCATTCGTTTCCTGTAGTCCCCACATCCCGTAGAGACTGTGAACTTATAGGTGTTGTTGTGATGACATACTGTAGATGCTGAGCTTTGAGTGTCCGACAACCTTCTTGATCTGACCGTTGGCCTCGAGGTCGGCAAGCGCCTTTCGTGCAAGCGAGCCGTTGATCTTCAAGCGATCGACGAGGGTGGCAACAGTGATGAGGCGGTAGGACTGGACATCCTTCTGGAGCTTGTCGTTGGTCTGCTTGTCGAGAACGACGGCGTGCTGGGCCTTGTCCTTGACTATATGGCTGTTAGTGGCGATTCTTCTCCGGAGCGTTGTGAGAGTGCGCGGTAGTAGAGCGAGGTTGCGGACGTCTATAGTGGTGCTTTCGAGCGTTTCCGACGTGTTCCCGATGCGTACAGATGTGCTGGTGGTGGTGGTGGTGTGCAGTGCTGTAATCACGTACCCTTGCCCTTGGACCACTTCTTCTTCTGCTTCTTGCCTCCAGTTGCTGCAGGTGCCTGTATACAATCAGCCCCAACCTCTTTCTTCTTCGATATTTCGACTGTGCAGTAGACGTACCATTTTGTCGGTTGTGTGTGGTTGCTGAGAAGAGACTGTCGAACTCAAAAATGCAGTTTCCAGGTGGGTGCGGAGCCGATGTGGCCTTGCCAAGATGCGCTAACCACCTCTTCAAGCGAGCCATACGCTCACGTGACTAGTAGGTGCTCAACCGAGCCCAAGTCGACAGATTTTACAGCACGCATTGTACAAGCTGCCAAGGTACATATCCTATCTTGAACAATGTCACATCTCACAATGTTCATACCGATCGAGATAGAGACCACGGATAGCGCCCTTACAGGATTCCAAGCCCTCCAGACATCCAACCATCCATGCTACCCACACAGCGATGCACTCCTATCTGTATTACCAATCTCTATAGCACCCGTGAACTTTTGCCGAACATCATACGTCGCAATTTACGAGGAGTGGGATCACGCGGCCGCTTTAGGTTGCGGACATGATCCCCAAACGATAGTTTCAATGAATTGGAAGATTAGCGCGTAAACCGCCAATATGTGCAGCCATCCCTACGTAATCGGAGTAACGTGTTTGAAGGGGAAAGTGTGGTTCACTAGACGGCGGCAAGTTTATGAAGCCGCGCTGATGAACATCGAGGTGGTGTTGGCGGATAGAACAGACGTCGTCTGTGTTGTGAACTACTGGGGGGTTTCGGAGATTGTCGTTGACAACTACCAGAAGTGACATGGACGCGTGCGGGTCTGACCATCAATGCGACGCTGCAGGGCGCGAGGATACGAGGTTCGGGGGGTTGTATGCACCAAATTTAGGACGCGGTTGGTCGATGGTAAATATGCATCAGTACAGTGCAGTGTAGATCAAATCATGTCACACCATGATGGCTAATCCATTGCGGGCCAAGATGATGTTGAGGGATCACAAGGGGCATGTCACTCGATGTCGACATAGAGCAGAAATACGCCGAATATTGTTTTCCAATTACAAGCTAATCGGCACAAGCCACTAACAGGACTCTTGCGCCAGCCAAGTACGTCCAACTCTCCTTTTCGCATACTGATTTCTTTACAGTGTAGACGACGCAGAGACCACTCCACCATGACTGATACTGACACAAGGAAAGTAATGAGAGACAAAGACAAGTCTGACGGTAAAGGAAAAGGACGTCAACATACGACTGAACCACGGATAAAGACAAAGGAGGCAAGGAAAAAGTTGGCTTCAACTAGAAAAGATCTCCCTTCGTCTTTTTTTGCGGTCCAATGCCAACGACTACTCCGCTTGCTGAGCCCACACATGCAAGCAAAGCGTTCTTCCTCTACGTGATTGCAAATGCTCGCTAAGATGGAAGAACAAGTCCGTAGTAACCAGAACATGGAACAGAGCTGACAACTGGTAAATGCTGATGGCTCCAATCCGCAAGTGCAACGATGAGAGGTATTCGCCAAGACGCCATGTCCAAATGATGGATGCATAATCATTAGAAGAAATGGGTGTGTGGTTTCGAGAGCTCGTGAACTTCCATCTCCTGCTTGAGTGGTTAGCATTTATTCACTGGACGGTGATATTGCTGAAGTACGTACCATCTTAAAGGAGTTGAGTTCCTCCTTGATCTGTTGCGCAAGCATCGGTGTAAGCCTATTACACGTTGCGATGTCGCCCCTACGATCATAGTCCTGCGGTGACCAGGCGTCGTGGAATTGTATACGTGGGCTGAAACTAATATTTCGGAGACCGCCGTGGGGTGTGGTTGGGAGACTCCTCGTGCTGCCATTGGGAATGCGTGGTGGTTTGCCGAAGTAGTCATCGTTGCGAGCTTGCCCAACCTCTGTTTTCGGCGTAGCAGGAGAGCTGGATCGTGATGAGCCCACATTGGGAACCGCATCTACGGGCTTGAGAACAGGTGATCCAGAATCCGAGTTTGTGCCAGCGCCTGATATTGCATTAGTAGCTGTGTTGAGGGAGCGTGTAGGGAACATACGTTTCAAGATACCCTTCTTCATAGAAGAGAGAACCTCTGCACGATCGCGGTCATTTCCGACGATGCTTTTCCTGGACACAGCCTCGCCGCCCTGGATAGAGGGGTTTACAATCTCCGCAGATCGACCGGCATCAATGGAATTGCGCTCCAGTCTAGGGTAGCCGGTGCCTCCTCCGGTCTGTTCATTGGGTTTTGCGTTAACGTTGACCTTTTGTCTCTCGGCCTCGACGGTGACTAAAGACACCTGACCCACGCTGGGCCTGGTAATGGGTCCATCGGCAGCAGGTACACCAATAACAGACTTTGGCCTAAACAGACCCTTGATAGATTTAGTGCCCTTCTTCATTCCATGGCCCATCTTCCGGAGCATGACAGAGGCGGACGATGCAGCGGACTGTATAGACAGGTTGTCGGTAGACCCTATGCCACCCTGACCCGAGTAGATACCAGCACCTATACCTGCCGCCTCTTGCTTTGCGATGATGGCGGCCTGTTCGGCATCCTCGTCATTTTGATATTTGTCTTTCCTCAACCTCGCACGCTCCGCAGAGATGTTATTCTCGGCAGAGGCTTTTCGGAGCTCAGCAGCGCTTCCAAAAGAGAAGGCCCTGCGTAGACGGGACTTCATTCCCTTGTCCTTGTCGTTCACAGCGTTGAGGTGTTGCAGAGCTGTGCCAGGTAACACAGCTGGTTTGGCAGGACTCGGAGGCTCTGATGGAGACACGGGATGCGACAGAGGAGATGGAGCTTGCCGCCTGTTAGGCTCGGATGCTTTGGAAGAGCTTCCTCCTGCTACCGAGGCATAGCTACGTTGGGTGTTTGCTGCAGGGCGAGACTAAACCGTGTGTTAGCTTGCGTGTGTGTGGTGAATTCGCTGTACTTACCTGGGATCTCGAGGAGTTGTTGGAGGAAGCACTACCCGCACTGCCCTGTCTCTCATGACTATGACTCGAGGCGGGGCGGCTTCCTGCACGATTTGAGTTTGAAGGGGTTGTGGTGTTCGCGCTCGGTGTCGTGCTTTGACCTGCTTCTGGGCTGACCTGCAATGATGCCATGTTGGAGGTAACGGTGTTGTCTACTTCTAGTCCGTTGAAACTGCGTCTTCTGTATCGCTTAGCGGGGTCTATACCGCCTGAGCGAATAACTTGCGTATCATCTGCACTGTTCGCTCGGTTGTGCCCAGGCCGAAACGGCGGCGGGAAGCCAGCAGCACCTGCGCCTTCGTTCTGCGTGGTCTGCTGTGGTCCCATGTAGGAGTTTCCTCCAGACGTAGAGCGCTGCGTCGGGGTAGAGGCACCGGTAGGAATGCTGTTGGACGAGTCTGTCCTTCCAGCGCCACGTCTATACCGTCCTGGGGAGGGCTTCACAGGCGATGACTCGCCTATCGAAAGCGAAAGATCGGGTATGGAAGTGGATAGTGTGATGGATGGCGCAACGGTGTCGTAAGGTTTCCTGACCTCGCGTTCATCTCTAGTGCCTGCAGGTGGCCCAGCCGACGAGCGGTTGGATGAGCCCGAGGTGGAGACTGTGGAATCGGAGGAGGAAGAGGGGTGAGAAGGGTGGCCGAGTCGCGTCTGGTTGGCATGGCTGGGAGGTTGCTGCAGGGCCTGAGGGGCTGGTGTTGAGGCGGACCTGTTCTCCTGGCGTAGCTGCGGCGTGCTGTTGAAGGCATACGGGGCTATCGGTGCGGCCGTCCCTCTGTATCCTGTACCTCCCGAGTTTCCATTGTGCTGGTTGCGCGGCATCTGCGAGGCCCGCTGTTGTTGCTGGTTGGGGTGGTTGGGTGTGTTTTTGTATGCATCGGACGGCGAGTATGGCATTGTAATCGGTCCTGTCGTCTGGATGACTGATGTAAGTACCTGAGCCATCGGAGGCCTGTGAGGTAGCGCTATCAGGAGCTCGACGGGGGGTGTGCGAGGGCTCGACGGCAGCGGCGGCGGCGGCAGCGGCAGCGGCGACTGAGGCAGGCAAGTAAAGATCTGTGGAGCGTCACAGGATTAGCAGGGTGACTTGATGGGTGCGATGTGGTCGCGGATCATGGAGCGATGGGCATTGTGTGCAGAGTCGCGGACGGAAGGCGGGCGACGGGGGCGTGGCCTGAAGTGATGCGGCATTGGGGAGGCTTGCGGCCTGTCGCCGGGCTCATGTGGTGGTGACGGGCATTTAGGGGATATGTACCTGCTATGAAACAAAACAGAAAAGGTATTAAAACAGAGAATAGAATGTAACGTCGTCAAGCGCTGGGAAGGCTGTCGTGAATCGACGGAGATGGCAGCGTGTACCAAGCCTCCCGAGCAGTTGTTCAAGCCTGCATTGGTCGGTCTGCGTGAGTCGGTCTTCTGTTGCTAAGAACGACGTGCGATTCAACAAGCAAGCAGAAAAAGAAACAATAGAGGGAGAGTAAGTTTGGCCGTCGCGGTGAAGAGTTGAGGTTGTCAGGCAAAGGGGCCGCACTAGTCTCTGGAGCACGCACGCACGGGCGCGGCTAGGTCTAGGAGATTCAATAACTTCCTCACGCCAGACAACGAGCACGTTGCCCTGCCTCCCCACAGTGCAGGCTGCGTCTTTATGCCATGACTGTCTGCCTGCACCCGGGTAACGTGTCGCATATTTGCAACGGCTTGGTGGTTGCTGAACTGAGGTTCCCTCAGCGCAGCTTCGTTACGTGGCCTATCTGTTTATCGTATTCACGCAAATCTTCGTAGCCGATGGGCCGTTAAGCTTCATCCGCCCCCGACCACCAACGTTGTGAAAAGAACATGGCAACATGACCCTCGCCAGCTTCACTTTGACCCTGGTCGCTCCCCCCGTCCTATAGTGCTCGGGCGCAGCCGATATAAGGCACAATATCGCGACGGCCAATTTGGACCTCTAACCACATGCTGCTCCCGCGACATTCCCACCCTGCCTTTCGGAAGCTTCTCGCTGCATGGCAACGGGACACTGCAGAAGTAGATGCCAACGTCACCGCTGCCTGGGCCAATTCCGAGCCGCCAAAGCGTCTGACGGGCGCATCATGGCCCGCATTCCAGCGCCCACGAAACAACGAGGATTGACCTATGATGGCTGCTTGCAATTTGTCTTGTCGCGGGTTGTGTGCTTCGACGCGTTGCGTTTAGGCCGAGCAGATACGACGCGATCTGGTAAACACTTACGAATTCGCCTCTGCGAGGGGAGCTCCACGGCCAATCCGCTTGCGCGACACGGGCGCGACCCACACAGCGCACCTGCGGCTCAGCCGTTTGCAGCAGTTGGTGAGTAGCGGTGGGCAGATCAGTTAGTTGGCCGGCTGCGATAACGACGCTCCATGGCCTAATTCTCGCCATGTTGATGCTTCACCGACATGTCTGTACCCCGCTCCTCTGCACGCCAGTCTCCCGTCTCTTTGCTATTTGATGGGACGGCTCTACCAGGGCCTCTAGTTCAGACGTTGCTGCTTGCACATGCATGGCACCATCTCAGAGGGTCCGCGGCACTACATCGGGCCTTCCGCGAGACTCGTGCAGGATCGCATCCCGTGATGAAATTCGCGGATTGCGATGTTCCCCAAGGCGTGGGGAACGGGACGAGGATGTTCGGCTCAACGAGATGAGAGCTGTTTGATGTGCATTGCAGAGGCACAACATCATTTCCTGTAATTGCGCGGTTGCAGTCCCGACAGTTGGGTTGTCCTCATGGTTGTGCAGACAAGGCAGTCGTGCGCGTCGTCGTATCTTCTCGCGTTCGAGGGCGGGTTTGCTGTCGGTGTTGCACCATGTTCTTAACGCCCCGCTTTTCTCGCCAGGATGACGCGATCATCAGAAAGACACGATCAGTGCAACTTCTATTTTGGGCATGGCGACCAATGAACGACTCGTGTGGAGAAATCGAGGAAAATCTCCTGCTCCTTCGGGAACCATCCATGAGCATCACCATGCGTCCTCGCTATCGCGTCCTTGTGTGCATTATTTCTCATCGCGTCTCTCGGCAATAACGAGACCCCGAGAGCACGGTTTGCTGATGATTACCGTCAAAGTCTAGCACAACACATTTAGAATTGACTTCTCGCATAGTGAAGCTAGGTATCCAAGCTGGCGGGATTTCGGACGTAATCGCAAGAAACCGTCCCTCTGGATCACAATTTCACCAACTCTGTACTGAGACGCGACTTCAATATGTAGATGAAGAGTTGTCTCCTGCGGCTCTGCCTCACACCCGGGGGTACCGCGGGCACCGCGGTCACGGCAATGGCTACCGATTATTGTGGACATCAACACTTTACAGTATCTGACCTTGTACGCGACAGCAACAAGGCTTGGTTGGTTGCCCAGGAGCTCTCAGCTCTCGGATGCTCCACTGCATGTCTGGGGTATTGTAAGATTCAACATCTCCACGCAGTCCAGATCCTTCCATGACCATGGTGCAAACCGAAGTCGATCTTTGTTTATCCGCGGCAGCTGTACGAACGTTCGATCATACCATACCACGCCACACGCCATCGCAGCATGCGTTTCTTTGCATCCACGCGTCCATCAACCTAAAGCATTCCCAACGATTCTTCGGGGAGAAATTCCTAGCAACCCACCAATCATGTATTTTGGTCAATCTACCCGTCTGGTACCCCACAAGAGTCGAATCGCTGTCTAGACCGACCAAGGCCGCGCGATGAAGCTTTCGTGGCTACTCTGCTCAACGTCACACAAGGTAGGGCTTCGTACTAAGGACGCAGCATGCGCTTTTGCAACTACTACAGCCAATTGGAGCGTGTCTAAGGTCAGGACTTGTGGCTTGAATCTTTCTTCCGATCGTCGATTGCCGTCCAGCCGCTGTCTGCACGATCGCAAAGGTTCATGCAACTGAGCGCCACGGATCTGGAAATGCTGTCTCGTTGCAGTCGGCCGTGTACCTCTGTGTGTACTAGCTTTTTCTGTGTACACTAGCTTTTTATTTGATGGACGCACAACATGAGCACGTCGACGTATTTTGTTACTCACAACCCACGGAGAACTTGATGAACTCCAAGGCTAAGAGCCAGTACTTGCCTGTATTGTGTCAACTTACCAGGTAGTGCTGACATTCGGGTGGTTTGACCGCTTCAACCGACTCTATCACGATTGGACTGTTATTTGCGTAGTCTTTCCCGTCGACTCTCACGCATTGAACTGGCTTTTGGGTTAGAGAGCTCAACCACAAAGATTGTCAGATCATTGCGTCAAATCTCACCTTGCCTTTGTTGAATTTCTTCATATGACATCATTGTAAAGACACGTCAGCCTTGTACCGTTGAGGAGCCAGCTCACATCGACCGTTGAATCGTATATCCACACTCGGTTCACCGTGGTTTCAGATCCAAAGTTATCTGATCGACCAAAACGGGTATCACAATTTCCCGAACCTTAATCTTACACAAAGTGACGCAAGGATCTTCGGTTCCGGACTACGGCAGGTTTGTTTATGTGCGCCAGGTTGCCTGTCTTAATTGCCTTGACAGAGGGCAACCTGGTCGCTGGGTTGGGTCGATGTATCTGAAACATGAAGACCGATTGCCGTCGGTCCCCCAATCAATTTCCTTGCCGTATATCATCCTGCGTTCTACCACCGGGAGTAGGTGGAGATCATCAAAAGCCTACTTGGCACTCCTGGCAACCGCTCCTTACATGTGTACCCAATTACCGCGACTCGTATTCTGCATCCAATGTGAGAGAGGAATCGTTGGTAAGGAAGATGTGGAGATTGTAAAAAGAACAGCAGCCGCGGCAACAACAAATCACAGAATCTCAAACGGAGCACCAGCGCACGTCTGAGATCCGTCTCCATGTCTCAGGGACGGCAAAAAGCGCAAAACAAAGTGCAAAAAAAAAGCAAGCGAAGCCCATGGGGATCGAACCCACAACCTGTATTTAGTTAGATGGTGCTGGAATGGGAGAAGCTCGGACAACTGTACCTTTGGTGTTTATGTTTTCAACCGAAAACCAACGCGCTACCATTGCGCCAAGGCTCCTCTTTAGGAAGTATAGAAGACTGTTGCGGAATCTACGGTATATATTGTCAGGTTCCAAACGCCGTGCTGCACACCGTATCAACTTTGCACCCCACCACCAAGCGCAAAACCAGAGAACAAAAAAGCCGAAACGCAGTGACGAGCTTCTGCAGCATACCCCGCTGTTCGCAGTCTCTAGCGCGTAGTAACACAGCGGTCGGCGCTGGCGGAACCCCGCTGGCACGTGACGTCCGCGGAGTCTTGCAAAAAAACCAAGTCCCTCTACCATCACCACCACCACCACCGCACTTATAGCGACCTGTAGAACAGCAAAAATGCATCGGCCGGGAATCGAACCCGGGGCTAGCCGAAACTGTCCTGTGAAGGATGGCAACGGCTAATTTTACCACTAAACCACCGATGCTGATATTGAAGGTTTGAACAATCAGGAGGTGATTGCTTGATGGAAACTCAGGAAATTTGAACCAATATATTCCCAGCGCGACATTATGACTGCGGTGCATCGAAGCGGAGCAAAATCTGTATCGTTTTGAACAGAGTGGGGAGTTGTCCAGGGGTAGTGAAGGATTTGACTGGGCTGTGGGTCTGGAACGCTACGGACATGTTGTACTTAGTTACCCCTCTTCTAACAACAACCTTGCTGAATTTGTCTAGATTCGCAGGTTGGTGTGATTGCTCGTTGTGTTCAAGCACACATATCGTCTTCGATGCTTGTATCGCTCAACCAGCTCTCTGAGCATGTCACGATGTTGAGCTTACTAGGAGATCTCTTTGCCATTTCGAAGCCATGATAGGTTCAGCTGTTGACGTTCTCACCATCATCTACAAACCGCTGTCATACCGACTCTTTCGTGACAAGATTACTCATCCTTCGAGAAGAAGCCAACATCTCCACTCTTCTCCCCCATCTCCACAAGCTTCTCTCTCATCTTCTTCGCTCTTGCTGCCATCTCAGGCTCAAAATCGTCAAAGTTGTATTCCTTCGCCCAATCACCAACACCATGCTGTAGCACATTCCTCGCTCGCTCACTTCCCGCAAGTGTTGTCCCTATACTGCCATGCAGCGTCATTCTCTCTTTCGTACTATCGTATACGCCGCGATGGAGAATGTTGTTATTGTAGAATGCAACTTCTCCTGCTTTCAGCTGCACAGTAATCTGGTCGGGCATATGTGCTTCGTACGGATCCGCATTCCTCTCTGTGTCAGTGCGTGCACGTTTGTGAGAACCAGGCACGAGGACGAGACTGCTGTCATCATACAGTGCGAGATTCCACTGTGCGTGATGCCCTGGCTTCTGCAGTCGCTCCAGCTCTTCTTCTGGCGTTGCTGTCACTGCCACGTCGTCTCTATGCCACCGCAGGCTGAAGTCTTTGTCCGGCCGGACCAGCATATTGTACAGCTCCATGGTCAGATCGTCTTCTCCACAGCCAATCAGTGTTGCAACATATTTCAGTAGCTCGCTGTCGAAATATGACTTTGCGAATGTGAGATGATCTGGATTTGATGGGTGGAGTAGATGCTGCACTCCCCTAAATGTGGGTGTACGAAGTCAGTGTAGGTCTCGCATGCAGTTCGTACAGGAACACTTACCAGATCCCGTTTGAAGGATCCTGTGGCCATGGTGGAAATTGTTTTGGTAACGTACGTATATATGGCCAGTTTCCAGATCGTGCTGCTGCTGTGATGCGTGAGGCAGCGGCGCGAAGGGCGTCAAGATCAAAAGTTGGAAAGAGCGAGGCGGATAGAACGACAAAGCCGTCGCGATCAAGAGCTTCACAAGCTGCTTTGTAAGGATCCGCGCTTGATGAGGTGATGTTTGGTGAGTCCGAATGCCCATTTGATGCTGGTTCAGCGGCTGGTTGCGCTATCGGTAGCTGTATTCGAGCCTTTGCGCTTCCTTTCGGGCCGCCCTTGTCAGGTTGGTGTTCAAACTTGCGCATCTTCCTTGCACTAATTTTGGGAACGTTGGAAACACTTGGAAGGTTACAGGTCTGTTGTACGTTCAAAGGCGCAGTTCAAGGTCGCTACCTGTGCTACCCCGCAAATGCCGTCAGCCCCACGATGATACCGGCGCGTCAACACAGGCAAGTTGATATCCAGCTCCAACTCACCTCTGGTCTGTTAGTACTTGGTTATATCACCGCCACTATCAAATGAGTATCAAATGAAGCTATTCTGAGCGTTACTGAGAAGGGTTTGGCAGACTTATAGCTTGGCGGCCCCCAACTGTTACGCGCCGGCCCCTCCCATATACGACCATGGAGAAGTAATATGTGGCGAGCTGTTCCACCACCATGCTTGGTATCTGACCGTAGTTTAATTCTCTCTGTTGTACGCAGCAAGTTCTGTCAGGCGTAAAACCGCTCAGTACTTCAACACCTTTGATAGGTTTACCTAGGTACACTAGAAGCGTGCGACCTTGCTAATTACAGGACGTCTGGGTACTCTTCGAGATCGATATCTGGCTTAAAATTATATTGCCGAATCCCTTGGGACTTTCTGTCCAAAAACCATTACATGTACCGCCACGCTGACGTATTGTCTCTGTGAAGGCGACGATCTCGAAGATGACGAACGTCAGTTCCACGCAGGACGCCGGTACGGAGACGCTACTAGCGAACCGTACGTCGCCACAAGTGCGAGATAAGCCAGTACTGAAGCTGCCGCCAAAGACAATAAGAGATCGTGTACGAGAGCAAGGGTGGTGGTGGGAGACAGTAGCTGTGATAGTCAGTTTCATCTGTATGTCCCTGCTAGTTTCAATTCTCTTTGTCATGAATGGAACGCCGCTACGACTATGTAGGTCAATTTCTTTGTGTCGACTGCATACGAGACACATACTGGCTTCGTACGTTGACATTAGGGACGTTACCCATCCAGCCCAACTCACTGGTTTCCGTTTTCTCGACGATTACGATATCCTCCCTCCTCGTACCAATAGCAGAGAGTATTGGCCAACTCAAATGGGATTACTTCAGTCGACCCAGGAATATTCGGAGCATACAGATACTTGATGAAGCTAGTCGAGGGCTATGGGGGGCTTTCGTGTTTCTTTGGAGAGCCCGCGGCACTGCACTCCTCGCTACGCTCGGCGCGATCATCACAGTTCTGATGCTTGGTTTTGAGCCTTACACACAGCAAATCATCAAACTACATACCCAGAGGACAATCTTGTCGAACACGACTGGCTTTGTCGCGTCCACCTACTTCTTTACACACTCGGTTTTCGTGGAAAAAATAGAGTTTCCGCAAGGTAAGAATATCAACATACTCCAAGTAGTGGTAGCTGACATTTCCACCAGACCTTTCTTATCAAATGGCTACTGGCTTGCTGGCTTCTATAATTGATCAGCCAGTCATGATGCCAAACAATTCCTACTGCCCGACATTGGAGTGTGACGTCAGCAATTATATTTCTCTTGCTGTACATGGATTTTGCAAGACCCAAGACATCAGCTTCAGCAAAGACTCTGAGTACTGTTACTACCAACTCATGGCAGGTTTCCCAAAGAACATCACCCTTTCCGTCTGGGAAGGTCGCGCAGCTATTGGACTTTTACCCAATATAACCACAAGTGAGCGGATTACACTACATGCCTACTTCAAAGCCGCAGTAGCTGAGGACGAAGAGGGAAGTGTTTGGGTTAGAGAATGCTTTATACTTCGGGATTTTGACAACCACACAGCCTTCAAACTTAGGTACCAGGTGACGCCTCAATACGAAGGCTCGCGACTCGGCTCAGGGGAAGTACTCGTATTGAGGAATGAGACCGAGTTTATCTTGTTCGAGGAGCCGGATAGTGGACCCTGGCATCGGACCATGGAACTATCTCACGGCCCACCTAATTCGAACGACTCTGTAGGAACAACTCACCTGTGGTGGTCGACCTCAAGCTCCACGTGGATTCTAGAAACGATTCTAGAGTCCTATGTGATAATCCGTGAGGGAGGTGACCCGAGACACAAGCTATCAGGCTGTATCTCGGGTTCTGATACGGCAAATGCAGCGCTAGATGGGGAGACGAATCTACCCAAGGTAACGACGATAATGACTCCAACATGTTTCACGTCGACTTCGGATCTTATTGCCATGGAGCAGCTAGATCGCTTCGGAGAGATGAGCGGAACTTTTACCAAGTGTCGCCCTAGCCTCTGCGCGCGCCACTACTCCAACGTCTCGATCAGAGGTAGCAGCGATAGAATCGCCAACACATTTGACTTGCTGTCAAACATTGACCTGCCACTAAACACGTCTTTCATGGCGATGGACAATTACGCAAACGGTTCTGCACTGTACAATGCAAATGACGACCTGGGCAACAATTTGATCCTGGACCGAACCGCTGTCAGACGATTAGGGCGCTTCTTCTTTGCAACAATTAGATAACAAACTTACGAGTCACTATTGGGACATAACCTTCCTGAGAAAGGAAAAGACTGGTCACGCCGTTAGGAACGCTTCTCCGATGTCCTGGCTCAAGCCGTCCACAGCCAATCCAATCCGAACGCGACCCATATACACGGAAATGCTTATGGAACAGAAATCTTTGTTCGAATTCGATGGGAGTGGTTCATCTTACCAATCTCTCTTGTCTTGGCTTCGAGTGTCTTTTGGTATCTTACCATCTACTATAGTCGGAAAAGTCTATATTTGTACAAGCATTCTGTCATGGCTATAATGTTTCACGGATTGGAGGTTTGGGAGGCTTACGAACTTGCACCAGCAAAAAAAGCTGGAAGAGAGACATATTACGACATTATGGATACGTCGACGCAGATGAGAGCATCATTAAGGAGGAACCGTGATGGGTTTTGAAGTTGAAGAAAGACTAGCAATGGTTCAGTGTTGAAGAGCAATGTGCATCTCAAAGAATATATAGCGAGCGACTAGTGTACTATAGCGTGTATGTATCCCATATGATTGTGTATGTGATCCATATCTTCCCGCAGAATGCATGGTAGTCCAAGCCTTCGGTGCGATTTCAACCAGGCTCTCTACCCATGGTTAATTAATCTCAAAAGTCTTTACTACCTCACTCAAACTACCATACTCAACATTCCCTTTCACGGCTTCGACAAGCACAGCGGTAACATTAGCAGGTACGCCACCCCCAATCTTGAACTGGCGATGCCTTCCCGCAGCTGCGTCCCAGAAGCCGGCAACGTTGGGGTTTACAGCACCCACAGCCCTCTTCGCGAACCTCCCATTCAGGTGTTCATCACCACTGTGCCACAGCGAACCTCCGGTCTGCTTCGAACCACATCCTCCTTCACCCTCACCAGTAGCCCAGCAGAAGTTCTCAAATCCACCGCCGCCACCACAGTAACTCTTTGTAGTTACGGCACAGGGGTCTCCGCCCTCGCCATTGAACACGGCGAAGGAGTCTGGATCGCGGCCATCAGTCTGGTCGTTGTTGAGACCGCGACCTAGAATAGAAGTTGTAGTCGGCCAGAAATTCGCGCAGCAGGTTTCAGCGGGAATGTCGCTGCACATGACTAAAGTTTAGTGTACGAAATTAGTATGTCTCACACGTAGTCCGCACAGGGCTATTACTCACAGTAGGCGCCGTCAAGGTCAAGGTTGCACTCCGTATTGGGGGTAGTATCTTCAAAGATTGCGAATTGGATGATTTCGACGGCGTGAGCCATGAGAGGCAGGGCCGCGAGGATAATGGCTTGAGTATGCATGGTGAAAATGAAGCCGATCTGGTTATTTGAAACGTTCGTATACTAGTTGTTTGAGGCGATTCAAATACTGTAGTCCCGGTGTTTGTATTATCTAATCTCCTGATAGCTTTATATCTTGACCTCAAGGTGTATCCAACACTCTTGAGCCATCACGCTGTTCTCACGCGAAGAGAAAGTGATGGCAAGGCAGACTTCCACGCTGCGTCTTGCCCTCCGCTCATGACTGAGGTCCACAGAAATCGCGCGCTTTCAGGGTCCTCTTCGAGGTTGAGGTTGCTTGGCTGCGTACGCGATACTCTAATCCTACGCAGGTCCTGAACAACGAAGAAATAGGCAACCGTGAAATGGTCAGACGGTCGAAACATATACCGCAGAAGGTGAATTCCTTTGCTAGGAATAACGACCGGTAGCTGTACAGATCCAGTTTACGTTCCAACTCCTGCAACACGATCATGCACGCGGTCAGCGTTGTTTTGTGAGATTTGAGGCGGAGTGCATCGTGAAGGATTCCAATTGCAGAACGCTAACGCAATGAGGTTAGTAAAGTCCAAAGCAGATGTAATACCCATTGCTAGGCGTACGTCCGCCACATTCGTATAGCTTTAGCCAGTACAGTACGTACGATTCCAACCTCTACCCATGGTGTGCAAATTGTGGGTGATTGCAGACCCGAGTCGACCCGTAAGACACATCCTGAGGATCAACCTATGTGCACGAGTTTGTTCCTCGAGAGACGCGTCTGGGTCATAGATGCGCTTCGCATGATGTTGATATGGCAACGACGTCGCTGTGTTCATCGTCCCGACACTTTTTAGCACTAACTGCGCTCTTGTGGCTTTTCACAGCACACACCAAGTCGTGAGAATAGGTAACAGGCCCAAAGCAGGTGACGGTCGCAAGGGTGTTCGTGACATGCTTAGAAAGTACGTTCGATACTGCCCCAGCTTATGATCTCAACCTTGGATTCCCCTTGACAAAGCTTTTCTTATACCACTTGTCTTGGATTTCGGCACCGTTCTCAGGGAAGCCTCCGCTGCATAGTCAAAGAGCTCCGAGAGACCTTGTCGCTTAATGGCCGATGTCTCGAAGTATGCTAGAGCATGTATCTTCATTGCAAGCCGGTCAGCCTGCATTTGGAATTAGTGTGTGATTCATGTTCAACAGGCTTAAACTCACAGCATATGGAGATATTGGTATCAAATGCTGACGATGCAAGCTGTCGAGTTTTGCGTTATCATTGCGGAGATCCTTCTTGCACCCAACAAGTATCTTAGGCAGATCGCGGAGATAATCGTTCACTTCAACGCTCCACTGTTATGGTCAGTTTCCAGGTAATCATATATTTGATATTTATCCAGACATACCATATAGTCAATATTCTCAAATGAGTCTAGATCACCGATGTCGAAGCATATCAACACTATGTGCGCATCATCGTATGAGAGACGGCGCATTATCTCATAGCCTTCTCTACCGGTGTTGTCCCAGATGACAAGCTCGACTTGACGATCCTTGATCTTCGTTGACTTGATGAAGTGATTCATCACAGGTGTATCTTCCTCTGGAACAACCCCTTCACTCCACGTGCTTGCGAGGAAGCTTTTACCACATAATGTGTCTCCTAGTAGTATCACCTTCCGCCGTATGATCGCGCCTTTTGGTGCATTCAGATTCAATGGTGTCAATAGTGTCTGGTAGCGGTCAAGCGCTTGACGCTCGAAATCATTGGTAGAGCTGGGACAGTGATCGTCTCTGTTGGCAAAACATGATCGACATTGACTTTCGCTCGTGTACTGAAGAATATCTGGTTTGCAGACATTACACGCCCATGTGCTTTCCGGTGCCGTATGTTTGCTTAATGAGGGAGACTGTTCTACCGCCGAAGATACTGTAGTAACTGATTTCCGCTTGCTGTATTGTTGTTCAAAAGATTGAGATGAGTAAGTGGGTGCGTCGATGTGACTAATAGAATGGGATGAGGTATCGTCTCTAGATAAGCCTAGCGAGAGATTGACCTTGATGGGATTCGATATACTTCTGTTCGATACCTGAGGTGTACATGCACCGTTTCTGTGTCCGAGTTGTGAATAATAGGGAAGTTCGGACAGATCCGTATCGCAATTTGTACATGCCTCGGCAGAATCCACTAAATGAGTATTATTAGGAGTCCACTGAGGCTCTGTACTGTTCGATGAACTCGCTGAGAAGCTCACGACAGCGCGTTGATGTGTTTTTGTTCCTTTCAGTGCGGCGTAAGACCTTGCAAGAAACTTCTCGACAAGCCCTTGTCCTGCTGCTTGGTTGGGAAGTATCTTAGAATCGGATGCACTACGCCGTACTCTCGATAAATTTGTCGAATTTTCCGAAGTAGGTGTCGCGACTTCCCCGTTGCCGGTGCCTGTAGGTTGTTCATCGGTTTCCGCTGATATCGTGATATGGGGTATATCTGCGAATGTGATAGGGGAAAAAGATGCGGCTCCCACTCCTTCTAATCGCTCCAAGAATGTTTCGGGGAGTAAATGGCTATCGTATGGGATACATAGTTCCTTGTCGGAGCTAGGATCGCGTCGCTCCATTGTATCCAACGTAAGCATTTCGTCTGCACGAGAGATGTGCATCTCGCATGCTTTAGCTGCTGCTGCATCCTTTGCCTGTTGTTCAATCTCGTAGCCCGACACTATGCAATGCCAACCGTGTTTAATGTTGATCCTGATCATACAACAGTAACCGTCGTCACGTCTTTCTGTATAGTAGTGAGGATCTTGGCCATGAAACAAGTTACAGTATGCTCTCAGAAAACGAGCGTCTCTTCTTTGACTCTTCAGTGCCTTTTTGGTCGCTTCATCCGCCGCAGCATTGTATAACATGCAAGTGAATTGAGCAGCTGCAATGTGGTCCGCGTATACATCGAGGTGAGAATGGTCTCCAGAGTTCGGTGAAGTCAGCGTAGCGGGCAATTCAGAGCTGACTCCTAAATCAGGTGTAGCAGATTCCGTGCTTAATGTACCTATGTACTCTTGTGATACCAAAGTCAACAAGTTCTGTTCTGACGCTAAGATGTCGTCGCCAGGCAGCGATACCGTTTCGTAATCCTGTGGAGTACTTGGGCTCGTCGAGATTGGGCTCGGTCTAGAAACTATTGGGTATTGATGTGCAGATGTCATCTCTTCTCTTTCGGAGACGCTTTTGGAGTTCTCTTCCGAGGTGGCCTCATCTGCATCGTCGAACTGAGAGCTCTCAGGGGGTTGGACTTGGAGCTCGGCAGGTAAAGGCAGAGTCGGACCCTCTGTCTCTGTCGGTAGTGCCTCATTACTCCCCAAGTCATGCACATGAGTCGGCGTCTCCTCTGCTTGTCGAGAGACTACAAGGGCTGCTTCAGCGGAATCCTCTAGGATCAGGCTGAAAGCTGACTGAAGGTTTGCGCTATCGTGAGACGGCGCTATAGTCCTAAGTACCGAAGCTGACCGTTTGATCTTCCTCTCATGGCTTGCCAGTAAAGCTGAATAAGCTTCTTCTTCGTCTATTTTCCCCTCGGTCTTACAAATCCGAATCAAGAACTCTAAGCATTCTTCATAGCCACCATTCCCGTGTTTTCCCAGCTTCCTGAATCCTCGTAATGATCGCCGTGCCTGGAGATGCGCCTCGACGTATTCACGATTCTTCATCATTAGCTCGGCCAGGTTTAGAGTATCCCGTAGATAGAGCTCGTCTTTCTTGCCAACTTGGCGCTCGGTAATGAATAGCTTGTCTTTCATGATCGCTTTCGCTTTGCTCCACGCTTCCAGAAGACAGTAGCAATCAATAAGATGCTCGAGTAATTCGATCTTTGATACGCCACATGCTGCTGCGCTTTTTGCTGAGGTCAGAGATGTGTAGCTAGCATTCGACGAAAATCGCGTGAGACAGTTTCGAAAATAGCGAATAGCGCTTTCTAAATCGCCGATTTCCTTCCTTTTTCTGCCCTCGTTAAAAAGAGATCGGATCAGGTCGTTTTCGATATCTGAGTCGCTGTCTGACTGATACTCTGTTTGGACATCACCACTGCTAGCTTCCGATGGAGCGGATAATGGTGCTTCCACGTCTTCGAAATCGTATACGGTGTTCGAGGCAAACCAACGTAGCATGGGTTCGTTCGCGTCTTTGACGAAGACGTCTCCAAAATCGGAACCATGCTTGACGGAGATCTTGTCGCTCGTATCTGCGTTAAGCGTTGTCGAAGCAGTTGACACGACATCAGCGGCTGAGCGAACACACTCCCGCAAGTTGTTCATGTACATAAGTTCGTAATTTTCTAAGTCGTTCTGATCCGCAACGGCATCTTGGAGCTTTTCGATCTTTGCATTGAGAAGAGCACCGAACGTGCGGAATTCATCGTACAATTTGTCCAGTGTTGGAACAATTTTGTTCGGTATCATCTCAGTCGACTTTTGGAAAGTCACCTGGTTCCAGCTGAGCTTTGTGTCAGCATAGGAGCGGGAAAGTGAAGATTAATTGTCAAAGAATGCATTAATCTGCGGCTACATGCTTCAAGGCAAGCAATGCAAGCAGCCACGTGATGACATAGAGCAGGCTGAAAGTGGGGTAGCAAACGATCCCAAGAGAACCCACTCACAGGACAATTGTACTGAGCGACAGCTGAATCGCGGTGTGAGATGTTTGAATCTGCTCCCGGTATCGCGCGATTTGCTCATAGGCGCCCTTCAACCTGAGCTGCTTCCGTGGTGCATCAAGGACCAATGTCTTCTTGTTGACCCCGTCTAAGGTGGCGTGCAGCTTCTGTAAAGCGTCTGCACCATCCTCCAGCGAGCGCGCGAGGTTTTTCCAGTGGTTACCTACATGACCGGTCGCTTGTAGAGTCTCTTTGTTGTCATTTTCCTCGATTGTCTCTTTCATGGATTCTAGTACGCGCTGGAACCCGCCCACATCGTTGAGAAGGCTCGTAAGCGTCGCATCCACGACAGTCACCTCATCGCGAAACTGTTTGACCAGTACCGTCACTTGAACAGAGACGTGTATGAGCGTGATAATACTAGCGGTAATGGATAATGGATCCGCCATGCCGCATCATTGTCGGACGCGCAGCTTGACGCGAAAGATGTCAGGAGAGTGAGATTAGTCCGGGTTCACGAGGCTCCAGTTTGTTCTGGTTGGGGTTGCACGCAGAAATGTGGGTGACAACTCAGCCTCGCGACCGAGAAGCCATATTGGCCCCCGATAGGCTGTGCAGCCGTCATAAGTGGTTGGTGACATTCGTGAGAGGCTGAAAGCGCATTGAGACCTATAGGTGACGACTAATTTTACAAGGCCATTACCGAGTGCTAAACATAAAGATGTGAAGTGATTGCGAGAGGTCCGAAATGCTGGAGCAGGAGCAACGCCGAAGAGACGGCATCCAAGGCTTCGGCAATGACTAAGCAGCACCGTACCCAGCCCCCACCATCCCTACCACTGTACCTTGCCCACTATGACTTTCGACTTCTGATGATCAAATGAATCGCGATATCCAATTTGCTGGTATAGGCTACAGTGGTACATAAAAATGTCAAGACGATGTACCTTATAAATGAGCACTGCTCTTTCCAATGCAGCAACACATGTCCACGGGTACTCAAACCATCACAACCTGCACCTCCAATATTCATGACTTACGTTGGTCGTTGATAATTGATAGGTGATAGAAGAATGCTATATTTATGCTTGTTGGGCAGATACGAGGAGCTGCCCCAATTTTCTTGGTATTTCCAAGGCTTGGTTCTACACGCGATAGTCTTGCAGCACAACGTCCGCAATGATGCTAGAGGTCAATCATGCATAATATAAATCTCATCAACGAGCACTTCGGTTCTTCGATACTGTGGACTCTAATACGAGGCCTACGCCAATTGGTGAAGCATCCTGTTCCTTCATCCTTGCATTTGTAAGCATTATGGACGCCTTAAAGAACCATTCTTGTCAACGTCTGTTCAACCCTACAATTGTGCAAAAAAGGTTATACCTGCAACTTTAAAAGCTGCAAGATAATACACTATGGTACGAAGAACAGATCCTAAGGATGACGAATGGAAAAACGTTCGAGATGCGAAGAAGAGAAAGCAAATACAAGACCGATTAGCACAACGTGCGCGACGTATGTATGGATCGCTGCGTAAGTACCGTGGGGATACTGATTCGAGATGCAGGACAGCGATTACGACAAGGTCAACTGGATACCAGCTCATCAATAGTGCGACAACCCCAAACCCAGTACTCCACATCTCCAAGGGACCATACATCACTTGAGACCCCGCTTGAGGACAACCATAACGCTCTCGCATTCCTTGATACTTCAGGCTTACTTTTACCATCACTCGGTTCCTCCGATGATCCACTCATTGAGGATCTAAACCCGGAGCCGGGTATACTTGACCTTGATCTAACCCACGCACCGTACCCAAAATCATACGCCACTCCATCTCCGCTAATCCAAATTTCCACCCCCTACACCGTCTTCTCAGCACTCTACATAAATGGCGATATCCAAGGCATCACCTGTGCCATATCATACTCCTCGCGCACACCTATGCCAAAACCGCATATCCCCTTACCTCTGCATCCGACAGAGCTGCAACAGATGATTGTGCATCCACGGTGGTTTGATCGGCTACCATTTCCGCGGATGCGGGATAGCTTGATAAGGCTAAGAGGTGTGCTGGATGAGGAGGAGCTCTGTAAGGATTTCTTTACTATGCCAAGTTTTACTATTGAGATGGGGTATGCGTGTTGGGACCCGAGCGGTTGGAGAATGGAGAGGGAGTGGGAGAAGAAGTGGGGTTGGCTGATGGTTTAGGAATCCATCATCACGGGTGAGGGCAATGCTTGTTACGAATGAATTTGGGACGATGAGTGATTCTTGTGATGGGTTTACTAGGGCAGTTTAGTTTTTCTTACTGGGAATGAGCTTTCGTCTCCTCCAGGCCCCGAAGACTGCTCAACCATCGACCTTCTTTCCTTTGCCTCCATCGAACAAATGCTTTCCAATTTCTAGCACTTCAATCTTATCGCCTACTGCGACGGCCCCCACATCCAATGGCGTGACTTGCATACCCAAACAAGCATTTTTAGATCCCTCGTCGATGATTCTGTAACTCCTCAGTGTGGTCAATGGCTCGTTCTTGTCGGCTACAGCGGTCTTTGGGTCAACGTTTGGCAATTTGCATCTTGTTGTGCGACAGGAGATGTGCATGTCTAAGGAGGATGTAGAATCGGATGAGGTAATTTTTGCCTTCTTCCAGTCATCCTCGGCAAAAGCAGGAGGGCCTGTGATGTAGATGTTTGCGCGGAAGCGCAGGGCGTCGAGGAGAGTAAGATGCCTCTGCCAGATTTCCCCAAAATCGGAAGAGAGGTTGGGAAGCTTAGATGCTACGTCGTGGACGGAGGCGAGATTCAGAATATGGATTGGGTACTGCCAAGTAATTAATGATAAGCATGGTGTATGATCTTCAAGATGTTCGCGGGCGGTTTGAGGATATGACTGCTGAAAAGGTCCATACGTACGGAGTCATGCATTCCGATGACCGTCTCAAATCCAACGTCCTCCTTCTTGGGCGCGCATTTGTGTACCTCTCGATACGCATTCGTGTCAATTCTGAACAGCGCAATTGGGTTTGCCGCACCGAGTGTATACCTCAGCTTCTCGAACATCTCACGATCAATCTCCGAGCTAACATTGAGTGCTACTGGGCTATCTTTCCAGATACGCAAAACTTCATTCCGATATCCCTTGCTCTTGATCCTCTCCTGCGAGGGGTTGAACGGTACTCTGAACTCCAGCGTCGGCTCCGGTTTTCGGCTCAATCTCGCCAACATGATCTTTCCGTAGTTTATCAAGCCTTCCATAGTGAAATCGGTGTCGGGAGAAAAAGGAAAACGGATTACCAGGCATCCATCGCTTTTCACCCATTCTCCGTCTTCTTTGTAGCCTCTTGCTGATGGATCAGGTACCCAAACTTCAGTCTCGACTTTGGCAAGGCGAGGAAATTTTCTTTGGGTCATGAAGTGCCATTCACTTGTGACCTTCCCGTCAAGCGTAGGCAGGCTCGTAACTTGTTGGGCAAGAGCGAACTGGCGATCATACTTCAGTCCTGTACGATCGATATCGCTCTTATCCAATTCGACAGGTGCACCTGACTTGAGCGGGTAAACAAAGAGTGCCTTCACCGTCCATGGCTTCTCTGGGGTGGGGTCGCCGCCCTTTGCATATCTTTTCGAGTACTGGTCTTCCAGGTTACTGCGTCCTCGGAGTCCCAGTTTTCTGCAACCAGCTGGCGAAGGTAGTGATTTCGGTGTTTTGAGGGCGGCGAGAACGAGTAAAACTATCACAGGGGCGATACATGATACTGTCGTGAGGAGGATTGCCTGGAGTGATATGTTGATGCCCGCTTCTTTAAGTATTCCGTCCGCAGCAATGAGCATTTGCTCAACATTTTCCGCCATGCTGTCGTAGACGTTCACGTCCGTCTCCGGAAAATGAAAGTGTCGCGTGTTCGTAAGAGAGATGGAAGCCTGAGGACACAGCTCTTATCGTGAGAACTTGCCAAGGTATAAACCCAAGCAATTTCGTCGACGCTAGGACACAGAAGGCAGGTGTTCTCGTATGAGTATGAAGGACCAGATGGTTCGAGGTCGTGTCGCCGTACACTCTCTTGATGCAGGATGAGTGCGATGGGAAGAAGGCTTGGGACAACGAAGTGAGGAGATGGTGCGAGTCATGAACCGCGGTTCGCTTTCGCTCGTGACAAAGTTCCTCGAACACCACCACGTATCTTTTACCTAACACATGTCTTCCACCCCGTTGCGCACAGGACACGTAAAGGAACGCGAAACGTCATGCGCGTGAACGCGAGATCACGAGACTGTTGCACCACTAATTCAACCCGCTGAGACTGAATCGCAAGTGACGGCACACCATGGCTAGCCAGCAAGCATCACAGCTCCCCCCCTCGTCGCGTACGCAATTGCTCCTTTCACGCATATCGATTGACACGCTGACACCACGATAGATAGACTGCCCACTGTCTCGGCATCACAAGCCCTCCAAAGCCTCCATGCCCGCGGAGCTCGCACTGTATCGACGGGCATAACGCAGCTCGACAAGGTCCTTTCCCCGCCGAGCCTACCGGGCCATGATGTCTCGGGTGGATACATGCGCGGGAAGGTGACTGAGGTCTTCGGCCCGTCAGGAGTCGGCAAGACAGCATTTGGGTAAATGTGCCCGCGTCACGGCTTCAAGGGAGACGATGACTGAAGGCATCAAGGATACAGGCTGCAGTATCTGCACTGCGCGAGGGCCAGCGAGTAGTATGGATCGGTATGTCTATGCCGTCTACGGTTGAGGGGTCGGCGTGTTTGATTGTTGTGTACGAGGACTAATTGCTTACAGATGCTGCCTGCGCGCCTCTAGTCAAGCACCGCGTCGAGGATATCCTCAGTTCACGCCCCGATGCGCCTGACGTGGTCTCAGACGAACTGCGCAGCCACTTCCACTACCTCCCTGTGCCAACGCTTGCACATCTCCTAGCACTCTTTGTGCATGCGCCCGCTGCCTTTCCCCCGCAAAACACTAGCCTGGTCGTCGTAGACTCTCTCGCAACCCTCGTCGATAACGCCTATCCACGCAATGTCGACGATCGCATGCCCAGGAATAAAACTGACCAGGCGCGATGGGCTGCAGGACGTCGATACACTGTCATCAACGACTTGATAGCCGCCTTCACAAGGTTCACTGCGCTGCACGACATCGCACTACTAGTCACAAGCCAGACCATCACACGCATCCGTGGTGCTTCGCGCGCATTGTTAGTACCGGCAATCTCTGGGATTGAATGGGAGAACGGCATTTCCACTCGTCTGGTTCTCTTCAGAGACTGGCTCCGGCACGGGAAAGCCAAAAGCAAGGTAGACGCCGACAGAATGCAGAAAGCCCGATTTGCTGGCTTGGTCAAGGCGAATGGTGTAGCTCTTACAGAAGAAGGGGGTGTGGGCAACGTGGTACCCTTCACCATCGGCCATGTGCGTTAATATACTACCCATAGAGCCTTCATCTATCAAGATGCGCTCAAACACCCTTATGTAGTGATCTCCCGCTGACGCTATACAGGTTGGTCTTTGCGACATGAACGTAGCAACCGACGATATTACAACCCCCCTGTTTGTCCCAATAGAAGATAGACCGCCCAAAAGATCCTTCGCCGAGATTGACGAGTATGTCGCTGCAGAACCAAATTCCGACGACCTCTATGGCTGGATCGAAGAGGACGAAGTTGCCACTGAGGGGCTGTTGATGGATGAAGCACCCGTTAGTGAAGACGACGCTGTAGGACCTCGCCTAGATGTCGTCGCAGAGGGCCACAAGAAGAAGGTGACACGCACATCTACAGTGTGATTCTAAAAGGATGAATACACTCTACACTTCGGCTGAAGCCAAGTTCCGCAATGTCCTTGCTTCGTCGCGACGCGCGTTGCTTACCAGAGAAGCTCTGCTTATATCCGGGGTAAGCTCGTATGTCTCTCCTTGCTCTTCATGGACAAGATACGCAAACTGACAAAGCTCCCAATCAAGATGGAGATCTCGCGTTCAGACCGATGATACAGGGCTCACGGCCCACGGGACAGGTTTCGCTATTCAGCCGTGTGGGGTTGTCCAGACACCCCGGAATGGAGAACACCCACACCCCGTCTCCGCATCAACCCGCCCGCATTCGAAGCGCTCTGACATCAGCAACAAGGTACGTCTCCGCGTCACGGTCCAGTATTCTCCTTTTCGCATAATTCAGCTCGGCCATGTACGTATTCTTCCGGCGGTAGATTTGCTCCGCAATCGTCATCCCCTCGAGCAAGTCTAGACGCAGTGCCTTGGGGGTGTCGTCGCCACACTAGCGGTATCCACGAAAAGCAACAAAAAGCAAGTCCATAATCCACAATACGAATCCTATCAGCCTTCACACGTGCATGCATTACCCCAGAGCTCCGGTGCACACGAGCTGCGCACAGGGATCGGGGAAGCGCCCGCAGACCCAAAGCCCTGGGTTTCTCACCGGCAAAAGTCATGCTTCTTTTGGATGATGATGGGTTGACGCTTCGCGAGTCCGGGGTCAGCGGGGTTGGTGTGTCGACCGGGCGTGGGGGGTCTTCCACAAACTTGATCGTTCTAAGTCCCGGATGCATGTGGACGCACACATGGTGAGACCACCTGACAACATGATAGGAGAAGACCGCAAGAGCAGGTTGTGAAGGTGTGGCGACGGTATCATAGCAAGCCACTTATACAAATGGCACTTGACTACCCCACGGGCGCACAACATACTACACGAATTCACCGGGGAAGTACCTATCGTCGATGCGGACTTCGCAACAAGCGAACGCCCGATACACTGCTCTGTCGCGAAGAGCGCGTATTTAAATGAAATCTAGATCTTTTTTCTCACCGCCGATCAGCCACATGAACTCCACAAGAGATGTACATCCAATCTTTCCACAATTATCAGTATCTGTTACACCATCCTCGAACCAAGCAGAAACAGCTTCAACGCATACCATCGGCTCCACCAACAACCAGAGCATTAGCCTTGAAATGTCACTCCTTCCCCACGCTTCTCCACAAACGCACTACTCCTCGCTGCCCACTGCTGATCTCTTGCCTTGACCGAGGCGGAGGTTGCGTGAAAGAGACGGCATTTGCGGCCCTAGTTGGCGACTATCCTTCGGTATACTAGGAGCCGAGCCGCCTATGAAGGAAGACCTTCGCTTCGCCTGGACGCCTGATGTGGGGATCATGATGTTGATCCTGATGTTGGTGTTTGGAGATTCGGCGCGGTGTTGTGCCTTCGATTGTGGAAGGAGGTCTGAAGGAGGAAGGTATGCGTACGTAACAGGATTACAGATCGGTTGATGGTATCCGAGTGTGACAATAGAGGCAAAAGGGAGTGTGAGGAGGCTAGTATCGTACGTTGTTTTGCGTGATGCATGTTATGGTGGGCTTCAACCATGAGAAGACGATGTTAGTGACTAGTGTCGCTATAATGAGCACCCTGATGTCTGAACGATGTTTTATAACAGTAATTACACGTGAAATAAGTCGTCCATGTATATACTTGGAGAGTTGAGACATGACATGATTGCCCGTATGGCCTTTCTGCGCGTCCGCTCGAAACCACTGATAGCAACCCACAAAGAAAACACATTAAACACTTAGACCTGAAACGCCTGGTCATTTTATGATGTCTCATGACTTTGCAGTTTCCAAGTCCAGAATATATGGGACTTGGGATGAAGCGTTTGAAAAGCTACAGTGACATACAAGGAAGGAGCCAGAACTCTACATGGTTTGTAGGCTTGTTTCAAAAACAATATCTTTCTCGTATTGTAAAACATGTTATCTTCATTACTGTACTCGTCAGAGCATTTTTTTCCTTCTCGATTAATGTGGGAAGTAGAGCATGCGTATGTATAATGCATAGTCATGTTTGCTCATGCAAACACTAGTCCGTATCCGTGTTGTTACTACAATAGAGTTCACCAAGTCTGCATACAAACTGCATATTTTTCTACATCCACACCTTGTACACTAGGCATTTACATATCATTTGTTATTTGCATAATCATATTGACTCTTATACAGGTGCTTTTGCTCAGCTTCAAGCTGGGGCACAAGCTCGATAGCAAGGTTGTTAGACACGTATGTTTCTGCTGGCTGACTTTACATCCCTTGCTATTAGTAAGCACATTGATATACCCGGTGCGTCGAATGCATCCTGTACCGTTCTTTGACGTCAAATTGATCGCTTGCATGACAACTCAGGCATGAAATGAAATCCTACGCTGCGCGGACCAGTGCAATCATGGGCACTAAGACAAGTCACCATGCAGATCCGAGATAGCTTTTCTCTCGTGTGACTTCATGTGCCTCCTACACATGAGATAACGAGGAAACAAGCCGGGAACTACCGACATCATAGGTCTGTAAGTCATATGATCACGACCACAAAATGACCCATTTTCTCGGTGACAACCTTCTCCGGTCGTCTCGCGCCTGGAAAGCTCCGCCATGAACTGTCTTTCGTGTTGGGGATGATCACTATACAGCTGAGGGGTTCACGATGATTCTAGTATAATCTATGTTATCCCGGTCTTAGAAGTTGCGATCATCCTGGCACGACGAGAATCTCCCCGGGGCTAGAGGCAGATCGACACACTATCCTTTCATCCGCGGACCGCATCCGATTGATTGTCCCCAGAGATTACGATCGTAGCTGCGAAGATCTATGAGGAGGTGATAATGGATTACTGTGATGCGTTAATGCCTGGAGAGTGTGGGCTAGTCTCGCGTCCAATATTTGTAAGAAGACAAGTATTGAGTTTGTCGAGCGCGGTGGCTGCGTGTCGCAAGGACGATCGTTTTGCGGACCCGTGGAGAGGGTCGTCTGACGTAGGCTCGACATATGCATACGCAGTCATTCGTGCTGGGCAACTGTATTGAAAGAGTTCCCATTTCGCTATTGCTGCATACAACATCCCAAAGAATATGCAGCATTCGTAAGCCGTTCCACCATCTGTGCATTGAGATTGCGACTAAGGCTTGGCGGACTGCATGGAGTCGTTCGTGTGTTGAATCTTGTGTTCATCGTCGACGACGACAGCCTGACATTGAGTAACGAAGGACAAGGTCACTACGGCAAGATTAGGCAGAGAACATCAGATCTGATGAGGTGGCGATGTCAACGAAACGAAACCCCTGGATCGCCGTCGCCTCGTCTCGGTCCATGAGCCACTGTCAACGGTGCGGGGCCCCAGAGTCCGACCGTGGATCAACCGATATTATCGGGCACAGCGGATTTTGACGCGTAACGTGGTCTTCCAGATTTGCGAAACACGTCAGTATAATGGGCCAGAGAAACCCTGAAGACTCCAGTCTGGTGTCAGATCCTGTTGGGCGACGAGAAGGTAAAACCTTTGCAGCAATAGTCCCACTGCACGAACAGCTTCCACTGAAAGAATTGGAATGTCGACGGATCTTATGTTCCGACCGACGTCGAGCAACTGTCGCACATGGCTGGAGACTAGAACAAACATCGGCTAGCGAGCCATGAAACTGCATCTCAGTCAACGTTTTGCTGTTCTCTTCACATGTGAAACGTGTGGTAGGATAATGTCGGCATAAATCAGAAGTTTCGGGTCTAGTACCTATGACGTGTGGAAGGACAGTGCTTCCATGAAAGCTTCCACGAAGGCGTACCTTGCATATCGGAGGTCCAGAAGCGGCTAAGACGTCACCGAGGTAGCATTCAGCGGAGCCCCAACTCCAGCGCAAAACATTCCGAGAATCTCCGAGGCCACGTTTATCGCAGAGACAGTCCTGCTGGCGCGAGAAATTTCTGTCGGCTCGGCATAGGCGTATGCTCGGAGGAAGCGTCCCCAAAGCGGGGCGAGCTATCGAGAGACTAGCAGTACTCAAAAATTTCGCGAACAATAGATAAGAATAGCGGACCCGAATTGAGATTGCAGCGTAACATTGGCATCAGTGCTCTGCTAAGTATCGGCGACCCCAAGGGGCGTGGTTAGAGCAGTGAAGCTGTTCTCACATAGGCAACGATACCAAGAAAGCGGGCGTCATAATGCTCGGGACAGCCGGTCCGTTGCAGAGTCCCCCACGATTTGCTGAAAAGCCAAGCACAGGGGTAGGACAGGGCTCGGATTGGAGATAACGAGCAGCGGACATGGGCTGCGGGACCGAGGCGGAGACCAACACGAGTCACCGAGGGGCTGCGATAAAGTTGGAAAAGTCCCTTGCGCAGTATGAGCTGATAGTGAAGCCATGTTTTCCTTTTGCCGATGCATCGTCAGTATTGGGCACTTCTCGGCAGAGATCGCCCTCGCCCTGCGTTGGTTCACCGACTCAGCTTCATCTGAGTTTGTGTGTGCACAGGCCGGGAAGACGCATAGAAGGCGGCCCGTAGTGTAAGGCAAGGTGCCCGGCTTGGTAGCACGGGGCTCGACCCCTCCAAGCATGTGCTGGTAGATGATGCGAGAGATATTGCGATGCTGCGTAAGGTATTGAAACGAGGGGTCTCGGGAGGAGATGGTGGCTCAATGTTGGCTGCTGTGCTTGCCGTACCCCAGGAATTGATCGATCCCCACAGCCATGAAGGCGCCTTGGATCAGCCCCCAGGCTGCAGTGGAACGCGAACAAAGCCAGTGGGTAAATCAGGTGTGTGTTGGAGAGCGTTATTGGCCATTTGACAAGGCCAGTGGGTGGAGGAGATGTGCTGAAGTGCTCAGCACAAGTCAAGAACGACTGGGATAATGTGAGTGCAGACATGTCTCAGTGCATCGTCGGGATTTGGGGGCGTGCATGTGTGGGTCCCTGAGGTGGGTGAATTGGCAGCAGTGGTGGTCCTGCTGCTTATACGTGGTGTTGTAGTGTAGGCGTCTATCTGGCTCGTTTCACGTCCTGTACGCCGAGAGGGCAGGAACGGAGGCGTCCGGAGCACGAGGAGAAGGAGCACCTATGGCAGCTGAGGAAGGCGCGGCCGTAGCTGTGGGAGCACAAACAAACCCCAGATGTATGTGTGACGTCTGCAGCACCCCATA